GAAACGTTTTACCCTGCAATGCGATACGTAGTTACATCTACGAATCGCTACGAATAGTATCAGCATTTCTCAATGTATGCAACGTTAGATAAGATTCGTTAGTACCCGACTCTCATCTTTGAAATTCATGGACTAGGACCTCCACAGGACCTTCGTCATTTTTTCTGCTCGACAAACCTTGGTACATAAATGTCAACGCGTTACATCAATAAATGGTTACATAAATCCTAGGCATTAATCGCTGCCGCTTTCTCAGATCGGTATAGCATTTCTCAAGGTTCGCCAGTACTTGAATGTAGTACTTGAAATTCAGGATCCAGAACCTGCAGAGGACCCTGATCGATTCACAAACTTCCAAATTTTCCTGCTGGACAAGATTACTTCATAATTTGTACATGAATATAAACCTGTTACATCTACGAATAATTACATAAAGCCTACGTATTAATCGCCCCCACTTTCTCAGAGTAGCGAAGCGCTTCTCGATGACTCCAACATCGAGCAAGGTTCGTTAGCACTTGAAACTCATAAACCAGGACCCTGATCGTTTCTCGAACTTCCAATTTTCCTGCTCGACAAAATTCCGTCATAATTTGTACACAAATATGAACTTGTTACATAAATCCTATTAATCGCCCCAAGTTTCTCAGAGTAGCAAAGCGCTTCTTGATGACTCCAACATCGAGCAAGGTTCGTTGCACTTGAAATTCATGAACCAGGGCCCTGATCGTCTCTCGAACTTCCAAATTTTCCTGCTCGACAAAATTCCGTCATAATTTGTACACGAATATGAACTTGTTACATAAATCCTATTAATCGCCCCCAGTTTCTCAGGGTAGCAAAGCGCTTCTCGATGACTCCAACATCGAGCAAGGTTCGTTGCACTTGAAATTCATGAACCAGGGCCCTAATCGTTTCTCGAACTTCCAAATTTTCCTGCTCGACAAAATTTTGTCATAATTTGTACACGAATATGAACTTGTTACATAAATCCTATTAATCGTCCCTACTTTCTCAGGGTAGCAAAGCGCTTCTCGATGACTCGAACATCAAGCAAGGTTCGTTAGTACCCTCGTCCCGCCCTTGAAATTCATGTCGGTCTAGGCAGCCTAGGGTAGGCTCGAGGTTGGGAATCGAGCCGTTCGGCTCGTCGTCGAAGCCGAGACCTCGAGTGCGATCGGGGCCGCACTCTACAGTAAGTCCATAGCCGCTTATAACTGGCAAGGAAAGGTGTACACTCGGCTGTTAGCCGGCGATGTAAGTCCATCCTTGATGGAGGTTACTTCGGGTCGTCGTCCCACATCCGGCGGGGACGAGCCGGCGTCTTCGTCCGACTCGTCGATCGAGTCTCTTCTCCTCTCCTTCCTCGCCGGTTCTCGTCCTTCCTCGTTGGGCCTCCTCCTGAGCTCCTTCTGCCTCCACCACCTCGGTCTGGGCCCTCCTTCCTTCTTCTTCGGCAGCGAACGCACCTCCACCTCTCCTTCCTCCACTCTCCGAGACTCTCTTCGTTCCTTTCTACGTCGGTCTCTCTTTTTCGCTCTCGGCCCCGCGGAAAGTCAACGGACAAGGTAGCTCGACCCGGATTACACTTGGACAACCTCCAGTCCTTTACGCTTTTCAACTTCTCTCTTCTCTTCAGGGTCGAGTCACTGCCGAGCATTGACACCTGGACGAGGCCGAGGACCACCGAGAGGTTATTCACTCAGGAAATTATGGATTTTCGTGCGTTCCAGCTAGAAATCCCTGGAATTCCTTGGAAATCACTGAAATATTCTTATCATTTTAAGACCTAACGTCACTTCTCACCGAATCACGTTGCTTATCGTACGGAATCAAAGGCAGGAGATTCTCGAAGAAGGAAATCCGTGAAAACTATTTCATTCCTTCGGAACCCATTGCCTCGTCCTTTTACCCTGAGAACAATGTTTCTTTTTTTTCTTTCAATGAAATTATTTCTTTGGACGGATTCAAAGAAACTGTAAAATAAAATCAAGGAACGCGGTATCTGATAAAAAATGCCGAATATTTACCTCTGATACGTAATATCGATCGAATACCCCGTATCTTAAAACGATAACGTAAGAAATCCAAACTATCCATTTCATTTTTTAAACTCCGTTGGAAGAAATAATTTCTCCGAAGGGGGAGGACAATTTTTTACACAGACATTTTATTCCTCGGTTCAACGAAACGAAATATGCTTTCATAGCTGAGAAACCATTTCTTTCGATAGATCGAATACAATATTCCAGCATTACTCATTGCCATTAAGGAAATTCGCTCTTTAATTATTTTTTTAATTATTCGCTCTCGAAATTATTTCTTCGAATCAGACTTTTTTTTTTTCAGTACAACCTCGGATTCCCGTCACCTTCCTTCCTACGACTTTCGTAAGATGAGTCCGAAGGAAGAGCCATCGTCTAGAAAAGAGTCGCCCCCTTCGAGAAATATTTTCTAGGGATAATTATGTATCCTTTCCACCAAAATACCGTTATCTAATCCGGAAAAGCAAAATCATTTTCTTCGAATCAGACATTTCTTTCCCATTTTCTTCCCCTTGACCTAAGGAACCCCCGGGATAATTCTTCACAAACAGGCTCGGATTCCTGTAATCTTCCTTCCTGCGACCTTCGTAAGATGAGTCCAAAGGAAGGGCCATCGTCTAGAAAAGAGTCGCCCCCTTCAAGAAATATTTTTTAGGGATAATTACATATCCTTTCCACCAAAATACCGTTATCTAATTCGGATAAGCAAAATCATTTTCTTCGAATCAGACATTTCTTTCCCATTTTTTTCCCCTTGGCCTGAGGAACCCTCGGGATAATACTCCACGAACAGCCTCGGATTCCTGAAACCTTCCTTCCTGCGACCTTCGTAAGATGAGTCCAAAGGAAGGGCCACTCGTTCAGAAAGGAGTCGCCCGGTTATCGGACAAGGTTCCTTCTTTTCGTCTAACCGCGTCGCTCTTGAAAGCACTTAACTGTAAAAGTTAGTTAGTCGCGACTAGCAGGTGCAGAAAAGCGCGTTTGGCTCGTTTCGGAACGGAAAGTCGATCTCGAAGGCCAAACGACCTTCGTAAGGTGAGTCCGGAAGAGGAGTTCCCGCCAGAGGAGGAAGCGAGGTCTGACGTAAGGGTAGCCCAGTTGAACGACCTCGGACAACAATGGCCAGCGAGGTTTCGGTGGGTACCTCGGGCCCGACGTTTACGGTCGATCGTAAATCGATTCTCGTCATCCTTGAGGCCGACCCTGTCGGGCCCTGCGAGGAAAGCCGCAGCCACGACCGCGGAATCGTAAATCAAATCCACGACCCAGCGGCCAGTAGCGATAATTTATAGACCATCGTCCTTAGGTTCAAACGGAGCCCCCTTGGCCTAAGGAACCCTCGGGATAATTCTCCACAAACAGGTCCTTGACCACGGCCATTAAAAATCGACCGCACCGATCTTCGGCTCCAAGCACTGGGAATTAAATTCATGGAACCGGAGAAAAACTCATCGAACTCAAATTCTCATAATTCCGAAGAAACGTTGCGTCCAATTCATTCGAGGTAAATCATTATCCCTTGAATTATAAAAATATTTATTAGGTTTAATACCTTTTTTTTTTAAATTATAAAAATATTTATTAGATTTAATACCTTTTTTTTTTTCTAAGCGTGGTCAAACTTTGCATTTCACTTGGCTTTATCGTCTTCCTTTAATGAAGCGTCCTGAAATTCGTTGTAGAATTATATCATTTTAACCGCCTTCGTCTTACAACCATTTTGTATGATTTTTGTCGGGTCCTGAAACGAGAAAATCGGGGTGAAATCGTAGAATCTTTCCTTTTTGTAGGGAATGGTGGACTCGCATTGTTCGCAGTCGACTCTAGGTGCTGGCCGGCTCGCGACCACGCTATTACAGTGTAAATCGGCCTCTCTCGAGGTAACGTTATGTCTGTTAGATTCCTGGCGGGCGAGGCGGCCAGCGAGGCCAGGGAGCGAGAGGGACGCAACTACTGCGGGCCGCGCGTGGGAGAGAGACGCACCGACTGGGATAAGTAAGCCGGTGGAGGCGCGCGGCCGCTCGAGGAGCGAGGAGCGCAGGGCGCTCGCGAGGAGCGGTCGAAGACACGAGACGACGCCGAGTCGTTACATAAGTAAGGTAAAGGATCTCCTTTGCTCTCCTTGAGCGATCCACATCCGCGATTATGCCACTTTCCATCGACCTCGCTTTACCCCGAGGTCTGCCGCGCGCGGAGTCGCCTCCTCCGGTCGTGGTGGGGCCGTGCCCGTGACTTTGATTCACGCACGGCGAAACGCTCTCTGCCCGATTCGCCGAATGCGGCCCGAATGGCACACTGCGTTTTTTCCACGACCGGGAACTCACCGACCAATCTAAGCAAGCCATGAGCCGTCTAATAAATAAGAACGCCATTGGATGAAAACCACGCAGGAACGCGAAAAATAAAGAATCTTTTCATTTTCAGCGACTCGGTTTCTTTAAACAAAAACGAGGCACACTGCTTATAAACGCCAGTTATCGTCTTAATGGCGTTCTGCTTTTTTTTTTACCCCTTTTTGTGAATCACTTTTTCTGGGTATTAGTGTTCCAAGTGTTTAAGCATTTTTCTTGATGGTTTATGAATTTTATGGTAACTGTTCTTTGAAATGTTGCTGGAAAACTATCATTACTTATTAAATATTGATTATAGTCGACCATAAAAATGATTGGTAAACTTAACTATGACTTAAGACAGATCGCAAGGTGCGAGAAAATCAATCGTCAAAGAACTTGTTCGAGGTTTTACTAATACGAAAACGCGAAGTTTTTTTTTATATAATACCAAGCACTCTATCGCTGCTCCTGGTTCTTTTTTTTGTTCAATATCAATCGCAATTTTAGCAGGTCTGTGTAACAAATGCAGTACTTCGGCCCGATCGGATTCGCCAGATTGCAGGAAACGCTTGACATTGTTTGCAGTTATGGAACGTAGTTGAAGGGACTAAAATAACATAGCTGCAACAGTAAATAATTTATTTTTGATTACCCCTACCTTTGCACATACTTCGTACACAAACGTTAACATTAATAAAGCAGATTCCTAAGAACCATAATGAATATTTTCTTCTGTGATGCACGGTTGACCGCCCAGCGGTATCTATAGTACAGTATAATGTACCGGAAAAACATTTCCGTACTTATTACTTAATAACGAGAAAAACCTCGGCGTGATTATTGGAAGACATCGAATAAGTGGTCAGCTTACAAAAGCATTTTTACAAAGACGTCACTTAACTCGAGAAAAGCGAAACGATGATCGAATTTCTCCAGGATTCCCGATTTCTGTACGTTAAATTATATAACATAATATGTCAAACTATCAGGTATCTATGATCTCCGTTACATACTTACTACTAGATACAATATATGCATTATTGTCGTTCGTTAAAACTGTGTAAGCCCTTTTTCGCAAGATGTCACATTTACTGGTCGCAACATTATATTCCATGTGCTCGAAAATGGTCTTACATTTTGTTTTCTTGTTATATCTTGAACATTATAAGTCTTCGGCAAAGAAACGGATCTTTGGGTTCTCGATAAAATGTTTGCTTTGAATCAGACGTAGCTCGATGTTTCTGGCTCGGTGTGTGTTATTATTTAAAACTTTAAAATGAAAAAAAGAGTAGGAGTTATTCAATAACACAGTTCAAGCATACTGGTGGCAAGTTATTGCTAAGACAATTACCTTTGGAATGTTCTAAAGTATTTAATAATACATCGTGCAGGGTATTAACAGTCTTTTCAAAAGCACTCTTGATATCATCTTGTAAATAGTAGTGAGCTAAGAAAAGTGCTGCAAATAGATCTCCAGATCCAGTGTATGTTGCCTGTATCTTTGGTATCTCGATCTTTAACATTTTTTCTTCTGGAACAACAGTGCCATAAATTGAATCAAGTATTATAAATAAAATTATACTGGTTACATAATGCAATAGAAAAGAGACAAAATAATGTTCTCACTCCCAATAGTACTGGCTACTGCTACTAATTTGTTATCAATATTTGCCGATGAAACCACTACGGTTTTTGGACCTTTTTCATGAAGTTTTTTAATAGCACTCTGCAGATCGGCCATAGTTCGACACTCCTTGCCTGTCAGAAGCCTAAAATTATAATTTCTTGGTCAGATATGTATACGTTATTCAGGAATAATTGTTATTGGCATTTTTTCTTTCCAATGACTTACTTCAATTCAAAATCATTTGGGGTCACAATATCTGCAAGAGGAACGATATCATCTCTGTAGATATCCTTCAGTTCTTCCGGAACGTACAGTTTACCGTTGTCACCCATGACTGGATCACAAACTATTACAAACATAAACTTGCTATTTAGTACACAACAATATTTATTTGTTGGTGTATAATGAATACCTACCATATATTAAATTAGGATTTTTTTGCTTTAGCATTTTTGCAAATTGCCCTACCCTTCTTAAGAACGAGGCAGAACCGACATAGCCAGTAAGTAAATGTGTATAATTATCTAATTCATTAGCTACTAAGCCTTCCACTAGTTGATCTGGCAAACAAATTTTAAATTATTAAATAATACGATTTGAAACAACACAGTAATCAAAATCATTTTGCTGATAACACACCCATACCTAAGTCTTCGTCGGTCAAAACTTGACCCTTAATTACTTTGTACCCTGTGTGATTTGATAGCTGCACCGAATTAACTGCATCTACTTCAAAGCCAAGTAGCTGTAAGAATTCAACGACATGATCATACAAAATAATACATATACCATATTCCAAAGATTTAAATATATAAATATTTTTAATTTACCCAATATCGACAATAATGAAAATTATATGAAATCCCACATTTTGTTTAGATATTATATATCAGTAATCTATGAAGTGTTCGTTTAACCAATTTTTTACATTAACACATACATAGATAACAATCTTCAAGAGAATGCAGGAAATAAATATCGAGTGTTCTTAAAATTGATCGCTTAATACTTGATTGTCCAGACAAACCTGAAGTGGGAAGGTAGCACACTTATTCCCAACATATCCAGATACTACATGGCTCTGAATAGAACAAACATGACCAGCTTGTTTGGAATTCATCCTGGATCGAACTGGAGACTGTTAAATCTCTGCGTTTATAAATTCACGTGATTAAACTAAATACAATCCTTCCTTTGATCAGACAAGTTGAGATATAACTGGAGGGTTTCTGTTTCATCATCACTGAGAACAGGCATTACAGATATGGCTCATAAATTCATAAAATGGTTTCGTAACATGCAATAAGATATTTTTAAAAATGCTTTCAAGGCTCAGCGATAACAAAATCTACCGAATCATTGAACTGATTCTTTTATCGACGGAGAGCAGTATTTTCATAGTTCCAGTAGTTTCCTTCTAATGGCAGCACTGCTCCCGACAAGTTGAATAACCTAAAAATAACAGCAAATGTTTGTTCAATACAGGGCGTTTACTACGTATTTTTCACGAAAGCGCTCACTTCTCGCACTTTCATCTCACGTGGGTTTATTCGCCGATTTATGTATTCGCTATATGAAAGAACGAGATCACTAGCACTTCCGGTCTAGTAATAATGTAAATAAAAGAATATGCCTTGTAAATCGAACATTGTTGAGAGATATGGGTTATAGGAAAGAAAGGCGGAAAGATGGAAAGCCGTTAAAAGTAAAGAAGAGAACAATGTTCGATTTACAAGGTATATACCTTTATTTGCAATATTACTAGACCAGAAGTGCTAGTGATCTCGTTCTTTCATATAGCGAATACGTAATTCGGCGAATAAACCCACGTGAGATGAAAATGCGAGAAGTGAAAGCGCTCGTCAAAAATACGTAATAAACGCCCAGTTCAATAACTTCTGCTTGTAAAAAGGGAAATAGAATAAAGCAACGCAAGGAATTTAATTAAGAGGTTATAATTTCTTTTTCCAATTTAATGAACTTCGAATGCAGCGCTGCTAAAAGGAATTACTCTTGGTGCTTCATCTTACCCGAGTCATCACTAACATCACATATGCATATGCTTATCGCTTGACCGCATTTGACTTTTGCTGGTGATCGTCAAGTTGACACCTGCCACGTAACCTCCTAGTCTGCCACTTGTCAGAGTTTGCCACGATATCGCAATCATGTCCGGCGACGTGAGCGAAGTCCCTAAAAAAAAGATGATGATAGTAAGTAATAACTTCATTCGTTTCTTTTATCTAACCCACACTTCTCTGACTTAATAAAATCGTCGTGTAAGTCAGATGCAACTGTTTAAAGAATTGATATCTTCCCTACGAGCTTTTGATAACTTTGAGTATTGGAATAAGTATGTCATCGATGTATGTTCAGTAAATTTACCATTATTTCCTGTAGACTTGTGCAAATGTATCGGAGCAGGCTCACCATGTGTCACGTGCTAAGCGTGGGCAAGCAATTGGCACTATAAGTGGTTTCCGAGGATGCACGGTATGGCTGACAGGACTTTCAGGAGCAGGGAAGACCTCGATTGCTTTCCAAGTCGAAGCGCTCTTGGTTGAGCGAGGGATCGCGGCATATGGACTCGACGGAGACAATGTTAGGACTGGTTTAAACTGTAACCTTGGATTTTCTAAAGAGGACAGAAACGAGAACATAAGACGGGTCGCAGAAGTAGCCAAACTTTTTGCCGATAGTGGCCAGATTTGCTTATGCAGCTTTGTATCGCCTTTCGAAGACGACAGGCAAATGGCACGGCACATTCATGAGGCATCGGACTTACCGTTCTTCGCAGTGTTCGTTGACACTCCACTTAATGTCTGCGAAGCTCGAGATACCAAAGGACTGTACAAGAAAGCACGGCAAGGTGTCATAAAGGGCTTTACTGGGATCGATCAGAAATATGAGCGGCCAGTCGACCCCGACTTAGTGGTGACCACAGAAAATTGTACTCCACGAGAGTCTGCCCTGGTGGTTATTGAATTTCTAGAGAAGCAAAAAATCATTCCAATCCTCCCCAAACCTGGATTACCAGTCCCCGAGTTGTTTATATCCGAAGAAAGACTACCCGTCGTCAGAGCCGAAGCCGATACACTCGACAGCATAGAAATTACTGACATGGATGTTCAGTGGCTTCAAGTTTTGTCGGAAGGATGGGCTGCACCGCTAACTGGTTTCATGAAAGAGAGCCAGTATCTTCGGGTAATTGTCTTTAATTTGACTATTGATTTTATACAAGTGGCAAACAGGTTTGTCTGAGAAATATACAATCTTTTGTAACCTATTATTTTCAGGTACAACATTTAAGGAGCCTCGAGAACGGCAATAGGGAAGTGAATCAGTCAGTGCCTATAGTATTGGCGGTGAGCACACAGGAGAAAAGTCGCCTAGAAGGACTGACGGCGGTAGCTCTGAAACGAGACGGAAAAGTCTTAGCCATCCTGAGGAAACCGGAGTTTTATTTCCACCGAAAGGAGGAAAGATGCGGTTGGCAATTCGGAACTAACAACCTCGCACACCCGTACGTTAAAATGATTCACGAGTCCGGGGACTGGCTAATGGGTGGAGACGTAGAAGTCCTAGAGAGAATCAGATGGTACGACGGACTCGATGCATACAGATTGACTCCGAACGAAATCCAGGCAAAGTGCCGGGAAATGCGAGCCGACGCCGTTTTTGCGTTTCAGCTAAGAAATCCGATTCACAACGGTCACGCGCTTCTAATGCAGGTCAGATAATTGTCTCGACAAACCTCCAAGATGGAACGTGCCGAGAGATCGGCTCGTTCCGAGCTAAAGATCTCCTGCCTCTGTCCACTCTCCGCTTGATCCGTCTCTTCGGAACTGGGAAAATCGCCCCTCGCGAAATTAAAATCTGCAACGCTGATCTCAAATTTTTCCCTCCACGTTGGAAGCGAGAAAACACCTTCCTAACTTTAGGGGACCTTCATTCGGCTTCCTCCAATTTATAGCATATTTCGCTTCTTCCAACGTGGAGTAACAATTTGAAACGCGAAATTCAGTGATCGCCGGTAACGGAAGTCATTCCAAGGTACCATAAATGCCCAACTCCGCGTCTCTGTCTGGCACTCGCACACGACACTTCCCAACCTACCTCTCTCTTTCTCTCTCTCCCCGTCTAGGATACGAGAAGGCGATTACTGGAAGAGAGGGGTTTCAAAAATCCCGTCTTACTGTTGCACCCCTTAGGAGGCTGGACAAAGGACGACGACGTCCCCTTGGACACGAGGATACGTCAGCACGAAGCAGTTCTCGACGAAGGCGTCCTCGATCGCGACTCAACTTTGCTGGCCATTTTTCCAAGTCCGATGATGTACGCTGGACCAGTCGAGGTACACATCTTCATCTCAAACTATCCGCAGCTGAAGTTCTAACTGTAAATTAAACGAAGACGAAATTACAGCCGTGGAGATTGCAAGCTTCGGACCCGCCTACCTAGAAGAAGCATAATTAAGCTCTTAGTTTTTACCGAGGCTAGATAAACCGTAGTTACCCGATCCAAGCCACCGGATAATCATTACTCTTTCTTCCCCCGTTTTTTACTCCGTTGTATTTCAATCCCCAGGTGCAATGGCACGCCAAGGCGCGGATGAACGCGGGTGCAAATTTTTATATCGTCGGTAGAGACCCGGCAGGAATCCCTCATCCCAACAAGGAAGCTACGCCCGATGGGAATCTGTACGATCCAACCCATGGGGCCAAAGTGCTTTCCATGGCGAGAGGGTTACATGCCTTAGAGATAATACCTTTCAAAGTAGCCGCGTATGACACGCGCAATAAGCGGATGGCCTTCTTCGACAGAAATCGCGCCCAAGAGTTCGACTTCATCTCGGGAACGAGGATGCGAGGTGAGCGTTTTTCTTCCATCACGTCCCGTACAATTGATTCCTTGGTCGTTTTCGTTGTGAAAAAAAGAATTGGTCCCTTTGTTTCATCGCTTCTTTTCTCTTCAGGCCTTGCCAGAGCTGGAGAGAAGCCACCCGATGGGTTCATGGCACCCACCGCATGGAAGGTGCTAGCAGAATACTACAGAAACTTAGCCGAGAATTAAAATATTGTAATCTAGGATTAATGACGAAACCTTCGCTGCGAGGAACGGATCGATGAATGGATACTTTCCGATCACAGAGTCGATTGACACTGGGAATATTGTTCCTTGGATTAATTGTTTAATCCACTTTTATCGCTCAGATGCATTAACGAGACCACTCGACGAATCGTCGCTTCATTGCCGCGTAGTTTATTATTTAATAACGTTATTTAAGCGTATCTGAAGTCAGGAAACAAACCGTTCAAATGTGTACCTTGTTTGCGGACATTTTTAAGTTGCCATCGCATACTGTAGATATCTCGCAGATATCTAACTCAATGATAATGTTCGGTGACAATTGTCAGCTGCTCGCACGCATGGGTATGCGTGCAGTTTCCCGTGGCGCACTACTTTTTAAATATGGAATTATTTTTACCTGGGACTTCAAATGAAAAAAGACTAATCTTTTACTCGTTTAATCTTAGGGTATCCTGGGTTATATATGTTTGTATTTTAACCGAAAAGAGGATTATGAATCATGACATTAGAGGTATTTAAAAAAGAATATGGATCCGCACATAGGACGACCATAAATGAAGGGATATACATCTTTTCTTGTAATTCATCTGTCTTTCCAGGGATTTGGGGATTCGTGAAAAGACGATTATAAGGACAGTATTTTCATTTCCATGTCTTGTGGAAAGCTTAGCGACCTGAATGGCATTTATGCTCTATTGAGAAATGCATTTCGTTATGTAATATCATACGCTTATGGCAGATTTAAAGGTCACATTAAAATAGGCATGTGGGCGACAACTGTCAGTCATAGGCGCGTTATTTCTATACACATCATATACATTTGCTATTATACAAATTCACCCAACAATGAGAATATTATTTTATCTCAAAATAAATTAGAAAACCCAATTGTCTCGCCATATTCTTCAACCGTTTGTGAACATCACTCCTATCGATCCACCTCGACCTCGTTTAATGAAGAGAAATACGTCACCGATTAATACTTAAAATACTTTATTAGCATATAATAAAGGGCACAAATATAAAGAAAGGGGGGGAGAAAAGGAAAAGAACGAGTTAATAATATGCGAATCAATAAGATTCCGAGGGATGACGATCACTCCCGAAAACACAATCCATTCTTTCCATGCTTGACAATATATACCCCCGTTGAAGAATGTTCCTGCTAATAAATAAATCGGCACGACAAAGCGATGGAACGTTCCGTCCATAAAGCTGACAGCCAACAAATTGATTTCCAGATTAAACCTCGTCAACGAAGGATTCTCTTCGAGGACTCGCTCCCCAGCTTTTAGAAAATTACAAAATCGCAACAGGAACAATCTATGAATGTCTAGGCTACGCATCTAAGTGTACTAACATTATCGTAACTTGTAATCAAATGAAACCTTATGCTACCCTACCGAAAGGGACATAAAGACTTGCCTGAATTTCAAGGTAAACAAATATAAGGCGTGCAACGAGTCCATCCGAACAACGCTTTAAGTCGCGATACCCTTTCCTGCCAACAACCCTGCTTTTTTTTTCGAACTATCGAGGAAAAATCTGCACTTCCTCCTAGTGGGAAAAAAAAAGAGAGAATAAGGAAAAGGACATCCTGCCGATCGGTTCCGCCCAGGTCGCGGAGGCGAGCCTTCGAGTGTATTTTCAAGAGAGATCGTCGTGACGACTGGCCGAAGACCCGGACAAGCAGCGTGCACTAGATTTAAGTTTTGAGCTAACTACTGACGGCCACTCGATATTCTATACACTTCGAATATATTCACAATCTCGGCCGCCTCATGGAGGCCCTGAAAATCCCAGTTGACGGCCACATTTGCGTCCTTGTTCGCGTCCACGAGGAGCGCTCTGGAGGTCCTAGGGACCCCACGACCCGACACACGTGAGGAACCAAGAAACCAGCCGAGTCGGGTCTGAAGTATCGCAAGCACGAGCAGAATTTCCATCGGTACCCTTCGACGGCCTCTTCGCAAGAGACCGTCCTAGGAGATTTAAAATCGAGGTACGCGGCAGTAGTAGCCGGCCGGCCGAGCGGTCGTAGCGAGGACGAGAACCTTCTACGTGCTCGGTTCCCCAGAAGGTGAAACGTTATCCGAGACGAGAGTCCTTATCATGGTTCAGCCAAGTTTCATGACTCGCTGACTGAACGGTCGCCGTCGTCCACGTCGTCGCCTTCCTCCGCCCTTTCCGACGGCGTCATCGTCGGCGTCGTCGTCAGGGCGTCATCGGCCACCGCTCCGAGCCCTTTGCTCGTCATTTTCATATCTCGCGCGATTTACTTCGCGCTCTATTACTCAATTACTGTACATTATAGAGGCGGTCGCGAGGTTCACCTCGGCGCCCGCCTCGAGGTCGGGCAGAGAGAAGACCACGGGAATTACCTGGATCTTCCCGTTATCGTCCCGCTGCTCCACCATGTGGACGACCGCCCCAGGAGGCAGGATCTGGTCTGTTATCATGTCCGTGGCCTCGACCACGTCGTCCGTGGTCACCTCCTCCGTGTAATCCGGAGAGGTCTCCTCCATGTTCAGAATCACCTCCGCAGCGTCCGAGGCTTCCTGCGAGGTTTCCTCGTATTCCTGAAAGTCGACAATACATTCCGTCAAATAAATCGCGCTTAGTCTCTTTAGTTACCTCCCTTTGGTTACTCCTCGCCACCATAGTGGCTTCGTAGCCGTGAGGACGTACTTTTCTTTTTTCCAAAGGGCCACTATAGTGACCCCCCTTCATCTCCATGCATTCAAGAGGACAGATGAATGTCGCATTCGTATAAAATATCAGCACTCAACGTCAGTATTTAAAACATTAAAAATTAGAAAAGATAAATACTCCACCCCGCAAACCGTACCTGATCCAGGGAGCGCTCGTACTCGGGAGCCTCGAATTTAACGTCTCCCTCGAATCCCTCGTTATACTCCTCATCGCCGCCTTCCTCCTCGAGCTGGACCTCGACTCCGACCTGGACTCCGTCCTTGTAATCTTCCTCCTCCTCCTTGGGCTCGTAGACGTATCCGTGCTCGTACTCGCCATCGTACTCGCCGGTCTCCTCCTCGTCGCCGCCATCGTCATCCTCGTCGTCGTCGTTCTCGCGCTCCTCCTCAGCCTCGGCGTTCATCCTCGACCGCCTGGCCATCCTAGCGCGTTCCCTGCTACGTCGACCTCGCTCTCGAACCCGCTCCCTATCGCGTTCCTGCTCCGAAAGGGAGCCGTCGTCGTCGTCGCCGCCGCCTCCGTCGGTCCCACCGCCTCTGCCGCCATCGCCTCCACCAACGCCTCGAAGAAGTCTGCTCTGCTTGCCGTTCCGCCCTGCAACGATGCGCTTGAACCCCGACCCACCCAGGGACTCGTGCCGCCTCTCGTGCTTGTTCTTGTCCCCCAGGTACTTGAACCTCTGCCGACACACGCTACAGGAATACGGCCGCTCGTTCGTGTGGGTCCTCTCGTGGCAGACGAGGGCGCTGACCTGCTTGCACCGCCAGGGACAGTACCGACACTGCAGAGGTCGCTCATCGCTGTGCCGGTTCTGGTGATGTTTGATCAGTTGAATCTTCGTCTTCAGGTTGAAGCCGCATATCTCGCAGGTGTAGGGCCTCTCCTCGGAGTGGGAGATCATGTGCGTCTTGAGCCTGAGCTGGTTGACGAAGCGCTTCGGGCAGTGGGGGCAAGCCAGGGTGCCCTCGAGTCGGTTGTGGGCTACCATCATGTGGTGGCGGAGCCTCACCTCCGAGGTGAAGTACAGGTCACAGTCGAGGCACTTGGTGGGCTCCTTCTCGGTGTGCGAGTTCTTGATGTGGGTCCGCAGGATCATCTCCGTCTTGAAGGTCTTGTTGCAGTGGTGGCAGGAGACGCGCCTCTTTTGCGAGTCCCCGGAGACCTCTTCGCGCGGCATCCCCGGTACCTCCTCGTGGTGGATGTGTGCCATGTGCCACTCGAGGGACCTCGTCGAGATCATGGACCTGTTGCAAATGTGGCAGGTGTACTGCCTACCGTCCTTGTGCAATCGGTTGCGGTGGATCACCAGCATCGAGTGGTTCGGGAACTTCTCGCCACAGACCTGGCAGGAGCATTCTTTCAGGCCACGACTGTCGGCCTTGAGGTGCACCCTGGTGTGCAGCCTCAGGCCGTCCCTTCGGTTGAACCCGACCCCGCAGGTCTCGCACCTGTACTGCCTCTGGTCCTCGTGAATCCTGATGTGCTGCTTCAGGGTCGACGTGTTCTTGAACATCTTCTCGCAGTGCGGACATTGGATTGTGTAGGCCTTGTGCGTGTGCATGTGTTTCGAGAGGCTATAAAACGGCACCAGTTTGTGGCAGACCGGACACTCGCGCTTGTTGCCGATCGCCTGGTGCTTCCGGATCCTGTGATGGCGAAGACTCGCCGGGTTCTTGAAGTCGGCGCCGCAGTCCTCGCAGAGGTACGCCCTCAGTGTCGTGTGCACCGACTTCAGGTGGAAGGTCAGCTTCTGCTTGAAGGCGAATTTCTTCGGGCACTTCGGACACTGGAAGATCTTCTCCCAGTCCATGTGCTGCGTCTTCAGGTGCTGGTCCAGGGTGCCCTGGTGCTTGAATTTCTCTCCGCACACGTCGCACAGCTGGCCGAACATGTTGTCGCAGTGCTTCTGCTCGTGGCGCCGCTTCTTTCCCTTGGAGTCGAGCATCACGTCGCAGTACTGGCATATCAGTTTCTTTATACACACCACGTTGTGGTTCCTCTTCGCCTTGTTTGTGGTGAACTCCTCGTTGCAGTCCTCGCAGTAGTGCTGGATCTTGTAGTCGTGCGTCCTGACGTGCTCGGCGAGGGCGTCCTTCGACGAGAACGTCAACGGGCAGTAGTCGCAGTCCTCCAAGTCCCTTTCGAAGGGGGTATCTCCTGCCAACAGCTCGTCGACGCACTCGCTCAAGTTCGACTGCCTCCTCGCGTTGCTCCTCTTCTCGTACAACGATATTATGTCCTCGTCCTTCAGCCGCGCCACGACGATCTTCCGCTGCTTCAGGTAATCCTGGAAGTCCTGGAGGTTCTTCTCTCGATCCCCCAGGATGCGTTCCAGCCTCTCTATGCCTCCCTCGTCGTAGGTGCGGTCAAGCCGTCTTTGGAGACTGTCTCTCATCTTCTTCGTCTTTTCCCATTGTTTCCTAAGTTTGGTTAACCGGGACAGATACGCGACCGTGTTCGCGTGAGTCTTTTCCGTGGACGAAACGAGGTTGCTGTTGACTCCGTCTTTGGAGTCGTCCTCGGATCGATTTGTATCCGCCACCCCCTCGCTGTCGTCCTCGGGATCCAATTCTACTTCCACTTCAACTATGTCTTCGTCCTTCACGAAGGTGTCCTCGATTCGAATCGCCATGTCGTCTGGACTACCTGTTCTCACTCCGATGACTCCCAGGACCTTCTCCCTCTTCTTCTTGTACTCCTCGATTTGTTCCTCGATTATCTGCTCCTTGATATCCGGCTTCTTCACTCTTTCTGGAAATAACTCCTTCTCTTTCATACTCAGTGCTTCGTACTTCCTCAAGATCTTCTCCACTGGTTTGATATCGAAAGGTGTATTGGTTATGCTCTTCTCCGCTGGCTTGTCCATCTTCTTAACCTTCACCAGTAACAATTCATTGGGCTTGGACCCTTTCACTGTGACGTACATGATTCCATCCTCTTTGGTCGGAGCCACATTTAACGTGTTGGACAAGGTCAGCTTCGGTATCTTCGTTTCCTTAACACCGGTAAACGACACGTCTATGTCCCCTGCTTTTGGGGGAGGAGGCTGGGCTTTACGCTTCAGGATACTGGGAGTCTTCGACCACTGCTCCTCCTTCGGTGGATCTATCAGCTTAGGCTTTGCTACCTGCACTTCGGACAAACACTCAACTGCAGCACTGACATCCATTGTGACATTTTCGATAGACTCGGTAGGTACCTCGACAGGATTCTTTGTTTCAACCTGCTCGTCTTCTGGGTCCGAACTGTCCAAACGTATACAAGGATCGTCAGGATCGAATTCTTCTATTGATTCGTTATCATCACTCTGATGGGTTGAAATATCTTCGGGCTCTGATTTAATGTCCAGAGCTTTTAAGTTATCGATGGATTCTTGAGAACTCATCTTATGTCGAGCTGGGTAGGTGAAGATCTTGGAAGTAGTCGTGGTGAATGATGGGGGAGAATCCTGGTCCTCGCTGTCTGGCTTAATGGCAATTTGTGTTTGCAGTATGTCTTGTTCCGGAGGCTTTTGTTGAACCTTGGTTGTGCCAGCCTGCAACGCTTGTACCTCCACGGTAGGCGACCGATTCACAGGTTTGGCTACTTTGTTCATCATTACGTCGTTTAATGTCACACAGATCGACCGCAATTTGATCTCTGCTTTCTTGATCTGCATAAAGAATTTGTAACTCATTTTTAAGTCACAGATGCAGTCCATGCACATTTGTGTGGAGAGGCTATCGTCCTGATTTATCTCTTCCAAGTGACGCATCTGTTGCTCTAGTCTCATTTGTAAACCCCTTTCACTGAAGATGTCAACGAGTGGGAGCTTCGAACCAGCGCAAGTTCGACAATACTTCCGTAACTGCTGCTTCACGTCGTTGGACGAGTTGATCATTTTGTTAGTTTGAATGTTTTCACTTTGAGTAGTCAGCTTCTTCAGCTCATTTAAGCTCTGAGCTTGTGGTGATAATAATTTCACTCGTGGAATCACTTTCTTTAGTTCACTAATGTCTTTTATTCGTCCTGGAGACTTCTCCATAATGGACACATCTTTGTCAATTGTTTTCGATGATGGACGAGTGTTGCTGTCCACCACTGACATTTCGATTCTGTTATTTGTACTTGAAAATGTTTTTACTTTTGGCTCTCGGTTTAGACAAATGTAGTCATGATCTCGGTTCCTGGTATCCTCGCTTTGATTTTCCTTCGATATAAAATGTACATCTTTGCTTTCTTCACCATCCGATGCTGTATCATTTTTATTTTCAAATTCTGAATCGTCATAGAATTGTGGATCGTCATATACCCGTGGAACGTTGCACTCTAGGTAATGATTTAAAAGAGAAAAAAAAAGGATTAAGGTACAAAGATGCTGCTATGCAGTCCCAATCCTTCAATAAAAATTAGAAACTGATATACATACTATACCTTCGCTCTTTGCCGAGGTTGGATCATCCGACTTTTGTATCGTTTTCAACTTGCTCCCTTTGAAAAATCGTCCCTCTCGCACCGAGTATGCTACCGTTTTACTTTTGAAGGGAGGCACCTCTGGATAATTATGCACCATTCCATCGGTGTCCTTACCCGAGTCGATAGAGTCAACTTCAAAACAATCTCCCCGATCAATCGAAACTCTTTCCTGTACTTCTCCCCGACTACAGTCTATACTCTCGGTTTCAGAAGTGGATTCGGCAATCTCATCCCTAGATGTCTTCCTGGATTCTTCTTCATCTTTACCAAGATAATCAGTAGCCTCCTTCGCGAGGCTCATACTCTCTCGTGTTCTCCTCTCTTTGTCGGTTTCCCTCTTTTTCTAACCACTCGACTGGTCGCTGCAGCCGCTCTCCCAAATTGGAGGTTAGGTCTTCCCTAACATCGAAATAATCGGCCGTGTGTCTCTAAAAGATTTTTGTCACACAATTAACAATCTAAAGTGCATACGTCCCGCCGATTTACCGGCGATCGATCATACCTCTTGAAACCCTTGACTCGGTGTCCGAAGGAAACTTTTCCGAAGGTCCTTCGATGTTTTATCATCACTTTTCTACGATACTACCCAGATGGCGTGTACCACAATGGCGTCTTTGGACATCCGCACTGGATCGCATCGCTTGTTACGACGTTGACTGTGGTCGACCGTTACGTCCTAAGTTACAGTTCATGCCCGGTTTATGAATATGGTCTCGAAATCTTTCTATGGTCGCTCGGAAGTCGAAGTTGCCCGCGAAGCTGCTTCTCTCGTAATCACTGCCCCCTTTTCTGGCAAAATCCGAGAAACTCAACGAACTCTCGTCACAGCCCGTACAACGCACTGAACGAAATGGATCAGAGGTGAGTCGAGAAAGATGGCGCCAGTGATCCAAGATGGCGTCGCGTCGGCAGTAGAACGCGCTATTGGTCGAACGCCGCGGCATGACGCGTCCGGAAGTAGCCAATGAAACGCAGGATTCGCTCCTATCGAAGAGATCTCTCTCCTGTATAGCTGATTAATGAGCGAAAAGGAAAGATTATTAACTAATCAAAACCCTAGTAGGAACAACTTAAACAGAGAATTACATTTTTATTATTTTTTAAACAGGTTCATCCGTTCACTGAAAAATTCCAGAAATATTGCTTCAAAGGCAACTTACCGATAACTAATAATTTACCGATAGCCGATAGTGAGGTACTATCCGATTGCTGACTTACCACGAATAATTTATTTCCTTCTTTCTGTAATTATTCCTATCATTTAAATACATTATTCAGAAGGTTTCGAACGTTACAAATTCAGCTGATTTATTCAGTCAAAAAAAAATCAAGTTTTCCTGAAACCTTTTACTAGACATTCGGATATGTAATTTACAGTTGCGCTAAATCTATCATTGATATGGATTTATTAATTAGCGAAATATGTTCGAATATTCCGAAAGGAGAGTTTTAGAGAGGCGAATTAAAATGGACGAAAAAGAAGGGAAAGTTAGCATTGTTTTCGGGCGACGATTCAACGCGTACAGACGCTTTCAGACGTGTCAAACGGGCTGAACTCGAGCATCGAACTTATTTAACCCCCTAGAAATCACGGCGCATTTATGTCGATTTATATTAGAACGAAGACTGGAGGAGGAATGCGAATAATGCAAGGCGTCACCACATCGCGTCTGATAAAGGTCGATCCGGCGTGTATCGAACGTTCCGGTACGACCAAGAATCGCACAACGATGGGTATGTAAATTAAAGGACGCGACTTTTCCACGTCTCGAATAAAACGGAATTTTTTCCAGCGAAGTCGAAATGAAGGCGTCACATGTTCGCCGCTAAAAAGACACAAGTCACCAGATTCTCCTCCAGAAATCCGGCCAAAACTAGAACCTTCCAAGCATACGCAAAAATAAATGACGAATTTAAAGCGTCGTAATATGTCACGTCTGGCAGCAATTATCACACCGAAGAAAGATGTATCTTCCAGAAATTTCTTTCCAAGAAACACCGATGAAAACATTCTTGAAAAATTCCACCGACGTGTTTAACCATCGAGTGCAAATTACCAGTGGTCCCCCAAAGAGAAACATCGCAATTCCAACGAGATATAATCGAGAGGAATCTTCGAAATAAATACAAATTCCTAATAAAGGTAACTCCCTAAAGGCACGCGCACATCATAGCCGAAGCGAGCCGTAATGCATCGTAATATTCCATCTATAATATGCGATGATCCATGTAAAAGCTATGAAATCGATCCCGTGGGGATTTTTAAAATGCGACGCGTTGCGGTACGCCCCGGCATAATGTGTGTGAGCCTTAATAAGTACAGAATGAGAAGAACGAAAACCTCTGCTAAAATCTTTTATTCGGAGGACGAAAATACAAGTACAAAGACATTCGTTGTTCCAACGAGGTATGGAGATCGTGCTTAGGAAATCCGCGACGTCGTTCCGAGTCGAGGGCGCCGTTCCGATGTAACCTCTGCTGCGGGTACTTCTGTAAACTTCTGGGAGCTTCTTCGGATGCCTGGTCAACGAGGAGTTATTGAAATCGACATCGATGAAGACACTGCAGACTCGGACCCTCGCGTCCGCCAAGCGTCAACCCTCGGGCGCGGTATTTTCCCTCCCGCTTCGGCGACAAGTCCCCTCCTCACACGAGCTGAAGACAATTGATTTTATGCTCGAGCAGCATATTGTTCTCGGGTGGCAACGCTAAACAGGCCCTGAGTATATTTTCGATTGCGGCTCTCTGCTTGAAGAGCGCGTTGACGACCGGCGTGCCGGGTGGTACCAAAGGCGCCTTGCACAAATACGAGAGTATGGAAAGTACGCTGTGAAATTCCGTGAATTCCCCGCTTTCGTCGTCGGCTCTCTTAAAGCTGATCCTGGAGCAGAGTTCCGCCAGGACGACCAGGTCGAGTATTATGGGACTGGCCAAGAGGGAGTCCTCACAGGTGTTGTGCACCACGATGGTGTTAACTCCGCCCAGCATGATCTCCGAGGTGTACTCGTCGAGGGCTCGCTTGCTGTCACCTGGACAATGAGACGACAATTTTATCACGCTATTCGGAAGCCCGGAAAATCGGCGTAACGTGTGCACATCGGCGATTTGGCGAATCGTTTATCGGACAGGAAATCTATGAGCAATTTAGATTCGCCCGAGTCACGTACACCGATACAATTGTCTCAGTTTTATCGGCGCAAGGATACTCCTTGCGTAATACTACCTCTATTTTCGAAATCGACAAGATTATTCTACGTACCGACATACGGGACGTATTTGATGACAACACAGTGATCGGGTTTCTCGCCCGGCTGATAGAGAACTCTATTGGATTCCACGACGTCGTCCACCACGTTGCTCTTCGATATCTGTAAGAGGAAACGAGGAGAAATATGGTCAGCGACCGGTTGACAGTAAAAATCTGGTATTTGTTGTTTCGCATTTTCTAATAATAATAAAAAAGTAATCGGCATACCTCTTTCGAGCGAAACTGTTGTGGAGCGGAGAGGTTGTAGCCGTCGTTGTTGCCGAGATGATTGTAGCTGACGATGGACACCGGCTTGATGCCGGCCGATACCAGAAAGTCCACCAGGACGGACTTCAATTTTGTCTGACCCGACTTGAAGTCGTCGCCGCCGATGAAGGTCTTGCAGATCTCGGCCAGCTTGATCGCCCCCGGTACGAAGGTGTTTTGTGGGGAGCCATTTAAATAAGTACACTGAAACATAGTTTCTTTTAGTCGATCCAATTCCGTGAGACCTTCAACCCCATCTCCTACGAAGAAGAGCAATCTTACCCCCTCCAAAGCGGCCGCAACGGCGAACATGGTGCTGGGGCTTATTTCGGAATGATTTTCGTCGATAGCCTTAAGGAGGTTTTCCGCGGTATCGTTGACGCCGGCGATCACGTCCGAAAACCTCTCGGTGTTGGCCGTCCACAGGACGATAACGCGGTCTAAGTTGTTCACGGACTTGAATTCTACAATGTCTTCTCTGATCCGCTGCAGTTGTTCCGCCTTGGATCCTTCGATCACGTTGTTGGCGCGCGTTTCCTAGACCAAACCGTTTCAAAGAATCGTTAGAAGCTGACGATGACGACTCTTAGGTAAACTCTAAAAAGGTACCAGCCATACCTGATTGGCCGCGATGAAGTCGAAATAATAAAGGCTCTTCCTCGGTTTCAGGTGTCCCAAGTGAGGCTTGAGCTGCTTCTGCAGATTAATGTCGATGACCTTAGCGCGTTCCATGGCGTCGGCCAGGTTGGCGCTGTTGATGTCCCAGCCGTCTAGGACGATGTCGTTGGGTTCCACCATGGGCAGCACCCAAGACAACGGGACGTAAGCATCCTTCCCATCCTCGTCGCTCCCCAGCCTCACGGTAGAAGCCTGGGTGAGTGAACCAAACCAATTGGCCTTCTTGAGTCCGTTTTTTGTCTCCCAGCTGAGACCCAATTTGTTCGCCAAAAGAGCCGCGGTTATCGTCGAGCCATTGTTGCCGCCCCAGCCAACAAGCATCACCCCCAGCTTCGGGACGTTCAGCTGGGTGCGGATCCTCAGGTTCGAGGAGACCGGGGTGACCTGCAAAAGAACGTTCTCCAGTTTTCGAGCGATGCCAAAAGGGGGAAAAAAAAAATACTCGACCTTCGTATTCGCTTCTAAATCGGTCTAAAAATAACGTTCGATCATACCAAGGATGCTTGCCGCTCTCTCGTTTCTAACACTTTTTTTTTATTATTCAAAGAATTTAAAAAAGAAAATTTTTTATCACCCTTATCTTAGATTCTACCAAAGTCGAGGAAAAACGCGGACAGCTGCCATTGGATCGTATTGAACGAAAGTGACGAATTTTAAATATTCTTTTTTCTCTTGATTCCAACTTCTACCTAAATCGGGGGAAGCGCGCGCCGGCCAATCATGGATCTGTATCTGTATCTTTTCGAATTTCAACCATTAACTAAAGGCCCAGTACCATTACCAATCATGGATCGCGATTCTCTCGATAGAGGGTAAAGTCAAGGTCGAGTACTACCGCGGGAAGTAAGGTACTCCCAACTTACCACGTACTCTGGATGCTGGTCGTCGGGTCGCCTGACCTTGGTCGTGTGGTACTCGTACTCGGCCTCTATGCACTCCTTGGTGTACTTCACCTTGGGCGAGTCTACGTAGACCTTTGGGGCCATGGTCTTTGAAAAAATCCGAAGGAGCAGCACGATACCTTCGGGCGAGCTCGAATTTTGGCGCGACGTTCAAAATTCCCGCGCGGACTAGCGAAGGGAGCGGATAAATCGGTGCAAAGTAACCCCCGGGAAAAATATAAGAAAGCGCTATCGAGATCGACGGTGGGAAAGAAAAACTGTCGTACCGGTTCGAATAGTGGTTCGGATCGGATGCGAGTGAGTCGCGGCTTGTGTGCGAGCGGCATAAAAGAACGTCGAGCAACCGCCCCTCCATGCTTTCGGACCACGTATATGCGTAACGTTATTATACACATACATATGTATATATATATTCGGTTACCGGCAAAGACGTCCGGCTTATCAATCGAGTCGAATCGCGGCGGTAAACTCGAACGTGCTTCGACGGTAGAATTCCCTTTGCACTAACGGCTTCAATTTCGACGTTATCGTTCGTTTGCGATATTGCCGATATCGTAACTCGATCCTCGCCGATCCATCGGTGACTTTCAACTTCTGGGCAAAATTTATGCGGAGACAGTCTATTCTTCTACAGAAACGAATAACAGAAGAATTTACATTAACGTCGTAAAGCTATCGATGGATCTAACAGAATCATTCGGCAAAATTTCCCCTGAAAAAGAGAACAAAAACCTGTCAATATCCCATACGTGGCATGTAATAAATACGTCGCTTTAATGATCTTCAATCAGGACGTGTACTTTCGAGGTTAGACTTGGCAGTTCTTCGCCCAGCTCTTAAAAAACTGGAGATAATCCATGTTCGATCGTTAAGGGGATATCGTATTTACATATGATAAATAATTAATGAATCTTTATCTTGATAGATGGAGCAAGTACCGGAAGCAATTTTTTCTCTTTTTTTTTTCAATTTCGGACAACCCGTTTCGATCCCATCCTCAGTTGGATCGTTTTTCGCGTGTTCAGCTGGCGCCATCTTGGATGTTTCTCGATCAGCGGAGAAGGAGAAAGGGACATTCCACTTTCGTCCAGATTCATACGACGCTAGCTTGTAGATTGTCGCAATTGATTCATCCAGTTGAGATGTGTCGAGAACCTTCCTAACGACAATTACGGCTAGCAGATCGGTCATGGGGTCTCCCGGCAGCGTCGCCGATTGTGGCGACTAATTCTCTGACAACAGACGAGGTCTTGCCCCAGTCTTCCACCGATTAGTTCATCTCGAACAGTCTGCAGATTTCCTAACATGAACTTTTCCTCTGCTAAGAGACTCGCAAATGAAGAGCAATTCTTGGCTAGAAATTTTGATACGGAAGCGGATCATGTTAGAATTCATATTAATTACTGTCAGGCAGTATCGACTTGAAAGTACCCGCCTTCCAGAAGCTTCCACAGACGCACGCGATTCACGCATGACGAGCTATAAGAAGTTGGAAAACAGGATTTTTTATACACCTTTTCCTTGTTCTTTTGGAAGAAATCAAAGACGCAGCACTCACTTAACTATATGTCACTGTCCCAGAATTATAATACCATGATATTTCCTTTACTTGAAAATATTTCACTCGGCAAGTTACCAACAAAGAAATTTCATAAACTTGCTAGAAACATTTGTGGCAATGAATGTAGCATTAGGTTTAATATAATCATATTGGAATCTTGAACTAGCAAAAAGAGCTCTGCTGCATCCAACTTTGGTTATTTCTTTTTTTATTACTTTTTCAATGTACAATATAACTGTACAATAGAGTATAGACCCATTGAAGATCTTCCTCCGCACACAGCGATCCTTAGTTTTAATCGAACAGACCTAGGACAGAAAAAGAGGAAATATATTTGAAAAGGGTGTTTTATTAATTTTTTGAAGATCGACCTGGCTAATTCTCTTAAAAACTTATATAGTTTCGGTTATTTAATTCCTTACTCACCAAAACCCATGTCGTCGTCTGATTCTTCTTCGGGTTCCTCTTTCTTCTTCTCTTCCTTGGCAGGTGCAGCTTCAGCAGACGCCGGCGCAGCAGCAGCTGGTGCTGTTTTGAGAAAACGGATTCATAATTAAAACATGTTTAATCGATTCAGATTTTATTTTTAAATAATCGTCTAACACAAAGGTCATGTCGTCGACTGTACTATAGATCTAGCTCATAACTGATCCAATCTAATGGGTCATTCGACGCATATTGTTATTCTCTTTTTTGCTGACCGCACTGGCAAAAGAATTGACCAGTCCAGTGGATGAAAAGAGATTTCACAATAATTGTTATACATCCAAATACTTCCACTAATTGTCATACGGCAACATTAAAAAAATAAGTTACTAATCGAGGATAGATAACAACAATGAATAAAAACATACCACCAGCAACTGGTGCAGCCCCAACTCCGGAACTTATGTTTGTAATAAGATCTTTCACATTAACATTCTCCAGGGCTTTAGCAAACAACCCAGGCCAGTAGGGTTCGACGTCCACATTTGCCGCTTTAAGAATCGTCTGTATTTTCTCTCCCTGAAGTGATTTCATTTTTACTTTAGTTCACGAAAAGTACGAATGCAAATAATAGTTCACAGCAATTTCACAATAAGTCATTTAACAGTCAATTTGACGCAAAACGTGACAAACACAAGAAGACTTGAGGATAATCGTCGCGAGCAATTAAGGTTATGTACCACTGTTGCAAACACGTTTTTTTATCGTTTTAGCACGTAAAATACAAATCAAAATAGACGTGACGATGTATGTGATAAGGAAAGAAATTAAATAAACATGAAATTCTTTGTTGCAAATAAATAAATAATTAATACATGCGTGAAACAATACATGTCAATAGCAGGTGAGGTTACTTACCGTAACCGCTACGTCGTCGTCGACGAGGATCAGGGCGGAATATACGCACGCGAGCTCTGCTTTTGTCGCCATATTTTCGTGTATAATTCGAGGGTGGATGAGCTTTTACGAACGTGCAAGTCGCCGATACGGCTTTAACTCCAAAGTAGAGAACAAACACGTCGAAAGCACAAAACACCGGAAAGACCACGGACGAGCTGGCTCCCGATAACGGAACTCGATTCAGCGCCACCAAGACGGTTGGTGTTCCATAAGTGAACCTCGTAAAAGCTGCATGGATGTACATATGATAGATAAGTAAGGAAAGTCAGTGGCGGTGTGATGGCGCAATGATCAAAGGGGAACGTGCAAGAAGTATGAAAGAGTGCGCAGCCCGTGAATCGCTGTCGCCTATCGGCCATCAACCGAAACTGTTCCATATTCAGCATTTACTTGCTTTTCATTCCATAACAGATTCAGATTTTACCTACAAATCGAAAACTCTTTCTCGAGGACGTAGGCATTCTCTACTAGCTTTGATTTCAGGTATAGTCATGCGCGCACGTGTGAATTGAGATCGCGTCTGACAACCTAACTTAACCTTATCAACGATTGTGAATATGTGGTATGGTGTAAAAGTTCATAATTGATGTGATCCCTGTGTGCAACCATTGCAGGTAAGACGAAGTTTGATCATTACATTTGAAATGAAATCAGAAAATAAGAAGAATAAATATAACGCTAACAATAAATAACTTAGCAACAATAAGTAGGTTAGTTCAACGAGAATCATGATACGTCAGATTGGTTCTGCCATACACCCGAGGAGAAATCGAGGTACTCAGTGAAGTTGGCACTTAACGTGACACTCTTTTGCTTTCTCCAAGCACTATCAGCTTCAAAAGTGTATGAACGAACTTTGATCAAGTGAAATAAATCAATTACGCAATTAACCTCTTCAACGTTTTTATTTTAATTACGCGTGTCCATCAAGGTTAATTACTGATAAATACAGTAAAACTTGTTCTAGGTGGTGGATCCGCAGTTATAAATTTCCTCCTGCTAGCAACAAGTCTGGCCTGGTCGATGACAGAATAATTACAACCCTGGAGCTCACTGAAAGTGCTTAAAATGTCTAATGACATAGTCGATATGGACAATGCGAATGGCTACAACGATCCTGGTAAATGGGTATTTAAATTTTCTAATGAATGTTACGGTCTGTTTCTTATATACATTTTTTAATTCCAGTTGTCGAGGAGATTCAAATTCCTGTTCCTTGGGGTCACATCAGTGGTAAGAGTATTTTTTAAGACTATGTAATATAAAATATGTAATGTTGTGTTATTTAAAATTGTTGTACCAGAAATTTTAGCATAATTATGTGTCACGTGATAGGTTGAGTGGCACAGTTTAATTTAAAGTGTGAATTCAGGAAAATGGTGGGGTTCGACAACTCAGCAACCGATTGTAGCACTACATGGCTGGCAAGATAATGCTGGAAGTTTCGATAGACTGGCGCCTATGCTATGCAAGGAGATGCCAATTCTTAGCATAGACCTTCCAGGTCATGGATTTTCCTCGCATCATCCTGAAGGACAATTTTATTATATGTTCTGGGATGGAGTTATTGTTTTACGCAGACTTGTTAAATATTACAAATGGAACAAGGTGAGATCTAAAAAATATTTTTCCATATTCAGTATCTTAATAACAGTGCATGTTTCTTTGTAGGTGAAACTTCTAGGGCACTCCTTAGGAGGAGCAATATCGTTTCTTTATGGTGCATCATTCCCAGATGAAGTGGATTTCCTGATAAGTTTGGACATTGTCAGCCCAAGTGTCAAAAATCCAAAAACTGTGGCAGAAATCACTGGGAATTTCATAGACAAGTTTATTAAATATGAGTCCTTGACACTGGAGGACGTACCCTCTTATCAATATAACGATATGTTGAAAATTGTTCTTGAAGCTTATAATGGCTCCATCACCAAAAGCAGTGCCGAGATTCTAATGAAACGTGGAATGCAACCAGGTCATACTCCTGGATTTCACTACTTCTCCCGTGACCCTCGACTTAAGGTAACTTTCTTTGTTTGACAGGTCAGCGTCAAAGGATCTACAACGTAACCTATTCTAATCGGTTCAACATTTGCTTAACAAAACTGTGAGACACTGCATATTCTTATATTGTATTCAAATGAAATTTTTTTCAGGTTTCCACATTAGGTATGCTATCATTAGACGTAGTCATGGCCTATGCAGGTCGCGTTAAATGTGCCTACCTCAATATCCGAGCCTGCCCCGGCATGAAATTCGACAATCCGGAGAGTTACAAACTGGTACTCGATGAAATAGAAAAGGTTTCCAAGAGATTCAGGTACTGCGAGATCGAAGGCACGCACCATGTGCACCTGAACTCCCCTGAAAGGGTAGCTCCCCTGATCTTGGAATTTATAAAACACTAACGATACGTGATCCTAGACCTTGATGTAGTCCCTCGATCACAGCTTGTTTCGTAGATATTTTGTGGTGAAGAGCAAGTCGTTAATCGCAAATAAGTAGCGAATCCTCAATCTTTAACATCACCAGAATTTCACAGAGAAAAAATCTTAAGTGTACGTTCATTTTTGTAGCCTAAAATTGGTCTAACAGGCCTATTTATTTAGGAATTGAGTGTTGCGTTAACTTCGAGAATGTTAGCCACTAAACGACAAAACGAAGTTTTTTTGGGTACTTTCTCATTTACTGATAATTTAATTGACGATTTCATTCTTTTTTTACGAGATGACTAGGGCAGGGCCCGTTCTATTTTTGTCTAGTTTCGTCTTAATGACGTATAATAGAATGATTTTTAAAAGCTTCGTTATCCGATCGAACAAACTATGTAACATGTACGCGTCGGACGTGTACAATTATGAATAAAAGACAGCTAATTTAATTTACGTCCGTTGCTGTTTCATTGCCGGCGACTCCCTGGGTGGTTTTTTGTATCCTGTTAGAGAGCTCCTGAATCCTGGCAGTTCACCGACGAGACATTCATGTTTATTCTCTAGAATTTTTCGCCTATCTGCAGAAAGACCGGTTCGCGTTTATGTAACTCAAACCTGAACTGATAAGCTACTTCTAAATGATACTCGCTATCGTCTCACCTTGTCTTTTTCCGTACTCAATATTTTTTTTATGCCTCTTATACTTATGCCTTTTATTTTATTCGTTTCGCGTTACTTCTACCCCTTATTTTATCCATCGGTTGTACAACATTCGGGAGACTTTATCAGTTTTATCGACTAACAGAGGACACTCCTATCTTTCGGAATATTGCCAGTCACGCGGGAATTCGGAATAGTTACACGATTGTTGAAACAGATGTTCTCGGAAAGGAAATTAATAATCGTACCATCGGTCCGACGATCTAACGGGTCGAGCGGAGTATTTGATCAGCTGACGAGCTGTCGAATTTCAAAGTAAGGCAACGGAACGCAAAGAAGTCTTAAGCTTCGGAGTGATCTAGGCTACCATCGGGTCTCCAGTACATCTTTTGCTTCATTTAGCGTAACAAGGTGTTCCCTTGGATTTAAATGAAAATTTATATATTATACAAAATTGTATAAAATAATGTAAAGTCGTATAAATATGGACAAATGAAGAAGAGATCGACTTTAGTGTCCGACCTCGGGGTGAGATCCGCGATGGTTGCATCCGGTTGTTAAGTATTATGTTCCTTTTAAGTCGCTCGCCAAGTTCTCTCGTTATCAAAATACCTCGGAAACGTGCCCTCGCTATCGAACGTCCAACGTTCGTAAAATGGCATGCATACTATAATTACCACCACGATAGGATGACCCAGTAGTGCAAGAATTGGCATGGATGCACCATTCTGACGAGTCAAGTCGATCGTCTAGATCCTTTTACGCTGAGTTTTGTGTCTTCTGAATGAGTGCTTCGTTTCCACATCGGTTTAGGGGGTTTCTTAAAGATGTATGAAGAATTTCGGTAGTATAGAAACAAACAATTTTTCTAAGAGAATCCACAGAACCGATCGACATTTGGTAACGTCTTATCGACCCGATCTGTCGATCCAAACGTTCAACAAACTTTTACTCGATAAGTTTGTTCGTTCGGCTCGAGTTATCGGGTTGAAGGGTCCATCGATGTTGTGGAAGAGACTCGACAAGTAAATAGTCCATAAGAAGAAGCAATCATGTTTTTTTTACTGTATTTCTTAGAAAATCACGGTAAGCTTTAGACAACTCTGCGAGCTCTTGTTGAGTTGGGGTGAAAAATCCTATTGTCCTCAGTCGTGCTCTTGTAATCTCCAAATTCTAAAAGTAGTGCATTATTTTTTAATCATTTCATCTGTCTAGTCAGAAAAACAAATCACAGGTATTACCTTCAAAAGTCGCTCATTACGAAGATGTGCTTCCTGGTGATCCATGTTAGAGCTCTTTTTGTAACGAGAATTTCGGCAGAAAACAGGTATGTACGCATTCGTCACAGTACTTCAAATCTCTCAAGGTTTTCTCTGTAATTAATGATTAACTTACCTAACCTCCTCGTTGCCATGCAACCGCTACGCACTTCGCGCACGATTTTTGTACTCAACTAGGTTATTCTTGTATCCTACGCAACAATGCAATTTGTTAACGTGCACTGCATAATTTTTTAATGCTAACGAGTCTGTTAAAATTTGTTACATCACAAACGATACAACAAACAGGACAAGGGTTCAGCAACAACTAAGATGTTTCAATCTCAATCTAACTCATCACACCTTGAAGTCCTTAAAGTGCAGTCCAATCAAGAAGAACCGAAAAGAATCTATGCTGTCAACTCCAGAGCTTATTAAAGTGTCATCCATGTTCTAGTTAACACAACGGAGTAGGAAAGGATATGTTTATTGTGGAATTAAGCGTCAATATTTGTGAATGAAACAAATAAAGTACCACTTCACCTGATGTCACTTCCACGGTTAACATTTAATACCGACAAGTTACTGTAATTAAACTTTATTTAATATAAACTGTAGTCTGTATTTTCGAGATTATGGTTTGTAATCTTGATAAATGTATCTTTTTTAATGTCTTAAGTCTTCACGAACAGTACTATATTTAAGATCGAGAAAACAAGGAAATGTCATTAGCGAGTCACCCTTTCACTTTGTCATTCACTGTGCTTCGCGTATTTCTACACTTTGCAGTTGAGGCTAAAACAAATTAACCAGTATAAAAAGTAATTCAAAATTATTTAGTGGCTTTTCTTTAAGTTCTTAAACTCACCATGATATAGACATGGCTCCGCTGAGATCTTTCCAACACTTCGGCAAGTCGACTTCCATTTATCTTATGCTCGTCATCTATACAAGAACAAGTTATGTAAGAAGTGTCAATATTGCCAGTTTATCTACACAAGTAAGCACATACCAGCAGCAACCGTCAGAGACAAGGTGGGCAGAGCTACGAAACCTGGCACTAGTGGGCGTAGAATCCACTCGATTTTATGTTCTTCATGTGGCAGTAAATAGACATCCACCTGAAGAAAAATAAAGGAACTACTAAATCTGACTTTTAAGAAATAAATATAGTTCAAGTTGGCTAAAAGTACTCGACTCACATGTTTGTGTCCACTGAACATGAAGGCATCGCTAGCTATCATGAGACTACGCAAGGTAATTAGATAGTTGGTATGATTACGGATAAAGTAAGAGACATACAGAGGTGTGCAAACCCATCCATGGGCTGGCAACTGCACCTCCAATCCCACACCTACATCCTCCACTTTTAATGGTGACAGCGTTACACTACTGCTTGTTTCTAAACTTCCAGGCGAATTAGCACTGTAAATAACATTTTCATGAATTAATAGGTTGAATAGAGGTATTATTTACTGAAAGTTTATGTAATGTACTGCTCGTATAATTTAACTATCTCTCCCTGATTTTCTATGATTATTTACCGTTTCCACTTAATAGTGTAGACTCCAATACTGACAGGTTGTTCACTGCCTACTTTGGGGACGAGGGATACAGCTTCCGCAGCAGTTTCTCCATCATGAAGAATAACTCCTTCCAAAGTGGAATTCTTGGGCTCCTCCTTCTCCCACACTAATGAATCTCCCTAATTGAATATGTATTCTCTATCATCATCCCTTTTTTGAATTAATCCATCAAGTTTCCCTGTAATCTGTTTTGTATAAATTAATCTAGTAGACTCACCAGCTTAATCGATGTACTGATTATTGTAATAGGCCAAGGAGAGAGGCAGGTGATGCGAGGCATCAGGATAAATGACTCATTAACAAAGCCCTTATTCATAGTCTCAAAGAGAGTAGTGTAAAATCGAGTTGCTACATCGAAAGGTTTATTCACTGGAAGGGTGTAGATCAATTCTTTCGCACCCCTTTGCCGGTCTATTGTAGAATACTCTACCTGTAAGCAATCCAGAAATCATAATAACATTATTCATTTCATTTCAGTCCAAATTTTAAACTAATAATATATTATTATACCTTCATCAGGAATTTCCTGTCACCAATTTTATGAGACCTCACGTAAATCGTCTCTTGAACAGGTTTATCTTTCTTGATGGCTTTTAAATCCACCAAGATAGTCGACAGTTTGTTGATCATGTCTAAGCTAAGATCCGCTGAAAAGATATTAAATTATATTAAATATATGATTTTACTTTTCATTAATCCAGAGTCACCGATGAGCCTTCGGAAGGACCTATTCACCATAACACATACTCGAGTGTTCATCGTTAGGATCTTGTGCCAAAAGAGAAACGGTAAGGCGAGCATCGTGAATCTCTTCAGCAGAGGATACACTGATGTTGATTGGAAGCCACTCTACCAGAAGAGAGGGGGCCTTTGCTTCGGCAACTACATCTACACTGGATTCCTGAGCCTTGATTTGAATACTGGTCACTGGCTTCACCTTTGCAAATTCCCCACCCCTGAGAGTCGAGGTAATCCCAGGTAAATAATTATTGCTACCCTTTGGAGCATCAAAGAAAATCAAATCCTCTTACCGTAGCTGCTGTATCTCAGGATACAACCTGTCCAGGAGATTGGACTCTCCATTGGTGGCGGAGAACCTCAAGACGACACAGTAACTTTTCTCATCTCCCAGATAAAGTGAAACGGAAGTGATCTGCAGTTCAGTCCCACTGGGCTGCTTTGGAACCCGGAAACTGCATACACGCTTCTTTGTCTCTCCAGAAGCAATCTTCAAGGAAGTGTCCATGCTCCCGGAATCCCTCCAATCCAATCCATCATCTAATCTAAACTCCGAACTATATCCTGCACCAGCTACGGTCACTGTACACTTTGAAAATTCCGCTGCACCAAGATGTAGATTTCTAGAAGGTAAAATAATAATTAAACTAATTTCAATTTTTGAGGTTATTGGAGAGAACCTAATAAGCCAACCTTACGAATACTTCGACGATGAGGACGGAATCAACGCTAATTAATGGCCCCTCAGTGAACCTGGCCTTCACCTCAACGAAAGTAGCCATGTTGTTGTCATCAATGGTGAAAAGCAGGGGTTCGGGTCGATTCAGTTCCGCAGTCCATTTCTCCATGGAAAGTCCTATCGAGTTCTCCGGAAGGTCTACTTCCGGATTAGGAACTTTCCTCTAAAGTTAGAAGAGAGTTCTTATCTGGTTGAAACAGTTTCAAGGTGAAACACAAAGATGCGATAATGAAGGAAACGTACACGTAGGATGTTCAGGATATTTTCGAATATAAGAGATCGCTGGACTTCGGAGAAGAGAGTGCCTGGTCCAAGTGCCTCCAGGGCCAGAGTTAGATAGTCCTGAATATTCGCCATAAGGTAGGCTGCTCGTAAACCATTCTTCAGGACATCTGTCAATAGCACTGGCCAACGTTCGCTGCGATATTCCCATAGCATATGCATCAACAGACTGCAGTGTAAAAACATGGTTTATCAGCGTAATTAATTTAGACTATGACAGTTTAAATTAATTGCTATTCAAAGCTTACGTCAAAACCTTTCCGTAGTCCATGCAGTTATAATACTCGTCAGCCATTTGTGCCACTATAACAGATAAACCATCCAAGGATCGCTTGGACTCATCCTTACTTCCAATTGACATTACCTAGATACTCACCTAGATACCTGCGCATCCTTGGACAACGGAATATCAAGAACTGGGTAATTGCATTGCCTAATAATCCTATTATTATGTCCTGTAAGTGGTGGAATATTTTCCCATACATAATATTGTTGTTCTATCTGGTTAATAGTTCTTACCGTAATAAAAAAGTACATAAATAAAGATAAATGGTCACTTACGGAATGATTGACCACAGTCTTCTCTTTGTATTGTAGAGCTTGAATTGCTGCCAATTCTCGGGGTGCATCTGCTGGTTCTGCACTCAGTTTTCCAGGACGCCATGGTCTCTGCCCATAGAATTCTAGTTTGTCTTGGTCGGCCAGTGGATCTGGATCTGGATAGTTGACCTTCTGAAATTTCAATTTAACTGGGTAAATGATGAGAAAGAAAGTAGAAGAGTAAGAACATACATCGCAAAGTTCACGACAGGCTGATTTCCTTAAAGTTGCGTGTTGCGCTGCTAATTGGAAGTAGTAGCCAGGATGTTGAGTCGAGACTGCAGAAAGTCCCTGGCGTATTGCCTCGTCAAAGAGCTCCGCAAAGGTAGAGAACTGAGCTGACATCCATGCATGGTGTTCAAAGGCTAATTCTTTCGGTCCAGTTCGCAGCTTAAATCTTATATAAATTGTCATAAGTTGGGATTATTAAATAGAACTGGAACACATACCTGTCTGTGTGACCTCGAAACTGACCAATGGCATCTTTTGGGCGATTTAGTTTAAACATTAGTCTGCAGAGTTTATAGTTAATAAAGCTTGCTACAGTCTTCACTTCCATTGCATTGGTATCCACTATACGTATGTCCAAGATATGGTTATATGCTTGCGAGTAATGCCTAAGAAAAATTAAAAATTAAGAAGAAATGATTTATGATTGTTGGATTATTTTGAAATATAAATAGTTTTACTTGTAAGCTATATGTTGGTCTTGTCTTAGTTCATTCAAAAACCCCATCTTGAACTGATGCCGAACAAATAAATACTGATGAGTAGTCTTATTCAACTGGTCTCGGTGTGCCTTAACAACATGATACTCATGATAGTAGAAACTTCTGCTGAGTTCATAAAGGGCACTTTCTAATCTAAAAAAGAAAATATTCATAATTATCTTATTAATATTTTCAAGTATTCGGAAATTTTACCTGGAAACGTATCCCAGTAGATGATCCCCATGTGGTAACGCATATAACATTTTAGCTGGTAATTCACAAGCTCCACAGAGTGCCGCGGCACGTTCTGTTGCTACAACATCTTCAGCATCCGGTGGTGGTGGAGCACAATGTTGTATCAAAACCACTGCAATTTTTGTACTTCGGCCATCAAGCACAGCCCTATTATACATATCGTATGATTATTCATACTGGCATCAAGTATTGTTTTAGAAGCCAAATTCTTTACCGCAAGGATTGCACCCGAGAAGCACATTCAATTTTCTTATCATTCCAAGTAGCATCATTCCAGTCTAAATCATAAAAGACTGCAACAATTGATGGAATCTCATGTAAATATTTAGGCATCCAATTACGCTTCAATATTCCTTTTGGAATATACCACTCGTACGAATTCCGCTGAAATAAACAAAAATATAGGAACATATTTCTACGTTAAATATGCTTTAAGCGAGTTTTGTCCTAACCTTAGGTTTAACCATTGGAAACGCATGGTTGTCATTCAGGAGTTTAAATCGCACGGGAACACCATCCGTCCGCCTATTGTTGCTGAACGCATCCCAAATAGATCGATGGACAGGATTGCTGGTGATATCTAAACCCATAACTCCTATCAGAGCTAGGGGCTTCGCAACTAACTCTGGTGGTAAATCAGCCATAGTCACTATAAAAAAACCTTTTTTATTACTTTACCTACCAGCAAGTTTTATCAATAAATTAATAAAGTACATTCAATTAAATACTGACCTGTCAGGGCCCAAATTTGTTAAGTACTAAATTATATCCTCACTGGATAGAACATTGTCCAACATACATTTCTACTTAAACGTAGTTTAATTTATTTACTTTTTATGCTATATTCTATTCACAACTGTTGCTTTTTAGCTATTTATCGTCATTTTTATGCTCTATTACTGTTCTTGTAAGTAGATGTCATAACCTAAAATCATACTAGAATATATGAATCACATAGCAGAGATGAGTTGAGAGATTGCTCATGGGCAGGGTCGCGCGATCGCCTCCTGTGCTGCCACCCGGTGGAGAATACGGACGGCTATCGCACTTGTCACCTGTTACCCTTCAGTGGCGGCGCAACACATTTCTGGTGAGGGCTCATGCAATCGAGATAGGACCGATCGCGGGACCCTGCCCGTGAGCAATCTCCCAACTCATCTCTGCACATAGCCACTTTTCTATCCGATAGTATCAATCAAGGTCCGATAGTATCGAATATCGAGGTTCGATTTTTTTCGACCAATTTCAACTGCCGCGTCGTTCAAACCTGATGTATCATGTTTTGCACAGACGAGAATAGATTTAAGAGAAATTGTTCGTGTGATGAGAGAAAACCAGTAATTGCAACCACAATTACAATTCAGTACGGTCCCTATCTCTCTTGGGGAATTATTAGACATAGGACGGAACGATTACAATGTTTAATAGGTAAATATTATATTATAGGTTACACTTGGACTATTTGTAAAACAATGTCATCCGATAAACATTTCAGAAACAATGCAGGAAATGGGTCATACTGTGATATTAGTACCTACTGCATTCTTTGACCGACTTGAATTGTACATTAAAGGGAAACTAATATTTCGGGGTAAAATAACAAATTTCGAAATAAATCCGATTGACATAAAAGACGATCCTGCATGCCTGGAAGCTTTGAGAGCTGTTGCAAACACTATAACGAAAATTGCAAGAAATATGAATATGTCAAACTAAAAGTCGTAAACGCCATGTCTAATATTTAATATCAGCATCTCTGTTAATATCTTATGCAATAAATGGATGCATTTCCGATAATCTTGAACATGCTTCTTGAACATTGACGGAATCCCTAAATGGCACCATTTGCTTTTTAAGCATAACTTCAAACTGATTTACTCGTCTATGTGAAATCGTATATTCAGAGACATGTGATCCAATGTGATCCCTGCAGTGTTTTCCTTTGGACTCTAACCTCAAATCTTCCGGGTGGAAGTCCAGTTCTCACGTAATTTTACATGTTCAAGAAAAGTATTTAGGCCATCGTTCAATAAATAGCAGCTTTTATTAATTCTTGTAATTGTGATCTCTAGGATTGTGCGATGACAGCTGATAATGAGTCAAAAGAAAATTCAAGTGATAACAATGTTAAACCGCCCATCCCAGCAGACGAATTCGACGGGGGAGATTTGTATCCCGAAAGAAGAGGAGGAACTTATAAGCGTAACTGGTTCAAAACTATAATTGGTTATGAAGGACGCGAGGAAATTGCAAAAACGAAATGCGAAAGAAACGTGTATAATAATATTAAAAATAGTACGTAAACATGCTTTACTATGATCGCATAACGTTAGGGGTTTATGGAGTTGTACCGAAAAGTCAACTTCGTTCAGTTACAGATTCATTAATGATTTTTAATCTATTAGGTCCACTCGTGCAACTTATGTTAGGAGCGTTAAAGAGCTCTGGGTGGTATGTATTAATGTTTTTAGCATTTTTATTATAATGGTATATATTACCATCGTCTATCAATTTGAATCGTCATTAAACCTTGTTAGTTAAATTAATACGTTTTTGTATAAATAGTACAGTGGTGAATAAACTGTAAGGAAATTTATTCCTAATTTATTAATTGGACTGCTGTAAGAGAGTAAGACTTAGAATTTTTGCTGAGTAATTAAAAATTTATATAACTGAGGTTTTGCATGACAACATTTTACTGTGATTGTAGTGAATTTGACTTCTCTCGACACGTTTCGTGTGAAATGTGCAGCGTGAAAGTGAGTGGTGGCTATGACCCTGAGTTAAATCAGGTAGGGATAAAAAAATCTATGTTTACCTTTGTATACACCTGTTCTTTCTGTCACAAAATATGATATTGTTTTAGATAGTAATTTGCCAAAATGTCGCACGTAGTAAGGAAATGGTACAAGGTGTATTGGTACACGAGATGATCCACATGTTCGATTACTGCCGGAATAAATTAGATTTTAAAAATATCGATCATCTAGCTTGTACTGAGATCAGAGCTGCGAATTTGGCACACTGTGGTTTCCTCAGTGCTTGCACGGAAGGTCAAGCATCATTCATAAACATTCGGGAAGCACACCAGGTAATAAAATCATTAACAAGTATCGATTTAACTGAACAAAAATTCATTTTTTGCGACATATATCAGCAACAATAGAAACTTTCAATAAATCTCTTTTCAGAAATGCGTGAAAAACAAAGCTATGCTGTCCGTACTTGCCGTGCGGAAAATATCACAGGAAGAAGCAATGGCCGCGGTGGAAAGAGTGTTTCCAAAATGCTACAAAGATTTAGAACCAATAGGCCGACGGCTTCGACGGAATTCCCACGATATGCATAAAGCTTTTATGGAAGGACCTTACTACGGTTATGAATTATAATACCTTCTGAAAAATCAATAGCATTTTATAATCGATAGTAAATCAATTCTTGTATCTACGACAATTTATAAATATTTATCGTTATACCGAGTGAGCATTTCAAAGAGTTTTCATGTAGCCAATTGTCCCGAATTATCCCAGCATTTGAAAGGAATAATTCAAGCATTTTTCACATACCGTTATTGCCACCGTACAAGAGCCTCATAAAAATAGGTCGGCGGTACAAATAGTTCCACAGTGAAAGCGCAGTAAATAGCGCTACGATTTATCGAGCGTGTTTTGTTGTTCTCCATAAAAATAGAAGTCGATCGCAATTTTACACGTAATACTCTTCAGCGGTCAAAACCGGAACGGAACCCGCGCACCAAACCGGAATTCCGCCGCTTCCGGTCGCGTTGTGCCCTGTGAATGGTATTCAACCTTCGACCCCGTAATTCCGACCACTAATCCAAAAGCGATATTTATAGAATATTCCTTTAATCGCGATCGTCCATTCCATACTTTGCTACTTTCAAATCACCCGAAGGTTTCCCATTTTCCAAGCTTTTCGCGACCCTGGGTTTCAAAATCTCCTCCCACGGTCAATGTTGGATATTTTCCCTCCCTTCCGCGCCAGTGACATACTTCCTGGCATTCCCTTCTTTCTTGCTTCCTCGAAAAGACGTCCCTACCGATTTTTTGTATCCTTGGCTCGACTTCCAACGAGGCCATTTGGCTGTCCCGCCGACAAAAGCGACCAACGCGAGTTTCCTCAAACCGCATTAAATCCAACCCGAGGTCGGGCATTCCCGGTGCGGGTTTTATCTCCTAAACAACGCACGGAGGACGGCGTTGAAAAATCTAAGGCGGAATCGATCGGGTTCTATTATCAATCCCATTTAATTCGGGCGAAGTTCGAGGGAGGAACGACGCGCTCAGGCCGCGCTAGTGACACACTTCCTGGCATTCCTTCCTTTCTTTCTTCCTTCCCCGAAACGACGTCCCTACTGATTCTTACATCCTTGACTCCACCTCCACCGGCATTCACGCGATCCATTCGGGACTGTAATCTCTGTTCCGTGGTCACCGGTAGTGGGACCAAGTGGGACACCGTCCTCAATATAGTCGGCCGAGTCGTTCCCTCGAGAGCCCCTCTCGTTCCCGAGTGACGGTCGTCGTCGGATTTCCTCAGAATCCCCGGAGTTCGACCACCAGGGAACACTCTTACCGACGGGCTCATCGATTCGTACCGGATGTGGTCCTGGACACGTTTGTTTTAATTACTCAATCGAATCGGCCGAAACAGCGGGTGAGTTTTTACCGCCACTATTATATTTTTTAATTAACAACCTATACGTACCAGACATCGCGTCCGATATCCATTAAGCACCACGTAGATCCGATTTATTCGGTTCGAAGTTTCGGCCGCGTCGAGCGACACTTTGGAATGCTCCACAATGTGATAATGATATTCATGGTACCCCGGCTTGGAGTGAGCAGTGAGTTTCAACGAGTACCGTTAACGTCACTCTCTCGACTTGAACCAACTCGGATGCCTGCTGGAGAAGGAATGAAATATTTACCACGGAATGTAAATCATTTTTTATTTAGGATATATTTACCAGTAACATTAACGTAACCCAGTTCAACGTAGTTTCTCGGACCGATGACTCCTCTCGCGCCCTGGAAGACAACATCCTTGTAATAACATGAATAACACTCCTGGAATTTCCTTATCCCCGAGAAAAGGCATTCGAGATCGGAAATTATAGCAAAAAACGAGGAAACGGCTTCGCGGATCGGGAATTGGGACGCGTAATGAAATTAGGAACGAAACTGGAAAGCGATACCTCAAGGAGGAACGAAGTCGGTACATCAAGGAGGAAACGAGTCTATGGACTCGAAGGAAATTCCTCTCCTCTTCGTGCTGTCAGGTCGTTAGAGGTGGTTTAATACTTTACTTCGTCGGTGATCAATCTTTCAATTCCTTAAAGGATTAAATCTCCTTCATATTACTTAGATATTACTGTAAGTTCAAAGGATTAGTCGTCGGTATTTTCCTGCGCGGGGTGATTTTTAAAAAATAACCGTTGGATCGGCGGTCGCGGCCAAGGTCGTGCACGAGTCGACGGTCGGTCGGGAGGACATCGGCGGACGCGCAGTGCGCATCGCCGGCGCGCACCTTGCCGCCGCAGCAGGGCATCTCGCGCTCTCCCGCGTTGACGCGCGACTCGCGAGCTTACTCCACCGCGAGCTGGTCCTCGCGCAGCATCGCTTTACACCGCGATTGGCCTCCCGTCCGTCCTCGCGCGTCCTCCGTTCGCCGACTGTTCTCGTCCTCAGTCGCCGAGCGCGCGTCCCCCGAGCCGGTTCGAACGTTCGCGCGCGACGACGAGCGAGAGTCCGCGAATCGGTGCGAACCCGAGTGCGCGTCGGCCAATCGCGTGGCTGGGATCGAAGGGTCCAACGGAAAGAAGGTCTCTCGTCGAGGTCCGCGCTCTCGGCCGCGTCGCCCCTGCGCCCTTCGACTCGCGAGCGGACCAATCAGCGACGAGGTGCCCCTCGGTCGACCAATCGGAAGCCAGGAAATCGGTTACCCAGCTAACCTAGGAAGTGGAACTTCGGGAGAATCGATCCTCCCGCTCGTGGATCTCCGTCGGCCAACCTGCGGCCCTTCAACGCAACGGTACTCAATGAGGTGACCGCTCGTCCTTAACCCTTTGAACACAGAGCCTTTTCGACATATGGGCGAAATTCGTCCGACCGTGCAGGCAATATTGGACCAAACGTACGGTGACTATAGTCACCCGTCGTAGCGAAAGGGTTAATTCTTAATTCCACCGGCAATCCTCTGATCTTGCCTCCCGGAAGAGGGAAAAGATTGCGAGGACCGCTCTCTTATATTGATTTAAATTTAATTCACCTCCCGCTCGCCATCGGGGCTTAAGAAACTTCCACGCCGTATATGAATTACATCGGCGTTCTTAAGCCTTCTTAGCGAAGTCTTCCGCTTTTAATGACTTTCTTAGAGGAGGGAGTAGGTACTCTTATTTAGCGCAAAGATGTATGTATATATGTACATGTATTTAGGACCATTCATCGTCAAAAGTAAGCTCAAGACTATAGTGATTTTTAAGGAAATTGTGGATATCGATAATTACGGAGTGCTCGGAAGCTGCCTTTGATTTCATCGTCGGTAACAAGCTCTCGACAAACAGACGAATGGTCCGATAATTGTCCGAAACTTCAATTTCTGGACGGGCGCCCACTCAGGACTTGACCATCCATTTTCGCCTTGATAGGATGTTTGCATCGGTCCACGGGAGATGCACGTAAAATTACACTATTTTCTTTTTTCATATATTCCTGGACATTTAGTGTAAATATATTTAAAGAAGGTCGAGGAGAAATAAGTCGCATTCGCGGAGATACCATGGTATAAGGAAAATTGGATCGGACCTTCGCGGGAATATTTGCATCTTATTGACTTTATGTTGTTTTGCGTTCCAGTCGCGGATCTATCAGGAATAAGTTACCGAGTTGCGGGGCCGTATTTTCTGCGGATGTAGGTTGCTTATAAATTCTCTCAGATTCGAGGGGAAGTTCGCGGAAAGGCAGAAGAAATTAAAAGGAGGAATGTGCTTCGAGGGAGGAAAAAAGATACGGAGAACTCGGAAGACGTCGCTGGGCGCAGGGAGGCAGGAAATGTAAAAAGTAGGAAAAAAGTGGAAAAGTAGAAAACTAAAAATTGTAAATAGTACACGTATCTGCGGTCGCCAAATGGAAGGAGATAAGCCGTTTCGTAAGACGAGGCTGGCATGACCTCTGAATACGTTATCATTTTCTTACGCACCAGGAAATTTGTAATCCGATCATCGATTGATCCAATTGGAACTTCGATAATCCGTTAAGTGTACGTAAATGGGAAGTCCAAACTGTACGGACTGTCGGTGCCTTCTCTTTGTAAAGGGGAAATTAATTTTGGCCGAGCCACTGGGTCCAATATTTTCCACGGTAGATTAAACCCAGACGATGGCTCGGCAAATTAATTTCTCGTGGGTGCGTTCGCGATGGAAGAGCTTGGGAAGGAAATCGAAAGTTCGGCGGATCAGCTGTTCGAACAGCTGTTCAATCGATTAAGCTCATCGCGAGATAACTTTCGTTGATATTGGTGTCCCTCGCGAAATGAAGGGGAGCTGGTCGAGTTGCGCATCTTTTTGTACATTAAGACACGACTGGAAGTAATTTGCAAACGAAAGCGACCGTTTTCAATGTGTCTCTGTAATGATTCCGTAAATGGGGCACTTTGAACTTCCAGCGCTTTTAACGCGGACGACAGGCCGGAGTGTATCAGAGCGCGGAGTGGAAATGTCGAACTTTCAAACAGCTGTTACAGAAAAAAAAAAAAAAATGGTCGAGAGAGAGCAGAAAAACCGAGGTTTTTCTCCGTTTCGGGCGTGTACGTGTTTCGACGAAACGGGCGGTGCATTTTCCGGGGAAATTATGCTTTTGGCATGGGAAGCTCGTCCGACACCCCCCTTCTGTTATTTCTCAAGTCACCTTTTTATTATTGCCTTGGCAATGGCTAGACGGTAAATCGCCTCCGTAATATCTTCTCGAGTCACCCTTGCTTTCGTTTCGTAATTTTAAAAGTAACCGAATTAATTGGCAAATAAAGGTAAGAGCTTCGGCACGGCTCGTTTAGCGTTTCCGCTCGATAACTTGTTATTTCCTCGGCGGTTCCGCGTGCAAAAGGCGTTGCAAAAGGCATTGTCCAAACATTTAATAAGCGGCGTTAAATCATCGCACGCTTCGTTAATTTAATGTCTTGTCTCTTGGATAACTCGCGAGTTCTCAAGTTGGTTGTAACTTCAGGACAGATGTGCTCTTGGCGAATTTTGATAACGATTTTGCAGGACGGAGCTTCGAGTTTTCGGTGTATTTAAAGTGTAAAAATTTCATTTTTCGGGCTCTTGTCCGGGATAAATAAACAATTATTTTCTCGAAAAATGAAATTCTGCGAGTTTCAAGACATTCATCAGGACCTCCGTAATCACGTGTTAATGTTTCAAATGATTGGGCGCAGGTTAGAGATCCGTTTTATCGATATTTTGACGTACATATATAGAATGACCCTTTCGTAACACCTTGATGCAGGTTTTAGGGCAAAGCCTGCTCGCTCGCGGATTATCGGGCCCGCTTTCGATCGAATCTCAAAGCGGCCCTTCCTGTCGAAACCGGGCTTTGGACGCAAAGGGCGCGGCATATTAAACGGGCTGAAAGTTGATATAAATCGCGGGGCCGAAACTTACTGACCCAATTACTTATGAAGACCCGAAATAGAAGAGGTGGACAGCTCGCGATCGGCCATCGTAAATGGCTCGATAACCGTAGTCGTGCGGGCGGGAACAGTTATTCGGAATACTCGGCGACGCCGATGATTTAGACGGGTTCACCTTCACCTCTTGTATTTCCGAGTCCATTGTCAGGTGCAGGCACAGAGTCGGAAACGTCTCTCGATTGTAACCGATCGTAACGTTGCTGCAAAATTGCGATCTTATCAAAATATGGAAATAAGTCAGGCCGCGCATCAAAGACGCATATTGCAAGCACGCTGAATTTATTTCCCCACGCAAAGCACTTAGAATGAGTTGCACCAACCGTGATTAGCGTGAACTTTATTAATTATAAGGAGTTAATTAACTTTTGTGAACCGCAGACACCCACGATGCACGCACGCTCACACGCATACACGAAAACTCCCGGTTGGTATATCGGATTTCGAACTAGCGAAATTCGTTTTGCGACGATGGAAATTAGTCTAACCGACGGTTAAAGTTTGCCGTTAAGTAACCACCGGGGGATTAATTTTAATCACGGGTTAAGTCGATCGTTAATGTAACCGGCGCTTATATTGATACAAGTGTGTGCCTTATGTGCGTAGATGTACATAAATAATACATATACGGTTGCATAAAATATTTCACGGAACGTTTGAATGCGTGATTAGTGTATGTGTTTTTGGTGTGTGGTCTAACTGCAGTTTTTACGTTTCCGGTCCGGCAGAGCTTGTGCCAAAGATCGTGGTGCAAGAAGATGCGTCGCGGCGGTACATCGGGCTTCCGGAAGTTGATTGAAAATTATTATTTAAATAAGCCGTTTCATCGGGCGTCTTTCGGGGTGCGTAGTGAAAAGCGAGGAGCGTATACACGTCGTTAAGTCACACGGTTAAGAGACATGGCGACGGCAAGGAAGGAGAAAGAGGAGGAAAGGAAGCGCAGAAGAAGTGGAATTCTTTTTAGTCAAACAGAATGGCCCAGTTTTCCGAAGGTGTACCACTCGACTCGGAGGAGAGCCGCCCTGGTCGCTGTGCACACGGGGAGGTGTTGGTGCTTCTTTCGGGAGGCTTTTTTCAAAGTTCCACTTTAAAAGTGTACTCGAGGCCCGGCCAGACCGAGAAACGAAGGAAGAGAGAAAGCGAGATTTGTGTCGCGGAGAAACGCCTTGGGAGGAAACAAGCACCGAGAAAGTTGTTGAACGTTCTTAGGAGGGTCGGCAAGGACTTATACGAGAACGACGAGAGAAGAGGCTCGAGCTACTCTCCGGGAAAGGGATAATCAACTCTTTCTCGTCGATCCCGATTTTTCTCCACCGTCGCTCTGAAAAATTCCATTCATTAGACGGCGAAAATGAGAATTTCCTCCCGATCGAGAATAGTTCGGCAATTCGCGGTTTGACCCAAATTGCTCGCTCGGTCCTTGCGCTTTAAAAGTCCTCGGGTGGAGGGCAAATTATTGTACCGGAGAATGGGCTGCGATTGCCAGGAGCGTATATACCATTGTCGCTGAATGATTTACCTTTAGCCGCATTTAAAAAAGAAAATGCATGCAAAAGTGAGTAAAACCAAAGCTTCCTTGTTTTGGATGAAAGGGATGCACTTAGAAAAAAAATTCACCGAGCAAATGGAATATTTTGTTAATTCAACGAATGGTTATTTCACTCGAACGAACTCAAACGAATTGGATTCAAAGTTTCTTTGAAACCACTATAATTTATTTGAGTTCATTCGAGGCAAATCATTATTCTTCGAATTAAAATATCTCTTTGCTATTGTTCAAAGAAATGTTCCCATGGTTAAGTGAATTTGTTTTCTTTTTTTTTTCTTTTTCATGGTGGTAGAGTCAGTATTTCTCTTTACATGTTACATTACGTATGAAAAAGCCGACCGTCAGATGAATCCACCTTGTCCTACCGTTGCTAGAGAAGTTTCACTTGAAAAAGAAAAATCAGCGACAAAGAGCGTCTCTTGGAGAATTAAAAAGTTGCATCACGAACCTCGCGTGGGTCAGGACATTCTGAATTACCCGGGGATTGTCTACCTCGATTGCAACAGACGACCGTGGTCAGTGTTGTCAGTTAACCGCGTGTAATTTTAAACCAGGGAAATCCACAATGACGGTCGAGTGTCGTTAGCCCACCCCGGGAAGAAAATGTCAATGTACTCTAAGAACATTTTTTTGAATAGCACCAAAGAGATATTTTCTTAATCCGAAGAATAATTATTTGATTCGAATAAACTCGAATAAAGCGGATGCAACGTTCCTTCGGAATTATTGAGTTTGAGTCAAATTAGCATAATACTTCTTCAGTTCAATGTATTTTCCGTTTTTCTTCTCAGTGTAAGGAGCACGTTCGCAGTTAGTACGTGTAGATACGTATTTTTTTCTTTTTTCGCAATCAAGGATGCAGACGCGATGCGTCGTGACATCGCACCTCTTTCTGGTTGTCCGGCTCTTGGATTTTCGTTTCGATGGGCTGGGATTTCCAGCACCCATTTCGAGCTCCTCTTGGGATACATCCGATCTAGGAGTGCGTCGCGACGCGTTAGACGCCGTGCGACGTGTCATCGCACCTCTTTCTTATTGTCTGGCTCTTGGATTTTCGTTTCGATGGGCTGGGATTTCCAGCACCCATTTCGAGCTCCCCTTGGGATGCATCCGATTTAGGAGTGCATCGCGACGCGTTAGACGCCGTGCGTCGTGTCATCGCACCTCTTTCTGATTGTCCGGCTCTTGGATTTTCGTTTCGATGGGCTGGAATTTCCAGCACCCATTTCGAGCTTCTCTTGGGATGCATCCGATCTAGGGGTACGTCGCGACGCGTTAGACGCCGTGCGTCGTGTCATCGCACCTCTTTCTGGTTGTCCGGCTTTTGGATTTTCATTTCGATGGATTAGATTTCCAGCACCCATTTCGAGCTCCTCTTGGGATGCATCCGATTTAGGAGTGCGTCGCGACGCGTTAGATGCCGTGCGTCGTGTCATCGCACCTCTTTCTGGTTGTCCGGCTCTTGGATTTTCGTTTCGATGGGCTGGAATTTCCAGCACCCATTTCGAGCTTCTCTTGGGATGCATCGCGTCGCGACGCGTTAGACGCCGTGCGACGTGTCATCGCACCTCTTTCTGGTTGTCCGGCTCTTGGATTTTCGTTTCGATGGGCTGGAATTTCCAGCACCCATTTCGAGCTTCTCTTGGGATGCATCCGATCTAGGAGTGCGTCGCGACGCGTTAGACGCCCGAGAGCGAGAGCAAATCCGCGGCTTGACCCGAATCGACTCTCGCCGGGCGCGGATTGGCCCTTGGTCTTTGAAAGCTGCGCATGTAGTGCAAATTACCGCCGTCTCATCACTTTTCCGATGAGTTTCCTGATCGTCTAGCCGGGTCACTGCCCGGCTTGCATATCTGCATTATATGTACACATCAAGTTTCCACAATGGTGGACATGGTTTATACAACGCTATCCATGTCGAAAATGGACTCCGAAAGATCTGTACTATTACTGTCCCAAGGATTACCTGTAATAATTAATTTAAAAAATATGATTATAATTATAAAACAAGCGACTGCGCGCGATTTGACCCGAAATCGACTCGCGACGGGCGTGGGTTGGTTCTTGGCCTTTGAAATCTGCACTACATATGCAGGGTATTTCTAAAATGGTGGACACGGTTTATACGGCACTAACCTTGTCGAAAATGGAGTCGAAAAGTCCTGTACTATTTTTTTCTACCGTGTATGGTTTACCTGTAATAATGAAACAAATGATAACCAATCGTTGTCTGCGACTTTAGGGTATGAGACAACATACGGCGAGCTCTTTGATTCGCATTCGGATGATCGACGTGCTTGGTTGGCTATTTTTCTAGTAATTATTGCAGGTATATTGGGCTTCATCGGAAATAAATGGTACAGGAATTTTCGACTCCATTTTCGAGAAGGATGTGACGCCGTGTAAACCGTGTCCACCATTTTCGTAATATCCTATATAAACACATTCGATACAATGTACACACGACGGTGAAACCGTGAAACCCCGGAGAAGCCCCGAAGGCGTTCGTCTACACTTCCTGGACTTCTCACTTTTCCGTAGTCATAAATTCCTGTGCACTTCTGTGTGTAAAAAAGGAAAACATGTTATCTCTCGTTGCAGAATGATTCCGCTGGTCTTTCTCCTCGCCCTGACGAGCTCCGGATGCTGGGGCCACGCGGTCTCCCAGGATGCCACCAGGGACGAGGACCTGGCCCGACATTACGGCACTCGGTTCTCCATATTCGACGAGCCCTACAACATCGACTTCAAGTATCACAACTACGACGAGATGAGCCGCTTCCTCAGGACCACATCCCTGCGCTTTCAGAATCTCACTGCCCTCTACTCCATAGGAAAGTCCGTGAAAGGTACAACTCTCTTACACCGTCTATTACGCTTTGAAAAAAAAAAAAAGAAAAAAAAATATTATCGAACCAGAGAATTATTTTCTAAATTCAATGAATATATATCGTATCGCTGAAATATAAAGTGTCACAATTCCGAAGAAACGTTGCATCCAGATTAATCGATTTTATTTAAGTGAAATAATTATTCCTTCGTTTAAAAAAATATTTCTTTGATTCAGGGACATCTTTTTTATTTTTTATCGCTGTAGTACTTAACATTAAATAAGGAATACCGATTATCATTAGTGCGATGCATGGAGAGGAACTGCAGTCTCCAGGATGCTTGGTTCGATGCGACGTTGTTGAATAATCGTGTTACTGAATTTTTATTTAATCTTTCTGTCGAACAGGCAGAGATCTCTGGGTGATGGTGGTGTCTTCCTCGCCATATGAGCACATGATCGGCAAACCTGACGTCAAGTATGTCGCCAACATACACGGAAACGAGGCCGTCGGTCGCGAGCTGATGCTACATATGATCCACGTATGTGAATCTGCCAATCGCAATTTCGGCCTGTCCCAACCTTGTGATAAATCATGCCGAGTCCTATCTCGTCGCCTCCACGCGACGGATTCCCGACGAAACGTTTCCTCGTTATTCATGCCATTAGCGTGCTCGACGAGAACTCGTCGTTCCTCTTACACCTACACCAAGACCTGGTATCATAAATGCGACATCGACGAGGAGACATCGAGTCGTCATTCCTGTTTGGGAATTATTGCCTTTTTGTGTGCATATATGCAGGGATTTATGCATTTTATATGCGCATGATCTCAAGAAGCAGCTCAAGAGCTCTGTAATAATATTGCCGGAGTTATGAAAATATCATATACGTGTATATCAAAACGTGAAAATATTTATAAAACTCTTCTCCAGCCTGGGTGCGCCGAATAATTCGAATCTTTAACACGTGATTATAATGATTCTAACAAAAGCCTTGAGACTAACGAAATTTCAACTTTCGCAAACATATTTCTTGTCGAATAATGAAATTCTTTTGAATTCCAAGATCTTCGTCAGGGCTTTCATAATCACGTTTCAATGTTTAAAATTATTCGGTGCAACTGGCTTGGGGAAAAATTTCGTGAATGTTTTGACGTTCGGTCTGCATATATAGACGGACTCTTTCGCGCCGCCTCAATATTCAATTCCTACATTGATTCTGTTTACAACGTCACTTTAAGGCGATGTCGAAGCCTCCGGATGCAACGTGCATCCAGGAGGCGCAAAAAGCAGTCGGGATATGCGCGGCATGTTTTTGCTGTTCTACTTGGAGGCGAACAAAGGGAAGGAACGTCGCCGCACTCTCTCGGTGGCCTACTCGCATTTAGGGGAGAATTTACGGGGTCGTTTAAGGGATGTTTTCAGGCGACACGGTACACGCGAATATATATCGGGGGCGGAACGATCCCGTTGCCGGATAATGTGCCACGTCGTTAGGGTTCGCTCTCCGCGATATAATGGAACGTTTATGCGAGCCCCGCCAATCGCTATGCCGGACAACTTTTAATTCAATTGACTGTAAATAGCGGAGGCTATTTGGCACTCGGCCAGACGGATATATCCGGGTCGCGTAGAATCAACAACTTCTTGCGTGCTCGACTGGAGGGCGTGCAAGAACCCAGACCTGGAGATACATAAAGTTTCCCGGGTGGGCCGGAACTTGTTCATCTTCTGGAGTTCGCGAATCCGCGCTGTCACTCGAAGGCTCTTCCTGCGGAAATCGGCGGAAAGCGAGGCGACCGTAATAATTCGAGGTTTTAAGGCGATGCGAAAGTGCCGTCAAAGAGATCTCGTTTATGAAACTTTTCTCCAACCTGGGTGTACCGAATCGTTTCAATCTTCATTACGTGAATCTGAAGGCTTTAAGAAAGGTCCTGACAATCATGAAATTCCAATTTTTCAATGATTTGTTCACAGGTGTTCTTAAAATTTTTATAATGAAATTTCATGAGTGCCTGGACCTTCCTTATAGCCTCTATATTCACATTGTGATGTTTGAAACAATTTAGTACACTCAGTTTGGAGAAGAATTTCATGAACGACTGACCCCTCGGATGGCATTTTCACATCCCCTTAAGGTGATATGAAAGTCATTCTGTATACACAAAACGTGAAAATATTTATGAAACTTTTGTCCAAAATAGGTGCACCACATCATTTGATACTTCAGCACGTGATTAGGAAAGCCCTAAGGAAGAAAGCGATGCTCGTGAAATTTGATTTTTCAAAAAACAATTTTTTTGTATTTACCCTAGACTAGAACCAAAGTTACATTTTTTTCTTTGTGAAAAATGAAATTTCACGAGCATCGCATTCTTTCTTGGGGCCTCCATAATCACGCGCTGAAGTTTCAAATTATTTGATGCACCCAGTTTGGAGAACAGTTTTATAAATATTTTGACGCTTTATGTATATAAAATGACCCTTTCATTTCACTTCAACCATTACAACCACGTGGGAGAGACGGAAAGCCCCGGAAGAAATTCCTATTTCCCTCTCGGGCCGCCACATCGGAGGATTTTCGAAAATCCGTCATTTGCAAGGCAAAGTGCTCGACGCGAGACAAAATCTGCCGAGCGAGAGGCGAATTTGTCTCGTGGCTTCCTATCGAATATGGTGAAAAATGGGAAAAATGGGAAATAAAGCTACTTGGATCTCGGAGCATGATTTTCTGCTCGCGACAGATGCTGGTTACCAAGTACGGGTCCGATCAGTACATCACCTGGCTATTGGACAACACCAGGATACACGTTCTTCCGTCCATGAATCCCGATGGCTTCGAGGTGTCCAAGGAAGGCTACTGCGAAGGTGGCCAGGGAAGGTGAGAATCGAATTTACTCGCGCGGATTTATTCCCTTATCCCCAGACTGGGGTAATTTTGCGTTTTTTCGAGGTTTTTGATTTAATACATTACATAGACCAAGTAATTCACCGTAGAAAATCAGTAAACCATGTTTGAATATGAAGGGTACACGATATACGGCATATGCTAGGCTATATACGTCTTTTAGCACACGTGCAAATACGTAAATATTAAAAAAAAGTAATTAATTAATTTGAGCTTGCGTAAAAAATTATTTAGAATTTTACGTTTCCAATATGGCGGTTGCCGCAAATGCATCTACGTATCGCTGGGTTATAAACGTCTTGTAGCGCACGTGTAAACTCGTAAAAACTATTAAGAAATCAGTTTAGTGCTTGTGTCTCAAATTCTTTCGACTTGACCCCGTGTAATATCAAATTTCTAATTGGACTTATTATTTTCTATTTAGAAATAGAAGAGGGAATATACTTTACACTCGCGAAGGAAGCTAGAGACGTCTTATACGTTATAATGTACGCGTAGAAAACCACTTATGTTGCATGACGCATTACACCTGACCTTGGATAACAGGGATTTAATTGAAACCGGGAAAAAGGAAAAAAAACTGAAACGGCGTAGACTCACACGTGGACGCGCTTTTCCGACCTTGGCAAATGACCGGCGAATTCGGGCATCCATTTGATTCCAGGTACAACGCTCGAGGCTTCGACCTGAATCGCAATTTCCCGGATTACTTCAAGCAGAACAACAAGAAGAGCCAGCCGGAAACGGAGGCGGTCAAAGAGTGGGTCTCGAAAATCCAATTCGTCCTTTCTGGGAGCCTCCACGGCGGCGCCCTGGTCGCCAGCTACCCCTTCGACAATACACCGAATTCCCGTGAGTAGAGCCCCGGAAAGAAGGGGCAATTACCATTCGGCTTCTTTTTTCCTTTCTTAACCTCTGCTTATATAACCCGGCAGCGGGATTTGTTCCTCCCTCCTGAGAGCGCAAAACTCACCGGCGACGAATCGGGAAACGAATGGAGATAATCAACTCGAGCATCTAATTGTTTTTGCCTGTCGCGAGAGGAAGTTAACGTCAAGAATCGCAAAACCCCACTTCCAATTAAACTCACCCGGGCCCGGAACCCGGTGATTACGTCGGAAAGTGTACCGATAGGGACAATGCGCGGCCATTATCCGGCGAATGCGGCTCTCGATTTTCAAACCGGAAACAATGGAGGCAAACGGCATCGCGTCGGGACTTCCGTTCCGGCAGGACGCACCCTGAGCACGCAAGGAATAAAGGATCACACTCTCAAGGCTGGACCCTCGATAACGGACGATAACCGGGAATGGAAATTCGCGGCTTTGGCGACCCTCTGCTGATAAGGCCTGGCTTCCTCGCGGATGATTATTTTCCCCGACGAGGGGAAAATCGGTGATATCTCGGCATGCAGGCCCGCCTTTTGCCCTGAAAAAACGGAAATTCATTTAACCAATGGAAATATTTCTTTGAGTAATACCGGGGAAATTGTTTCGATATTAAAGGATAATTATTTCACTCTAATGAACTCGAGTAAATTGTCGGAATTACGAAGGAATCTTGCTGCTAATTTATTCGAGTTTACTTGAGTCGAAGAATTTTTCTTTTAATTAAAAGGAAATATCGCTTTGGTTCGAAGATCTATTTCTTTGGTTCGGCGAGGTTTCTTTTCTCAGCCTAGATGCACCTTTTCTTATCATTTCTCGCGCTTGGAGTTATCACACGCTTTGAGGCCCGATTTTTTGGCCGTTTGGCGACCAGCAATGGAAAGGCAGACTCGACGAGTCGATTTGGCTTCTTGCGATCTGATATCTAATTCAGGGCTGCATGCTGATAGTAAATTGACCGTCTCGTGTGGATTTTCATGCAACCAGGGATTTGTCGTTCGGCCCCATTATGCGCAGGTACAGTAAATCAAAACGTGACTCTCTTTTTTTCTTTGGATACTAAGGTGTCGTCAAAGTGTCGTCAAAGGTCTCGTTCATTAGACTTTTCTTCGAACTGGATGTACCGAATCGTTTCAAACCCTACAAAGTGAATATAGAGACTATAAGAAAGAACCTGATCCCCATGAAATTTCAATTTTATAACAAATGTTTAAAATGTCCATATACAAATTAACCCTTTCAGCGCCAAGCCCTTTTGACGTATGGGGGAACTTCATCAGGGCGTGCTAGCAATATTGGACCAAACGTCCGACGCATTTATGGGTCCGTAGCGCTGAAAGGGTTAAAGGAAGAAAAATTGAAAATTCATGGGTGTCAGGACCTTCCTTATTGCCCCCGTGTTCACGTTGTAGAGTTTGAAACGATTCGGTGCACCCAGTCCGGAGAAATGTTTCATGAACGATCGATCCCTCGGATGCTGCTTTCGCATCCCCTTAAGGACACCTCGTGTCGTGTGCTCGCCTGTAGACTCGAAAAGTCTACGAATAATCTCCCCTCGACGTAGACGCCCGCGATTAGGGGTTGCCGGGTAGAATCGGTAGATAAATGTCCAGATTTAATATTCCAGGGGCCGAAGGGAAAATTCCAGCCTCGAAGGTCCTAGATGAGGAAGAAGATGGCTCCTCGCGGAGAACACAGCCTCGTCGAGTCTCTTTGATGACTTCTTCGACTCGCCAGGCTCGCAGCAATTATGCCGACGATTAGGCCAATTAACGGCGGACCCCTCATTACCCTTAGTGGTAATTACATTCGAAACACTTGCACACTCGTTACGGTTTTCCGGGCCGGGTCAACTTCCCTCGCCGTCCCAAGTTCGCCTTTAGGAGGCCGTTGCAGCTGCAGCTGCAGCTTTCCAATTACTCGGGATATCTCGTGACCCGCTTGGAGATTGTTAACGTTAAAGGTTAATGAATCTTCCTGGCTGACCGTAATCTACATTCCGGTCGCCCCGACGACGAGGTCCAGGTGATAAATGTTGGACCCCGCGGTTTGATTCCTCTTAGTTCTTCTTTTCTTCTTCTTTGTTCTCCCTTGACGGGATTATTTATGAATTATGATTTTACGGCTCCTTGTAGTTACATCGAATTCGCGAACCTTGGCCGCCAAATCCCGGGGGACTCTTTTGCATCCGCGAATTTACTCGGAATCTATATTCTTCGGGAGTTCACGGTATTTCCGGAGTTTACGAGCCCGCGGGAACCATTGCACGTTCTTCGCAAGTAGACGGTATTTTCTGGACCCATTGCACGTTGTCTATGCATTACGTAAGTGGCCTTATCCGGTCGCGGAACCGATACCGGGATGCCGTATCGACGTTCGGATTTGTCCCGGTCTTTCTTGAACTCGTATCCCGGCAATCTCCTCTAGGTTGCCCGAAGATTATCTCCTCGTCGCCGTCGACGTCCTCCGAGCTGCACTTTTCTACGTGAATTTCTCTCACGGAAAATGTTCCAGCTGGATCTTCTACGTGAACTTTCTACATAAATTGTTTATATTCCTACAGCAGAATCGAAAGGACCCTGTAACGATACGTTATCGGTGTCGCCTTCTCAGACCTCCACCTGATTCCCTCTTCACTCAGGACGAGCAAATGAATGATTCCTGTTAACAGAATGAATAATCACCGGATTAATCAGAATGAACTTCGCCTAATCTTCAGGATTATCAATCAAACCAGAAAATGAATAATCAGGGGATCAATCTAAATGAATTCTCTCTAAAATCCCGCGGAATACGAGACGATCCGCTTTGCGCATCTGGATTGTGGGTAACAATTGGGCTGAAATTGCGGTTAACAATTTTGGCAGTCCCGGAGAGGAGGATCCTGACCCGCGCAACAGTGTTTCAGAGCTACTCGTCGACGCCGAGCGTCTCCCCTGACGACGACGTGTTCCGGCACCTGTCCCTGACGTACTCTCAGAATCACGGGTCCATGTACCGAGGAGAGGCATGCTCTTCGTCCCAGCCAGGATTCAAGGATGGAATCACGAATGGCGCCGAATGGTACCCTCTCACGGGAGGGATGCAGGACTTCAATTACGTCTGGAACGGGTGCATGGAAATCACCCTGGAGCTGTCTTGCTGCAAATATCCTCCGGCTGAAGACCTTCCTTACTACTGGGAGGAGAACCGACTGGTGAGGCGTCGAGTCCTCTTATTATTTATTAGGGCGATATTCGCCGTCCCTTTGGGCTTACTTTCGAGCCACCCATTTCGGAGCCCTGGGGGAAGAGAAGCCAAATTAGAGCGCTTCCGCGATGATTTGATTCCCTGGGATTTGACGTCACTCCTCCTACCATCGATTTCAAGCTCTGCAAGGCACTCTTTTGTTCCTTTTCTTTTTTTTTTTAAACTTCATCTCACTCGATTCGGATTCTCGGTTCCGCTTGGTTTAGATTCTTAGTAAAAGTACTTTCTTCGCGATCAATTTATTCCTTTAAGGTAATATAAATGTTGCCTATGAGATGTCTCGTTTATGAAACTTTTCTCCGAACTGGAAAAATTAGAATCGTATGAAATTTTACAACGTGGATATGAAGGCGACAGGGAAGGTCCTAATACTCGCGAAATGTCAATTTTAAAAAAGTTTCCTTATAGATATTTAAAAACATGCCGATAAAAAAATGAAATTTCATGGACGTCAAGACTTTCCTTGTTTCCATATTCATGTTGTAAAATTTTAAATGGTTCGGTGCACTCTGTTCGGAGAAATGTGTGATGAACGATTGATATCTCGGATGCCACTCTCACATCCCCTTAAGAGAGATGAAATGACGAAGGGTGGAATAAATTCGACGCAACCTCGTTACAGTCGCTCATCAAGTTCCTGGCCGAGGCGCACAGAGGCGTGCACGGATTCGTGATCGACGAGAACGGCAATCCCGTCGAGAGGGCCTCCGTCAAGGTGAAAAACCGTGACATCAGCTTCCTGAGCACGAAGTACGGAGAATTCTGGAGGATACTTCTACCTGGACTCTACAAGCTCGAGGTGAAGCATCCATTTCTATCGCGGCCACGACATCCTCTCGCTCCGCTCTCTAGTGATGTATCATTTTTCGATAAATTCCCGAACGCTTGCCGCGGATGAAAACATGAGAAATGGCCACGATGGGGCTCGTAACGTCGAGTACTCTTCCTGTTCATCGAACCGTCGTTGCATGTTTCAGGTCTACGCCAATGGATATGCCCCCCGAGAGGTCGAGTTCATGGTTGTCGAGCAACATCCCACCTTGCTGAACGTGACATTGCACGCCACCAGGGTGAGACCCGACTTTCGATTTTTACGCTTCGATTCCAGTGGGTTGTTCGATATGAGGTTGAGGAGTTTACCGTTGAAGAGGACGGTAAAGCCCATAATTTCATGACGGACAACCCGAGACATGGCGGTCACGGCGTCACCCAAGATCAGCTGTTGCTTAGAGCAAATCTAGTGAGGAAAAACCCCGGAAAATAGGATAAGAGACCCTTAAGGCACCTCGAACGGTTCATCGGGATTCTCGATAATTTCTTTCAGGGAATCTTTCCATTGAATTTCCAGAAAGAGCCTTAGAGAGAGAATTATCTCGCGAATCATCCGCGCGCCTCCTGCCGCTGTTTATGGACCATTTTAAAGAGGGTACCTCTAGGCGCGTTTTACATGTCCGAATCGCGAACCGGTTAATGATCTTTAACAACCGTTACCGGTACCGTTACCAACGGTTGTATAATATCCCTGCCAGCTGCACGGTAAGTCTATAGATGCACATCGGGCCACGCGGTGAATTATTTCCGAGCTTCGGTAATGCGAGGGGGGAGAAAAAAAGGAAGGAGAAAATGCCGGCGGACCGGGGAAAACTAGTCGAGGGGTTGCCGGCTATTTTCCGCGGTGAAAACAGGCTTTTCATCGCTGAGAAAACACGGAGGATGGAGGGACCAGTCGCGAAATCTCCTCCAATCGAGAGACATACGTTTTTTAAGCCCCTCCTGACCCCAGTCCCGGGTTTAATATATAATGAGACGTAGAGTCGAACGCATGTAATTCGGATTTTAATTCCCCCGGAGAAGTCACGCTTGTCGGTCAGATATTCCCTTTTAAATTAAAAATTCCAGAGGCAAGACTTTCGAATGTCCGAATTTAAGGATTTGGGCCCAATCGATACTCTGTACCTTTTTTCCTTGGTCCAGGTATTGATCTCTTAGGACGCATATTCAGCCTTCTGGACGCTACTAGCAAACTCAGGTGGACCAGAAAAAGAGCGCGAAATGTTGACGTCGATGCCCTGTATATTGGAAAAGTTTTAATGATTAATAATTAAAAAGGAAAGGAAATTGGAAACAGAATTCGGAGAGTTCCACAGGAAGGCAATTTGACTCGTGCGGATTGACGGTAAAGCTGATGGTTTCAGAACTGGAAACCGAAGTCCGGTGTTTGGTCAATCCCACGGGATACAGGGAAGACAGAAGTACCGCCTCCCTATACTCGAAAGCCTGCGGAGAAAGCTGGCGAAAGCACGGTCCAGGAATCCATCGACACCGACTCCATCGTCTTTCCTACTTCCTAATATACTAACCGCACGACTAGTCCCTCTAATTCGGCTAATCCGGGAAAGAAGAGTGTAAGTAGATTACTTAATAAATAAACGGCCCTCCCCTGGGGAACAGGCCGACGCGTATTCCGAATCCTCGCCGTGTCCGCACTCGCTACTTGTTGCTCATTACTCATCGCTTATTGCTTGTTGCTCGCAGAAGGTGGCGTCTCTGGAATCCCTTTGGCTCGGACATGTCATTACCCGAGTTACCTCGAATTACCTCGAATTACCTTGAATTACCTCGAATTACCTTGAATTACCGGACCAAGGAGCCGGCAACTCTCTTCGAAGACCATTTTCTGGACACCCTCGGGAGGGCACCTCGAGTTTCCGGGATTTATGTAGATTCGGCACAAGGGGACCGTACTTTCTGTAAGGGGACTTCAAATTCCAGTCCCGAAGGCGGGAATTAAAGCTCGAGGGAGCTTTCGATCGCCTTTAATAGTTACCTTTTGGAGTACTCAGCTGGGGGATTTAAATCCCCGAAATTCGATCGAGAAAATAAATTCCAAGGTAATTTTCACCCCAATTCCAGAGAGTAAACGATGACTCCATTAAAGTTCTCTGAAATTTCATGTGTGTGAAATATTTATTAGAGGCTTCGTACTATGAAGGCTAATTGCGCGTCATTTTTTCGGACCCGTGAATAATTCGTACGAAGCCTTGCAATGACTCCTTTTGAGTTTTTGGGATTTTGGGTGTAAATAATTATTGCAAAAATTTGTACTCCAAATTTTACTTCATTGCCAGTCGCTCGGATTTCCTGGATAGTCTCATATAGTCGTCCAGGCGATGTTGAGGATTTTTTTTTCCAAGGCATGACTCGAGTCACTCAGGCGAGTTCTGCCGAGTAATCAGGTTTCGTATGAGCAGATCCCGTTTAATTGCGGTAACGAGCTGCGTGGATTCTGAATACGCGATACGGTTTTCTGTGTCTCTCGCTCGTGTGCTAATCGCTGTCGCTTAGCTTGACGCATCGCAGAGGGAAAAGCCTGGGCTAGCTTAGCTGCGAAAGGAAATCATCTCTTCCGTTCCCGCTCCTCGTTAACCACCGACTGCCAGAATTTGTTAATTAACATTCGAGGGGCCAGAGCCTAACGAGTCGGTCCTCGCGCTCGGCTGATCCACGGGAAACGGGAGCAACCGTTGACTCTTGCCGGGTGTTGATTTTAGAGAAATATTTCCCAGCACCGAAAGGTCGTCAGGAAGGCTTAGGAAATGAATTTTAAAACCGGCGTGCCCGAGTATCGACGACTCCCATTATAGGCGACCGACCTATATTAATAATCGATACCGATTTTGTGGCAATTCTGGCGAGGCCATCTTCCCGTAAATTCCACCGACTTCGGACTCAATTACAAAGGCTCAACGTGTGAATTGGACTGGACTTTAATTACTAAAGCCCAAGGCGTCCTACTTCGGGGACGTGACCTATGATCCGTGTTGGGAGAACGTCCGACCTGGTCTCCTCCTTTAATCGTCTTCTCTCTCTTCTTCGCTGAATAATTAGGGGATCCAGGAGTAGCGAATTATTCCGCCCCGAGAGGACGCCGAACTTCTCTGCCGAGTATTCCGCCTCTAATTGGGAAACAATGCTCGCTCTAAGTATCAGATTTTACGGCCTGTCGAGTTTTCTCCAAATTTCATGGAACACAAAATGCCGTCCCTCAATTATTTGTCCTACTTGCTCGCGATTATCTACGTCGATGCAATGCGTCTCCAAAAAAATCGCTCGTAAAAAATAGGAACAATTGGGGGATTCGAGAGTAGCTAATTATTTCGCCCGGAGAGGACGCCGCGGTTTACCCGCGTCTACCCTGAAAAAAAAAAAAAAGGAAATCCATTGAACCAAAGGAATACTTCTTTGAATAGTACCAATGAAATATTTTGTTGATTCAAAGGATAATTATTTCCCTCGAACTCGAATAAATTCGATGCAACGTTTCCACGTAATTAAGATGATTTATTCGGGTTTGTTTCGGTCAAAGAATTATTCTTTGAATTAACACAATATTTCTTTGGTTCAATGACATTTTTTTCTCGACGTTACTGGAATACAATGCTCGCTTTAATTTTATACTTTTGCGGTATTTCGTGTTTTGTTCAATTTTTCTGAAAAACAAAATGGCGTCACGTTAAGTGTTCATCTTACCTGCTCTCGATCGAGGGCTTTTCATCGTTAACGCAACGCGTCTCGAGAAACCGCTCGTAAAAAAAAGCGTTATGGCCGTAAATCTCCGATATCAAACGACCTGTTCCACCTGGAATTGACACACGACTCGCGACTCGTAAATCGTGATTGCATTCGCTTCTGATAGCCCTGAGAAATTACACGCGAAAAAGAGCATGAACGAGAGGCGGACCTTTGCGAGGACGTTCCGCAGGATTCGCGTAGTGGAAAACTGGTTTCTGAGTAGAACGACGTTTTCCTTATCACTCCTCCTCCTGACATGTCGATTACGTCCCCGGACATTTCATAAATAATTCATCGATCTGCCCTCTCCTATTAACGATCCGTCGACAGTCGACGCGAGTATCGCTAAGACATATTCCATTATTTTTTTGGATATTGGCAGGTCAGAAATGATCACTGAAGAATTTCTAATCAGATAAGTGTACAAATAAGTTCAGTCGATTAACATTCAATTGTAGTTCTATTTTAAATTAAACATTTTCCCCTCCATTTTGGAGTTTCGTACGACGAATGGCTAAATTTAAAAATGTCTAAATAAATGGCTCCGTGCATTTTTTTTGTTTTCGATTGGATAACTGCAAGACTTCGGCACAATACGTGTCCGATTCGTGAAAAGAAGTCGTTGCACTTGTTTGTACACCTGATGTTAAAATTATAAATTGCAGTTCGGGATCGTTGGTTTAAAGCAAACATGTCGTCGCTTTCCAGGCCGAAGGGACGAGTTTCGAGCCACGGTTATGAGAAGCCGAGTTGGTAGCATTAATATTGAAGTACCTCCTCGCATACTAATTGGCTCCACTGTCGAGCATACGCCTTTTGTTTTAAACAGTATTGTCTCTTGTATACGTACTCTGGCAAACAAGCGATCCCCTCTTAGGTCGCACACGTCCCATATACGGTTTTAGACTCTAATTTCGGACAGTGTTTTACGTGACGGGATTAATATTGGTCTCGAATGTCGGCTACGTATGCCTTTCACGAGAATGAAGAGACACTCTTCGCCTGTTCGACAATTCTTTTCTTGTTAGCATCATCAACGTACTCATTGAGATTCCAAATTGTTTATCCCTCGCGTCCTCGAAAATTTCGTCACTTTTTGCCGAGCTGCATCGACTAGTCGATTCCTCCTGAATATTTATCATATTTATGGCGAACTAGGAGGTGCAATATTCATAATGGCCGATTTGTTTTCGACAGTTTTTGATTTTATATACTACTCTTCCCTCATCTACAATTCATCGGCGTGGCCTTCCGTTTGCACGCGTGCCATCTGGAAGGAAAGATGATTCTACGGAAATTTCTACTATCGGGGTTTATTGCAATTTCTTTTATCCAGGTTCCATTGCCGCTTTTTGCCATCACGCACTGCTCCCCATCATTTTCTGAGAGATGATTTCACGTGGATTGTGCATTTTCAGCACTTTCTTTCGGTTCGTTAGAGCCGATTCTCGACCGGCGAGAAATTACAGCCGCCTCTGGAACTAACATGTAGATAGATTGTCACGTAAGTAGGTAAATGAAGATTAAAGACCTCTTGGGGGTATAATTTACAGAGAGGCTTCCTCTAAGTACTCGGCCCTTCGCTAATTGATCGATTAATCAATTTCCCTTCGGATTTGGGAAAAGGAATCACCGAGGATAATGAGCAATGGCAATCGACGTCTCATAAAGAGGGAGAAAACACAAGAAAACGAATCACCAAACCCTCGTACATTACTTTTCTCTCTTTCTTGCTCGTTTCAGTCGAAAATGTTCCTCCCTGGTCGAGAATCTGGCACTCTTCAGGACGTAACTCGAAAACAAAAAAAAACTCCAAAAAGAAGCGCACATAATTTCCAGGAAAAATTCATTCCTACGCTGAGAGACAAAATCTCTTTGAGTAGCACCGAAGAAATATATTTTTAATTCAAAGAATAATTATTAACCTTAAATAAGTTGCCACGATTCCGAGGAAACGCCGCATCCGATTTATTCGCTTTTCATTCAGACAGATTATTCTTTGAATTAACAAAATGTTTCTTGGGCACTATTAAAACAAATATATGAATCTGGTTCAATGACGTTTCTCTTTTTCTCAGTGCATGTAATCTAACATTTCTCACACATATTCCCGAAGGAATATCTCTATCCTTGTTATCGTGTGGGAAGCAAAGAAAACCGATAACCTTGCAGCTTCTCATTACATCCTGCATCAACATTGTTACCCGACATTGAGAATGCTTAAAGAGGGTTCTTTTTTCCAAAGCTTACTTGTTTCATATCATGGCCTCGATGTGTTCAATGTTCTTCGCGTATTAACTATCGCAGATTATGCAAAGTATAAATTAACCAATGCACTGATAAAAATGCCCCTGTAAATTTACATAATCATCGGTTATTCCGATGCCGCAATAAGTTGCAGTTAAATTGTCACTGTAATATTGCATTAGACATCTAAGTTGAGTTAAAGAAAATTACAACGTAATATTACATCTAACTCGAGTGCACCGACACGGTAAGCACACAATGTCAATATCTCCATTTTCTAATTTTTAATTTATCCATTTTACTTCCTCCTTGTGTGCAAATATGTATGTAAATTTCCATCGATTTTTGTCAGTGTGTCTCGAGAATTGCGTACAGTCAGAAATTCACGAATTCTGGGGTACATAATTTTTTTTTAACGAAAATTTTGCGGTTCTCTTGAGCGAACTTTCTGTATCTTGGCTGTGGATATCTTGAAATGTGCATTAATAAAGGCGTTATGTTCGCAACAGAGACAAGAAGACGGCGGAGACGGACCAGGACCGTTCAATGGCAACTTTCCAATGCGACCTTATCCTCATCGAGACTACACTCTTCACTTCAGGCCAAGTTCCGGAACGAACACTGCCGCCGTTGGAAACAATGGCATCTTCTCCTCGATCAGCAACGGTTTCAACTCGCTGGTGACGAACCTTTTCGGCTGATCCCTCGTTTGCGGCCCATCGGGCCGTTGCTTCATCCTCCTCGTCGTGGTGGCCTCCTTGTCCGGCTTCCTCAGGCTACGCAGATTATTTTCGACCTTAATCGGGATCATCCTCTGAATGACAAAGACGTCGAAAGGTCCCGTCCTCGATTTTCGAGACCCTGAAGAACTGCCTGCCGCCCGAGAAGATGTCCTCGGCACGTCCTGCGCGGGAGATCTCGATTGCGCTGCGTCATATTTTTATTTTTATAATTTATAATCTATAATTTATAATCCAAAGCCGAGAGGATAGATAAAGCACGGGAGGGGATTAAGAATCCCGTAAAACGAAAACCGCTCCGACCAAGTAGCTGGGATAGATTGATTATAAATAAATTAAATTAACTAGGGCTGTCCTTAGCCGTAGATTAAGCTATACGTGGAAGCTTTAAATGGGGAGACAACCCAAAGATCCAGAGAGCCGATATTTTCATTGATACCGCGATACGTGTTACCTGCAACTTGGCTGGCGAGGAGAGCTCCGTTTAGGGTGCTTTTAACTGCAATTGTATTTTAACGCGAGTCGCGACGACAAAGGAAGCACCTTTCCCGAGGCGAGGACAATGCTTGCTCAAATTCTGCATCGCAAATCGCTGGCGGGTATTCTAGCCGACGTGGGTCGACTATTTTCCTTTGCGAGACACCGAATGAATGTTCATAGGTAGTTCGCGATTTAGTCTACTATGGACCGGAAGTCGCATTTAAATACACTCGAAGAGTGCGCATAAACTCGGATTAGTCGCGTTTAATAGCATCTTAACAAGCGGAGCGTACAGTGCATAATACGTGTCGATTGTTATACAAATGTTAAAGAAATATTATGAATCGTTCAGACGTCGCGGTCTGTTGTTACGACGATCGTTATAGTGCTGTTAACGCACACGAGATAATAGAGTTGTATAGAGATCACTGTGAGGTTGTTAACTGTAATCACTTATTTTTTCACTAACACACCGACGTCGTCCATAGTTGCGCGGCTACTCGCCTTTTTATAGGGAACGACCGACTGTATAACTTGAATTATTACCGCTTCGCATAACGGGTCCACCTGAGAGTCTCCCTGCCATTATTGTCCGATTGTTGAAATAAAGGATGTTTATTAGCGTTGACCAATGACTTGTCTGGACACTCCGCCTCGCGTCGTTCCTCGGAGTATCGCAAATGGCACAGAGAACGCAACCAGTGAAGTCCTCTTTCTTAATATTTTATTTCATACGAGAGTGATCACATGAAAATATCCAATGTAACAAATCAATAGTTTAACGTAATACTTACATAGCGAGACTAACTCTAGAAGTGCGCCCTGGGATCCAGAGTTCCATTGACAGTGAACTGTCCGTTGACTCTTGAATCGTTAATAAAAAATACTGCCAAATCCGTAGACAGGTTCTTTGAGCGAGTAACAACTTAACTCGTTTTACTATTGGCAAAGAATATCTCCATTATTGGAACCGCTTAAGAAACGTTCGTACTTAATATGTAAAGAATTTATTTGCGTATGTTAACGTCTCTTCCCGCATAATTATGTGCGTATTCGTTCTTGTCGGTGAAAAACCACTATCTGTGCGTTATCTCCATCGTGCGGCCTGCCAGACAACATTCTGCATAATATAAAGACTATAAATTGTGTAAGAATTGTACTAATACTTTGTTCCGATTTATCGTGAGTACTCGCGAGTCCTCCTCCGCTTTTGTCGCTCGTGTAACTAGGTATCAAATCCATAATACTGGTAATATCGCATACATCGGGTATAAACATTTAGTGATTCCCTATTCCTTTGTCACCGCCCAGGCTAGAAAATGCTAAAAACTCGCTATGAAAATTTCGATTTACTGTACGTGTTATAAAGGAAATGTTAGAATTCCTGCAACCTGGCGAGCTGTCGCATTTAACAGCTCGTTCGGATTGCAAGAATTTAATTTAAGGCTCCGAAATATCGCGATTAGTCATTTTTAGTCAAACTTCGACTCACCTTCCTCTAATGTAACGTCGGAATTAACCCATCACACCGATTCATTACTTCGACGCTAATGTCGACATTTAATTGTCTAAAATTCGTAATCCACAGCCGACAATCTTGTGCCAAATTAGCGTGGAGATAATGGGCCTACAAATGCAAAGGGTTTCTTTTTCAGTGCACTAACTCTTCCTAGAAACTGTAAGGAACTAATCCACTATGTAAAAAAGACTCCGACGCTTATCTATCGCGCGCATCCCTTATCAGCCCCGAACGAGGTCTCGATTTTCCCTAGACGTCTATGATGCTGTTTCTCTTCTTGTCTGTATCAGTCGAGTCCAAGTCGTTTCCAAGACTTCCAACGCGACCTCTCATCCCACCTCCAGCTTGTCCCGTGGCTTTTAACTTCTCCTGCATCTGTGCGAGGATATCTTGCATCCTTCTTATCTGTAAACAAAGTATTGTATTCCGAAAATGTTACACTTGACCCATGATTCATTTTATGAACGTATCTCTTCACCTCTTCGTCCTTCTGCAAGAGAAGTCTATCCGTGTCCGATATGCTGTTGTCAAAATGCGGCCCAGAGTCTCTTTTTAGTTTACTGGAAAAAGAAATAAGTGCATCCAAATTTAATACACGCTTTTAATTGCGGGAGATTAACAAAAATGTAAACCAAATCGACTGTCAATTACAGTATAATCACGTGCAGGATCGATAGCTTCAATTCCTTCAAAACTCTGCAGCCGGGAGAGAACTTGAGAGATCTATATACCTACCGAAGTACAATAATTATTTACATGCGTAAGTACCTCCGTTCTCGTATCGCCTGCTGCGAGATCTGGGAAATGCATTGAGCGCGGAAATTCTCATAGTGAACATCCTGAGTCACATCCTTCAGGTCCTGCATATGCGTCGATATCAGCATCGTCCTTAGTTTCACGAAATCGCTGTGCTTCGGATTTTCAACTATAATCAATTACGACAACGTTAAAAATAATTGGAAAAAAGGGTACGCACTCATAATGGATAATTTTATCCATCCATTGGCATTCTCTCAAAGGTAAAACATTAAATCCTACTTAAGCATGAAATAAACGGAGTAATAAAACGATGGTAATTTCAGTGTACCTTCGACAACCCCCCAAGGATATTGGCGACCTCGGACTTTCCTTCCTGCGACTTCCAGGACTGTAGAACTACCAATCACCGCAAACGGGATGCAAGCCTTCAGCTCCTTATCCTGCTGCTTGAACTCCTCATCCTCGTCGCTGTCACAGTCCGGAAATTGGTATATCTAAGCCCATACAGAGAAAGGAATAATTTAACGCACGAGCTTCATCCATAACGACGCTACAATCCACGCATTGAAATCTCTCCGCAAGCCCCTGGCATCCTCCTATTAATACAAACTCGCATCGCGGTTGCACTTTGCCAGGCGCTTAATAATCAAAAGAAGACTCACCTGAATTTCATGCTCCTCTATATCGGTCAAAATCCTTTCTTTCAGTTTCTTCACCTCAGAGGTCGTCAGGGTATCGGCTTTGGCGATCACCGGTACCACGTTAACTTTCCGGTGCAGTCGTTTCAACACCTCCAGGTCCAATTGTCGCAACCTGGCCAATGGTTAAGTTAATTAAAAATCACTGAGGCGAATTAATTTCAAGTAAACAGCTATGGAAAAGTCACTCCACCCGTGTCCGTAAGGCGGTATGAAGTAAAGGCAACAATGCACCCTGTTGTCCTGGATATTCTTCCTGTTCAGTCCACTTTCGTCCGTGAAGTACTGTCGAAACTGCTCGTCGATGTAAGCCGAGCAAGCTTTCCATGTGTCCTCGCCGTTCACGGCATCTCCGAAGCCTTGCAATAAGAAAGAAGATGAATAAAGCTCCTTGAATCACTTTTTTCAGGATAACGATGTAACGAGTAAAGCTCACCTGGGGTGTCAACAATGGTCAACCGAAGGCGAACGCCTCGCTCCTCGATGTCCATCGTCTTCTTCTCGATGGACGTCGTCTTCTCCACGCGTTCTGCATTATTAAAGTCATTTCATGACATAAAAGTCGAATGACAACGGTTAATTACATTTCTAGGGTGAAGTACGAACCCAGGGCATCCGGAATCCGCCTGTCCTTGTAGAGGTCCCCGAGGAAGAGGCTGTTTATCAAGGTCGACTTTCCCAGCCCGGACTCACCCAGGACCATCAACGTGAACTCGAATCCTCGCTTCACCGATTTTCTGTGCACTTGTTCCGGAAGCGTGGCGAACCCAATATAGTCCCTGTCTTGCTAAACAATATTTCCTTTCTTTTAGACAACGATACATATTATTATCAGAAGTAGATTTATAATTATAAACAGCAGTCAGCGTCAGAGCACGTCCCATCTCTTGCATTGTCAGATTTTAATGAGCGCGTGCATACACGTGCACGTTTAGAAATAACGAGTCATCCCCTGCACGCTCAACACGTGTCTCATCCCTTGGGATATAAAATGTCTAATTATATTTTAAATTACGGAAATCATAGATTTTAAAGCTAGATATCACGTGGAAGTCAGCTGAAAATCGCGGGCAGAAATCATTGGAAATCGTTGGAAATCACCAAGCACTATCACAATTTTTTAAGCCGGACGTCACTTGTTACCGAATCGCATTGTCTATCATATGAAATGAAAGACAATTCGCTCTGGACAAAGGAAATCGTCTTCACTGATTTATTGAATTTTAACCCTCGATTTTAAACTTCTGGAATTCCTCTTTGAGACACGTGTAGTGCACAGGCTCTCGAAACATCAACACAGAAACATTTAAAAAAAAAACATATTTAATTTACGTTTGGATTTTCCAACGACCGTGCATTAGGGATGCGGACTCCTTTCAAGGATTGTTCAAAAGCTGTGAACAACATTTAATCAATCACTGCGCAGACATCGCGGCGCAATATCTCAGCCTTCGACAGCCATCAATTATTCAATTAAGCAATAATTCAATCCGACATTCCAAATCGCATGTAAAATCAATGTTTAAAGGGACTGTCCCTAATCAGTGTCCATTGACCCAAAAATAAGGCAACTATGCAAGCAATGCACGCGTCCATGCAGTCCTGTGCATAATCTAAGCGAATGGATGTTATCAATCCGTGGAGGGTGGGATTTCTAAACTCGGTTATCGTCGGATTTAATTGTGGAATCGATTGAAAATCGAATTGTAACGGGTGGAGGAAGTGTCGGGACATTCCTAGAAGAGCAAAGAGGACTTACCGCTGGACATGGTAACGGCAACAACAACACTAGCCGGTAAATCCGAACTCGGGGTTCGGCTAGGGTCGCCCTCGAAAACCACCCCTGATCTCAGTGCGCTGGCGCACCCTCGCATCCGCGATCAATAGTTCCCTTTTTCCACAATCTATACAAAGGAAAGGCCTTCCAACAATTTCCGCCACCCTGTACACACATCCGCACCGTATAATTACCTAAAAACGTGAGACGATTAGTCATTACCTCTAATTATAGTAATTTAAAAGGCCCAAATTAAGCGCCAACACTTCCCAGGGAGTGGGTCGAGTCAGCGATAATTAATCCGAATTGCACTTAATGTCTTCAATTACCCTCGAATTACGCGTAATTAGCGATAACTTAGAGCGATAATCAACGAGTACGATGATTTTATTTCTTAATAAGACTTAAGGCAACTCGGTGTCGGTGAACGCGTTCAGAGATATGCAACGCGTAATGTTGCACGATCGGCTCGAGGAACGGAATGGTAAACGTCATCTCCTGAGATGTACTTAGACTGGTCTTACGTGTACTCGAGGCCGCCCACACGAATCTCCTGATAAATTTATCCGACAGCCAGTTGCACCGAGGCGCCTAAATCGTCGTACACATCGATACCGAATTATCAAGGGAGCCCTTTGAACAAGTTTTCACTACGTGGTAATCCATTTAATTATCAAAACGCTTGACAAATGTGTATCGAGTAGATATTATTAACAAGTTTCGAATTGGTGACGCTGTAGTCAATTATATACCTCGACAGTTTGGATTCCGCTCGCTGGTAAGATCGGTATTGCGAATTTAATCCTATCACTGGTACGTGCCGACAGCAGTAAATTTACCTAAGCACTGTTAAAAACAATGTATCGGGCTATGAACAAAGGTAATAGTATAATCCGTATAATTCGTCGTATCTGTACAATCCGCCGTATAATTCACTACGTTTCTCAGGAATTGAGATTCCATTTAGCGAGTCGTAAAGAAGTGTTCGGTCGCTGCACTAGGTCGCAATGTACTGTCAATAAGCGCGAATAGACTATCGGAACAGAGATATGCTATCTTAACCGTCCGACTGGGGATGGGTGCTGTCATTTTCCCGTTTTGGCTCAATCACAGTGATATAGATTGTTCGATTGGTGTCCCGCACGAAATGGGAGGCGCTTTATCTACCTACTCCAAAAATTTGTCTCTCTCGACTGACACATCGACACTTACAAGTGACGCCATATTTCGTTTTAACAGAATAAATCATACATTTAACGGAGTAACATTGCTTCGATAATAATCTCACTCTAGTCCCACTAATACGACTCGTAAACATTAAGTATAATAAATTATGCACTTTTGGCTTGACGTAACATAAAACCCATAGACATAGCAAACATAAAACGGTACTCTGGCAAGTTCGTCTATCTGAGATCGCATCAACATATTACAGACGCTTGAACCCAGATAGAATAATTTTTATTCCACGAAACTTGAATTAATGTTCAGATAATGTGAAAAATAGATAATACTTTGTACGTATCTTTCAATATATTTACACGAGTAACCTGCACTGCATGGTAGGATAATATCTAATCAGATTCAGCGATTTTTTACGTGATAAAGAAGCACGTGCTAAACCAGTGTAACGTTAAATAATTCTGCCTCTGTACGATCTTTCTTTTAATAGACAAGTACAAAACAATGAGGCGACAATAGTATTGCTCTTTAAGTGAAGCTAGACATGTGAGAATTAAAAAATCACACCGTTCCATGGAACGAGGAATTGGTGACAAATCATGGAGCATCGTTCGATTAAATTGATGTCTCTTTCGATCACGTTGCATTACCTGCACTAACATGTTTCAATTCTTCCTTCCTTATGAGTGACATACAAAGTAAGCGTGATTGCAGTTACGGTATTTATGATCATCTCACGATTGTGGCTACGACCAGGAAAACCATGGTCAATTTGAAGCTTGCGATGGCGACATCGAAACTGGCGACGATGGCACGGACGTCTTCGGCGAAGGAACATCTTGATTAGTATTATCCTGTACTCTCTGTTGAATCTTTTCATTTGTTTTTGCATGCATCTTTAGCTCGTACTGACGTACATCTTCCAAAGTCATACCGTACCACTCATCGATCCATGCAAATGCTTGTCGATGCCCCAACAACAAAATGTCCCGTATACACTGTAAACGATATTACAATGTGATAAATCAAAACATCTCATCGAATCCAGAGAACTATAAGAGAAATGAACATTTTAATCACCCTGTGAATGTAATCCTCCACCCGTGTTTGCATTCCCCATACTTCAAATGAGGCATGAACTAATTTATAGGAACACATAATTGGTTGCACAGTATCTCTCCAACCTTCGACAAGTGGTCCACGTCCAGTTACTTTTGATTGAAAGAATTTGGGATCCTATAAAATCATAAATATTAATACTTATTAAATTATATGAATTATAGAAAGATAGGAATGGAATACGATCAATGAGTACACACCTCTTCCTCCTTGTAGTGTTTTGCAGATATTTCATCGTATGCAATATCAATAAAATCGACTTCTCGTTGTGCAAGCTCAACTGGGCTGAGACCTAAGCACTGCATAAATATTTGATTAGCATTGATCGTCCACAAAGGTGTCTACAAAGGTATACATTCTGTAACTACTAAAACCTTTAACACGTACGTTCTCCATGTTGCCATTGTTGTTCTCATACCGAGTTTTAATCGATATTTGAAATTTTGGAATAAAGGAACACTGAAAACCAAAAACAATTACAAATCAAACTTTTCCTTTTTCAATGAATTGTAAAATAACAACTTACTGTGTATTCTGCAAAGTCCAAGGATGAACATGAAACAAGAAATTTATTTTATCACTTAGAAGAATTTTAATTGAAAACTGATAACAGACATAATTTATTTATAATATATATTTATATACCTGTCATGGTAAGAGGATAATAATTCCATGCCTTTTCGGTGACATAAAATATCCTCGGAATAAAGGATTGAATCCAATAAGGAAGTTTACTATAACACAAGATGCGAGTTGTATCATGAATATAAATATACGTTATTGAAAATTTTTCGGATTTACATGTACAAAATTTCTGATAATTACTTAGAAAGGTGAATCCTCTTTTCCGTAAACTGTCCCTTTCCATGTTCAGGATCCTCGCATTCCACATTTTCTACCACTTCGATGCCCTTCTCACAGTCCGACTGTTCATCGCTATGCCGCGCGATCATGTACAGCTGCCCGATGCGATACTGTGCCAAATTAAACCCAGACGTTACATCTACCACCAAGCAGTATGATGCACCCAAACAATGACATAATTACTAATTAATCGAATCAAAGGAAACGGATTCACAACTTTCTGAATTATACATCACACAGATGAAGAACAAATTCATTGCGTCTAATGTTAACTTCCAAGGTCCATAATCTAAATAATTAATTGGATGACAACAAACCTCTTCTGTTGTGAGGGGCATACAAATTCGATACTCTTTTACTTGAACCATTTTCTCGGCGAATAAATCCAGGTCAATTTCCCGAGCGAGTTCTTACGACTCCTCGAGGAGATATAAATCCCTCGTAATACCCTAAGGTGCCGCTAATAAATCTTTCCAACTTGTAACAATTACGTTATTTTTGTTAATCGCCGAACCGACAGGCGACAAACGAGACGCGAGACGCACGTGAAGTTGCCATTAGCGTCTGCTACAGATCGATAATCAGGGATACCAAGCCGGTGCGTTGTTCGAGACAGAACAATTTTCGAAACCTTCTCACGACCTGAACTTGCCGAAGAATGGCAGGTTTTTCGTTCTGACAAGTGTTAAGAGCGAAACCGCTGTCGTTCCTGGAATGGTTTGCAAGTATCGTTCAAGTTACAAGGTTAACCAATCAGTGCAAATAGCGCGCGACATGAGCTCTGTGATTGGTCGGATCTAACGGAAAGTGTCGAATTCGACCAATCACGACGCTGCGTATCGCCACGAGTGAACACGATCGACGCAATTCGGTAAATGGAAGTCATTCCTGTATGTGGCGATATTGACGACTTTCATACGTTACACGGAATGGAGATGAAAAATTTTTTGTGATGTGGACAATGATGGTACCGAGATAACGTACGGCTATGAACGACATGTAACTAAAGAAGCTCGAGTAGAAGTGGGTGACACATCTGTCGGATGGTACACGTTGCAAAGCCGAAAGCGATCTAATGGCTTATCAGACGCTCTTGCAGGAGTTCCTGCAAACCCCTGTTGTGACACGGGCTTACACGACTGCCTGTGTCATCACGACTCTCGCCGTGGTCAGTACAATATTTACATTTTGCCCGACATTTATTTCCTCCTTTTATCAAACCTCCATGATTTTAAATCACCTCTGCTACGAGGCATGTTTTTCATGCAAGGTTATCGTTTCAGCAATTGGACCTGGTCTCCCCCTTTCAGCTCTATTTCAATCCAATTTTAATAGTTAAACAATATCAGGTAATTCCTAAATATTTTCACATTTCTATCATGACATGTTCATGCAAAAATTATTGGATTAAAATCTGATGCAATGGATTTCAGCTATGGCGATTGATAACGACGTTCCTATTCTTTGGGACGGTAGGATTCAATTTCTTCTTCAATATGATATTCACCTATCGATATTGCCGGATGCTGGAAGAGGGATCGTTTCGAGGGAGAACAGCTGACTTTGTCATGATGTTCATTTTCGGAGCAGTGTGCATGACTGTATCCTTTCGCCCATTTATCTTTGTAAAAAAAATGTCTAAATTAATTTCCTAAACCTTTCCGTAGAGTTTCGCATTTTTTGTTAACTTATTGTTTTTGGGACATGCATTTACCATTATGTTGGTGTACGTCTGGTCAAGACGAAATCCATTCCTCAGGATGAATTTCTTCGGGCTGATTAACTTCCAGGCAAGTTTCACTAAATTCAGTATCGCACTTGAACGTACAATTTTTCATAATGTAACGTTCGTTTATTATACATCTAAGAGTAAATGAAATACAATAATTACAGGCTCCGTATTTGCCCTGGGTACTTCTGGGATTCTCGGTACTACTAGGCAATGCTATATGGGTAGACTTAATTGGTATGGCTGTGGGACACATGTATTATTTTGCCGAAGACGTCTTTCCCCAGCAAAGAGGAGGCTTTCGAATATTAAGAACTCCACAAATACTGTAAGTAATCGGACCCAGAGTTTTACTATTGACCTATAATTTGCATAACGGATAAACATCCTAGAATGGAAAGGTAGAAGTCTTTTCTTTTTTAAGGTTATCATGCTTTGATTTCAGTAAAACTCTATTTGACACGCACGCCGAGGATCCGGACTACACACCGTTGCCTGAAGACAGGCCCGGAGGTTTCAACTGGGGGCAGGTTCCCAACGTACAATGACTCTCGTGCAATTCCTACAGCTTCCCAAGTATTTGGTGTTACATCGATGTCAGCAGTCAGAGATTGTTGCGTTCTATTAACTGCTCCCATAGAAGTTTGTCCAGGATATCGATCGAGAGGAACCTGCGAATCCCTCCGAATCACACATGTTCACACTTATGATACATAATTATTTTCTGGCGCTGCGGAAAGGAGTGTTTTAAATACAGAACTTTTGTAATGACCTAAGAGGTCTCCAAGTTTTAAAGGTGCGTGTTAACTGCAGTTATTAACACATACACGCTAAGTGTATACCAAAGTGGGATTATCGGATTAAACATACCTATCGAGGGCGATGATCACTGAGGACAACGACTAAGTGACTGGTGTGCACACTTCACTGTGTTCTTCAAACGTTCTGATTAAGGTTATCGACATTGAAGGAAAAGAAAAAAAAAATGAAAGAAAGTATCTAAATCATGTCTCACCGAAAGAACTCTCCACAGTGAGTCGTAACTGAACTAACTCGTACAACTGTTAGAAAACTGGTGTTTAGTCCTTAAAATAATGTTTCCTCATCGTTAAGTTTATTAACGCGGTACAAGGTGTGTGTCGTTTAATTTCGTTTGCAAAATCGTTTCCTCGCATGTAGCCGTAGAGTGATTAAAAAAAAAAAAAGAATCGCCTCTTCCGGACATAGTGCACTGCTGCTTCGCGTGGTACATTAAACGAAAGGGAAAGATAAATTCCAAAGATTAGCAGCCAAACCATAGGTACCGTTAACATGTACAGCAACTTATGTTACGTCTACATTTGCTATTCATTTTTGTAAATAGAGAATGTACTACGCTCTTAATATACAAGATGTCCCCAGGGGAAGTCAGTTCTGCCACTTGACGCTCTCATTTGTCACATGCAACCAAAGGCTCCAAACCCATCGATCACAGGGACCATCTCTTGAAAACGTTCGCACAATTAACGGTATTGAACGAGTTAGAAGACGAATTTGCTTTAATCAACAAATCGTAACTATCAATAAGAAGCACTCGATTCCTCTCGCGTTACGGTAAGGGACACATCGAATAAAATCAAGAGACGACGTAAAACTGCGCACTATCCTTCAATTGCTATCTAAATATTGCTATTTCCTTTACATAACTAATTCACTATTACTATCGGGTATGTCCTTCCTAGACGACTGAGCGACATTACAAGTACTACAAGACACATCGAGAGTAGTTCGGAGTGACACTGTCTACTGACTCCATTGCACCGATGTCATGTCACTGCGACAGCCACCGAATGCAGCATTAATTAACAACTTCTAGCACGGTAGATTGATGGATGCAACAAATCGAGGATGCACTACCCGTAAGAATCGGTCGTTATCGTGATGAGTCGCAGAATGAACGACATTAACGGGATGAAATGACTGAAAGGCGTCCACCAACGAAGTCGCCTCGCCATTGATTCTTTCGAGTTATATCTAAGGCAGTGCTTACGACGAAACGAAATTCTAGCGAATCTCTGATGCACGGAAGCGCACCGGTGTCCAGCACGTGAGAAGCCACGAAGAGCGACCTCCTGGACGTGGAGAGTAACTATTCGTTAATTGAATTCCGAGTAAAAAGTGCTGGATAAGCACAGCCTACCTACGTAAGTCTAAGTCCTAAAAATCGTCTAATCTACTCGCCGGCCGTCGCGGGACCCTCCACCGACGCGCACAAATTAACGTCGATTAACGCGATATGAAAGCATCTAAGAAGTCAATCGTTTATGAAACTTTCCACCGAACTGGGTTGAAATAAAATTTGAAATTTTACTACGTAGATGTAGTGACCCCGAGGAAGGTCTCAACACCCATAAAATTCCATTTTTAGAAAAGAATTAAAGAAAAAAATTGTTTTCAAAGATGTAATAAAAAATGTTTATAGAGAAATATTTAAAAAATGAGATTTCCCAAGTGTTAGGACCCTCCTTAATGCCTCCACGTCCACGTGGCAAAATATGAAACGATTCGGTACACCCAGTTCGATAAAAGGTTTCATAAACTAGAAATTTCTAGATCGCCACTATCGTATCCCCTTAAGTCGATTAATTGGGCGCCCGGGGAGCCCGGAATCATAGCCGAGTCTCTACGGTGAACAACGTGTAACTCCAGACGAATTGTGTAACAATCATTCGAGTCCTAAGGTGTCAATCGGAGTAGTAACGCGATATGTCACGAAACAAAAATGTACACCCGGGACGTATACCTTTGGCTCGTCAACGAACACGCTCGGACGACGATAAAAAAAACAAGTCCTCATCGTTTGTCTTCTCCACGCGCCGGAGAGAATAACACGACTCCTATCTGGCTCGCCATAACGAACGGTGATTTACAAAACCATTTATTCCGACGTAAATAATAAATGATTATTGTAACGAGATACAGTGAGGGTGGGTGTCACTAGATACACATACGCGATGACATGGACTATAATACAATGATGAGGACTCTATTGTACACGCTCCGTCTTTCTTTATATTGCCACTGTCGCTAAGAGGACCGTTATGTCATCCGGCTTACCACCTGGAAAGAGAAAAAAAAAAGAAGAGGGCATGGAGTGTTCATCGAAGTCTTACAAGAAAAGGTGCATTAAGAGGAGCGTCACGGCAGGAAATCGTGACCGATCGATTCGATTAGGTGCTTCGACTTACCTATAGCGTCTATTCCGTTCTCCCTGGCGCTCTGGGCGAAAGGGGACATGAAGGCTCCATCGAAGGCAAGACTTCGGGCCATCCAAGCTATCGAATTTGCGACGCCCTGTATCTTCGTGGGGTCTCGTTCGCCCTCTATTTTCCGCATTTCGGTGACTAGCAACTGGTCAGGCACGTTGTCGAATACTCCATCGGTCGCCAGGAGGATCACGTCGCCGTCCTCGACGCCGAAACTCGACGTGTCGGCCGACTCTGGGCTATAGTATAGATTAGGTGTCATTCGGAGGTTAGTTTGGCCTTCCGCCTAAATGGCGCGTGTTAAATTGCACCGCATTCCCCCCCCTTCTCAGCTCTCAATGTCAGGGCTAAATTCAAGCTGAACGTGTAACACGAGGAAAATTTCACCAACCTATCGCTGAGAACCAAGTCGGAGTGACCTGGCGGTGGTAAGGACAACTGGAACGGAGTATTGAAATAGTGCTGTTGCTCCGACGAACGGTGGACGACTTCTCCTTTCCTCACAACCACGAATCCACTATCTCCTATGTTAGCCGCGTAAATGCTGCTCGTCTCTTTGTTGAGAACGATAACGCACGCCGTGCTACTACCTGCAGGATAGACGTTTACGTAAAGTTTATCGCAGTTACGACCTGGATGTCAGACAAAGCGCTAATTAAGCTCACCTAGTATCGGTTGCTTATTTTCTAGTAATTCAGAGTAACTACGCGCTAATAGGCCTGCAGGTTCGCTAGGACTGAACCTGCCCATCGAGACTAGCCTTTCACACGTTCTCATCAGAAAACTGGAGAACTCTCCTGGGTCGATGCCGTAGTGTCTCCATCCACCGACTCCGTCAGCGACACCTAAAAGAGCAAATAAATTCTGTAGTACCTTAAGTTAAAAATTGAAATTCAAGAGGAGAGACGGAAAATTAGAGGCATTAGGTAACGCAGGTTGAAACGAACTCCGAGTGAAATATTTTGAAACGTGACTTTTGACGTCACTCTAAAGATAGCAACCGAGATTTGGATTCTGGCAAATTGCCATTATTTACATCTGTTGCGGGCATGTGACATTATGTCACATGTTTCTCGTAGTCATGTGCACCACGCTTACGTGCTGGTTTGGCGAGAGGAAGGCCAATTCATCATATAGTGAATATATTGTTTATATATTATAGATTTACGGAAGTCCAACGACTCATCTAATTCTGAATGGATCGCTCCTCCAATAAAAAAAAACCTTTACCAACTGCTTACAATGAGCCAATGCATCTACAAGTACTATCTATTGCAAAAATGCTTTTCATTGGCCGTTGGACTTTGGCGATATATATTCAGCAACTGCAGATTTCAGATTACAAGCTCGACAGACCTTTCTTGTGTTAGTTCCACATCGAATGAGCTACTCGCAACTGTGTTGAAAGATCTTTAATTGTACTGGCTTTTGATCCATCTTTCAATGGATAAGAATAATTAATAATTGGATAACCTTTGTCTATTACGTGGATCATTTACACCCGATGCAGGCAGTTATCAAAAGATGTCTGCTCGCCAAAACACCTTCAATATCCATGTAATGAGTTTAAAAGTAAAGGCCTAAGTACAAGTGCCTCCACGTTCAAAGGTTAAAGAGCAATCCAAGAGCGATGCTTAATTAATTTACGGTATTAGCTAATAAATTAATCTCGGTATAAACCATTCCTGACTTCACGGTCACTTTACCAATAGATCCCTTATCGCTTACCACCCGCTTTCATAGTCTACTTCCTTGCTTCAAAAGGGGACAAACAAGTGACATAGAAAAACTTTCATTTCAACCGGTACTATTTGAAAAATATTGTTACTAGGTCAACAACCCTCGCCCGATCGTACAACATTACGCAACACATAGTACCATTGCACATGTTGTTATCCAAATACCTTTGAGTCATCGACATCTTACAAACAGCAATTTCCTAAGAAAAACAGCCAATAACTTTCTCCCGGTAAGCGATTACCTATGGCATACAAATCGATCCTGTCGTAATGCAATCAACTCAAAGAAATTAACCTCTCCTAAATAACAAACCCGATGAGCATCGTTAGGGCCAAGGTAAGAGACCGAGCCCTATGGATATTTATAATCTGCAATACAGAAGCAAATCGAATGGTTTCTCCACGGCGCAGCTTTCCCTTCCATCCGAGAAGCTAGAGAGGCGTTTTCGCGGCGAGTTTCCACATAAAAAAGGGGAAAAGAAAGTCCCATAGCTCTCTCGCGTCGCAGCAGCGAAGTCACATGTTCTTAGCACGCGAGCAGCCGCTAACGCACTAGCGAGGCGACGCGACGCGACCGAGAAGAGTTGCATCTCCCTCGTGCAAGCGAACCGTCTCTCTCTCTCGAAGCAGGAAAACTCGATCAAGCGGTAATCGAGTCGTGCCGGCGACTCACCGATCACCTCGACGGCTTTGAATTTGGCAGTAAACCAGGCGTCATCGCCGAACTGGCCCTTGCGCACTCGACCTCGAGCAAAGTCCTTCGGGAATCCGCAGACCGCCGAGACGAAAGAGGCCTCGTGCCGCCGAGTCGCGCTGGGGTCGGCGCAGGCCGAATAATTCGAAATCCCGTTCCAGATCGCCCGAGACAGGAGCCTCCCAGTCCAGTAGATGGATTGCATCGTATGTAGAGACTCTCAGCAGTCCGCCGCGCGCATCTCCGGACCGACTGGACGACTCGGACTGTTGCGGACGACGAGTGGACCGCGGACTCGCGGCCGAGAGACTCAAAACTACAGACAACGCCGACACCCCGGACCGGACATTTCGCGATGACACAGACGACTAGGGGCACGCCGACGGGCCTTCCGGAACTCCTAAATCACGAGACACTCGGAGGCAGAACTTCTTTCCCGTTTCACCGATGTTCCTCGCCGAGCAACTCATTGACCACGACCAAGCCAGCGCCCCCACCGTGCAACCCCAAATAACGGACACGGAGTGAGGGTAGGCGGAAAACCGCCGATTGGTTCGAGGATCTAGGGAAATCCAAACCAAGATGGCGGCCACGCGACGCTCGTCACCGCTTCGGGTTCTTACATGCATGTCACATCTACGTGCTGCACAATTAAGGTAGCTGCGCGGGTGATTCAACGCGACAACAAATTTTAAGAACGAATATCGTGGATATTTGTTATTTATTATTTGAAAAGCATGGGGGGAAAATTTAAATAGAATTTATTGTATTGTTTTTGTGAATAAGGCTGGTTGTTTCCTGAGTCTTTTTTCATTTTTCTTGTCTATTTTAATAAATCGAATTCGACATTTTCAGGAGGTCAGTGCCATCTGTCGCGCAAGAGGGGAATCGCAAACTGTGAATTCGATGGAAATTTTAGGAAATTTCTAGCCACTCCGATTAAAACATCGGGTGATCGTGCCATAACCTAGAATTACGAGAAAACACATGGTTGCGGCATTTTAATGTGTAAATATGGAAGAAGATAAAGATACTGAAAATTTGGAGGAAGATGAGGAGGCCAAGGTTGTTACGTGGAAAGATTTGGTAAGCAAATGTGGTTTCATCTTATTAGAAAATTATTATATATTTGATATAACAGTCTTTGTGTAATTTGTTTACAGGGTATTGTTGACACGTTATGTCAAGCCTGTGAAGACCTGAAATGGAAGACGCCTTCAAAAATTCAAAGAGAAGCTATTCCGTTAGCTTTGGAGGGTATAACCTTATTTAGGATTTTTACCCTTTTCAAAAGTCTAAAAAGATGTTCTGAAACTTGAAATTATATTTGCAGGTAAAGATGTTATCGGGTTGGCTGAAACTGGGTCTGGTAAAACGGCAGCTTTTGCGATACCGATACTACAGGCGTTACTGGAAAATCCTCAGAGATACTTTGCACTGATCCTTACCCCAACTAGAGAATTAGCATTTCAAATTTCCGAACAATTTGAAGCACTGGGTATGCACTGACAATTTAATTAAGAAATATAAAAGTGTAACAAGCTTAATTTTTTAGGTTCAAGTATTGGTGTAAAATGTGTTGTGATAGTAGGAGGAATGGATATGATGTCACAGTCGTTAGTATTAGCAAAGAAACCCCACATTCTCATTGCAACACCAGGAAGACTGGTTGATCATCTCGAAAATACAAAGGGGTTTAATTTACGATCCTTAAAATATTTGGTATGACGTGATCAAACTTTTACATAAGAATTCCTTGACAAAAATAATTATAATTTTAAATATTATTAGGTTATGGATGAAGCTGACCGTATATTGAACATGGATTTTGAAGTAGAAGTCGACAAGATACTCAGAGTTATACCAAAAGAGAGAAGAACGTTTCTTTTTTCTGCAACAATGACCAAGAAAGTTCAGAAATTACAACGTGCATCTTTGCGCAATCCTGTGAAAGTGGAAGTCTCGACAAAGTACCAAACTGTAGAAAAGCTACAGCAATACTACATATTCATTCCTGTCAAATTTAAGGTAGAATAATCGGTTCATAACAAACTATTTAAAACAGCAAAAGATATTGCACTGACACTTTTGGTTCATAAGTTGTTACCTTTAACAGGATGTCTACCTTGTTCACATTTTGAATGAATTGGCAGGAAACAGTTTCATGATATTCTGTGCCACTTGCAACAATACAATGAGAACAGCTTTGCTCCTACGTAGTCTGGGTTTTATGGCGGTACCGTTACATGGACAAATGTCTCAAAATAAAAGGATAGCAGCTTTAACAAAGTTTAGAGCGAAGAACAGATCCATATTAATTTCTACAGATGTGGCCAGTAGGTCAGTGGTTATTTAGAAAAGTCTGCATAATTTTCCTTATTAAACCTGATATCTGGACCACCGAGTAACAAAATAAATCTCTGCGCAGGGGTTTGGACATTCCGCATGTAGATATCGTTATAAATTTCGATATACCGACCCACAGCAAGGACTACATCCATCGGGTTGGTAGAACAGCTCGGGCTGGTCGGTCTGGGCGTTCTATAACATTCGTAACCCAATACGATGTTGAACTGTACCAACGAATAGAACAACTAATATCTAAAAAACTACCCCTCTACGAAACGATCGAAGAAGAAGTTATGGTTCTACAGGAAAGAGTATCGGAGGCCCAGCGCACCGTCAAAATGGTAAGAACTACTCAGCCACGATGAGCAACCTTTCTACAATATAAAAATGCATGCACCAATTAAATATATAGGAACTTCATTAATTTACAACTTACCATAATAATACAATGCATGTACATGCGAAGAAATTATATGCTACTATAAAGATTGCAACGTTCTCTTTAGGAAATGAAAGATATCGAAGAGAACAAAAAGTCAGGTAAAGGAAGGAAACGAAAAGGCGGAGACAGGGACGAAAACGACGACGACGACACCGAACAGTCCCTGGGTGTGCGAAAACGAATGAAGGGGAAAAGCAAAAGAAAAGGGAAAGGAAGAAAAGGCTAGCAAAGCTCGTAAATCCGAATGCATGCCGCCTCCGTAATCTCAGGTATAAACGTCACGCCACGTGGTGCATTCAGTGCCGATACAGAAATCCATCCGCTAAACAACGAGCCATAGAGCACGTACTGGGAATGATTTGACGTCAACTCTGTAAATTTATAAACCAACTTTTACTGCAGTATCATTTCTCTCGAACAAGTACATCGTATGACCTAAAATGAGCTAAAAAATCTACGGGCGCGACAACGCAATTGGAGCGTTCCCTCCCGACGATCGGTCTTTCGTTCCCTAATCCTAAGACCGTCGCGATTTCCCTACGTGAATCGCTTGTAAATATCTCTTGAAGGCTTCGGTTTTAACGGGGGAAGTGCTAAACGGGTCGATCGTTTCTCTCATTCGTGGTCTCCTCGAGGAGGTCTTATCATCGTTTCGTTGGGATGAGATCGGCGTTATCAAGCCGCGCGGGTCGCTATGTAAGAAGAGAAATTTAAGCGGGGGAAACGTATTTACACAATGTTAAGCTAAGAACACCTTATCGAAAGTTCTGTCCTTACATATCCCGCAGCGGTAACAATACTTGCGACGACGGCGGCAAGTGGGCGAGAATAAATTCCTACGAACTAGTTCCCCGAATGCGCTCTCTTCCTGGGGGGCAGAAAATCGATTGCTCCGGTCTTGCTCTTCGCGTGCCGGTAGTAAAATGATGATCACCTTTTCATTTATTTTTTTTTTACTAGGCTCACGTTGCTCTCGCATCCGCCACGAGTTCCAAGAGACATATCGGAGGGAAAAGTAAAAGCTGCCGGCGAAGATGCGAGCGTCCGATACGACGTAGAATACTAGCGAGGCGTACCGAGACGGTCCATCGTTAAGGGGACATGAAAGTAGCATCCAAAAGCTCAATCGTACATCAAACTGTTTTCCGAACCGGGTCTACCAAATCGTTTCAAGCTTTACAACGTGAATACAGAGACTACGACGAAGGTCCCGACACCCATGAATTTCAATTTTTCTTTTCTTAAATTTATTTATAGACCTTTTGAAAATCTTGTATAAAAAACCGAATTCCACGTGTGTCGGGACCTTCCTTATAGCCTTAATATTCACACTGAAGTTTGAAACGATTCGGTGCACCCAGTCCGGGGAAGTTTCACAAACGAGATGTCCGATGCCAGTTTTCCATCGCCTTAAGGGAGAATTAACGATTCCCGATATCGCTTCCGGGGCTTAAAGCCCGTTACAAAGAAGACGACGGCCTTCCTTTCTCCCCGCTACTCGTACGCAGAGTAATTACAAACGCAGTCGGTCGTCGGTGGATTACAATTCTTAGCGGCGAGCGTGCAGGGTGAGATATCGGCGATCGCTAATCTCGGATCTCGGGTCGTGGAGCGAAAAGGGGGGGCAACGCATTTCTACGGGCCTCCTGTGTCTAGCCTCTAGCACTGATTACAACGATAACGCGAGTCGGTTCCTTCGAGCGAGCGGGGCGGGCGATTAACCGGAAGGGTACGAGAGTGTCTACGGCGTCTAGTCGCTTGAAGCCGAGCCTAATGGATGGAATGTCGTTAAGTTCCGCACCTACGTTGTTAATTACAATACTACCGGGGCGTCTCGCGAGACGGAGAGACTTCCCCGACTCTCGTCGAGTGCTGACAGAGAACCCAGGTTCGATTCCACCCTCGAGAATGAGAAATAAAATATACTCCATAATATTATTATTCGTTTTCACTATTTCTACACAGATTCTGTACAGTAAATTCAATTTAAAGGGCTTCATACCTCAATATACTTTATACAAAAAGGCTACTTATAATCTAACATTAAGACATACCATAGCATGAGCGCCCTCCACCTTGCTCCTCGAGGGCAGGTGGGCCGCACGCATGTTTGTACTGGTATTACAGAGTCAGTCGCCAGCGAGTATAACTTCCTCCTTTCTCACTCTAACTCGTGTTTTCTCTCCCTCGCTCTCTACTCAAGTTCGTTTGTTTGTTTGTTATTTTTTTTTTGCCCCATAGTTCTCCATATTTTATCACACGTCCGCGCACCACCGCGATCGCCGGTCGACCCGGCTTCTGTCTCTCCTCCTGGTGGTCGCGGGCCGGTATCTCTCTCTCTCTCTCTCTCTTTCTTTCTCTCTTCCGTCTCTCCTATCTCCCTGAACGGTCCCCGATAAAAGCTCGACTTTCGGTCTCTCCGTCGGTTTTGCGATTCTATTTCTTTCCTTCCTTCGTTCCTCCGTCTCGTTCGCTCGGAAAGGGAATAGCGGGGGTCGATGATCTTTGTCGTCGCGACGTCGTAATGCAATGAAGTGCCTTCGATCTGTCTCTCTCTCTCTCTTCACCGTATCTTCCTGCTCCTCTTCCGCAAGACATCTCTTCTCTCGCTCTGCACGCGATTCCTCGCCTAAGCGTCCTTATGTCCCTCTCTCACTCTCACTCACCCTCCCTCGTTCTCTCCATCTCTCTCCCCCTACGCCTGTTGTCAACGATACCTTTGTTTTTTTTTCTTTACCAATAAATAAAATTATATTTTGTGAAAATATAGAATCGTAAAAAATAAAATCTGTCTTTTAAATTTTTCTTCTTCGATAATACCGGTACAGAAATAGTGCATTCTCGGAGACGTTTCCGCGAGCGACAGATCTCGGATTAATTGAGGTCTCTGTCTTCTAAGTACTTGTACTCAAAAGTAAAGCCCTCCTTCTTTCTTTGCCCCCACTTTTCGTAGTCGAAGTAGATGTAAGTGCCCTGGAATCAAATCGGTCGAGACGTTATCATCGGGGATGCGAGCGATAAGGTCGTCGAAACGACTCGCTAAGAGGTCTCGACTTCTTCGGGGAGAAATCGTTACTCTCGATTATTAAGAGGATGTGAAAGTGGCATCCGAAAAGTCAATCGTTCATGAAACTCTTCCTCCGAACTGAGTGTATCAAATCGTTTCAAACGTCACAACGTCAAAATAGAAGCTATAAGGAAGGTCCCGACAGTCATGAACTTTCATTTCTTATAACAAATTTTTAAAGTATCTCTGAACAAACTTTTGAAAGCATTGAAATTTCATAGATTTCAGGACCTTACTTATAGCCTCCATGTTCACGCTGCGAAGTTTGAAACGCTTTGGTAAACTCAGTTCGGAGAGAAGTTTCATGAACGATTGACTTTTCGGATGCCACTTTCCCATCACCTTAAGCGGAAAGAGAAGTTATCCTTAGGTGGCACCTGACCTGTTCGTACTCCTCGTTGATGACTTTCGGCTCCTCGTGCCTCTGGAACCACATCATATACTTGGTGTGGAATCTCCAGCTCTGCTTCTTCAGGGCTTTCGCAGCCAGGTATTGGCCCTTCGAGCCCTCCATGTAATAGAATATAAAGAACAGCGTCTCCGTCGAGAGCCGCTGGAAAAACTCGACGGTGTCCGAGTGGGGAAGCTGCATCTGGAAAGTGAAAGCAACGAGATGCAAGACCGAAGATCACGCGAGCGTCAAAAACTACGTAGCACCCTTCATAGAAATTTTTAGCACACGAGCGACGATCATAGCAACTGGTGTACATCCTTATCCGATGCACTTTTGCTACGACAAACGTCGTGACACGGCAACGCACATTCCAGGGTAACATTTTCTTTTCAAGTAAGCCACGCGAGTGTCGAAAATACGTCCATTAAAAATACATTCATTATAAATACGCCGGTTCAAAATACGTCCACTAAAAAAGATACACTCGTTAAAAAAATCGCCCATCAAAGATATGTCATCACCACGAACATTGAAACGACGCTCGAGTGACTCCGACCCTTAACCCTTTCGCTTCGAATCGCTCGGAATCGAAAGGGTTAAATTAAAAACCCGAGTTCTAGGTTATACAAGACGACTCGCATCAAACCCAAAAGCCAAAAAGTTGCACCTGTTGATAGTAAGGCGGCGTAGGGCACAGGTTCCTGGGGAGATAAGACCTGAGCCGTTCCGAGTCGGACGGGTGAGGCATGTGATAATAAGCAGCCTCCATCATCTGGAACTGGAGCTGGTGCTCCTTCTGGAGGGGTACGGGGCCCAGGGGCGCGACCCCCAGAAGCGGCGGAATGTGAGCCTCCGAGGTGGTGTTGCTCGCCTTGGAGTTGTCGAAGATGTTCCTGGTGGGCTCTGAGGGCGGTATCTCCAGACCTGCTCGGACAATGACCTGTTGGGCGATTGACTTTAGCGAGGACATGCCGTCGGGAAGCTTAGAGATGAGACCGTTGGCAGTGGATGGGGCGGGCGAGCACGAGTTCGCCGGCAAAGGCGACGACCTGCTGCTGGTCGAGGATTGCGGCGAGGACGACGGGGGGATCGGCGTCGTCATCTCGGCCTCGCTGTTGTGGTTCTGACTCTGTTGGCTGTGCAACGCGTGGCTCGCCTGCATGATCGTTGGATTGTTGCTGTTGTGCTGCTGTTGCTGCTGCTGCTGCTGTTGTTGCTGTTGCTGTTGCGCCTGCTGCTGCTGCTGCTGGACTTGCTGCTGCTGCTGTTGCTGCTGCTGCTGCTGTTGCGAGATCGCCTGCGGGATGTTCGACGCGACGCTGGACGCCGACGAGGACGACAGCAGTCCGTTTTCGCTATTATGAGCTGAAAAGGCAACACCACCAACCACCGTATATTTAGCTTATCGGTATAGCAGAAAACAATAATAGAAACTCGCCCATGCCAAACCCTTTCGATCGGCGGCCGAGACCGATTGGCCGCTTCTACCGGGAGAAAGTGATTCATTGGCCGCCGAAAAAGGAAGCGATATCATCAATCGGTTTCGTTGGCATTGGCATGCACCACCCCGCGGAGGGCGAGTCTCGAGGCTTTCCTCCTTCTCGCGGCCGGAAGGAAGGAATCCGATCGTCGGTCTCGAGCTTGGCGACGACTTACACGAGGTTTTGCTAGAGGTCGAGTGAATGGCTTGCGAGTTACTGTGCGATGCCGCCACCGTGGCGAAGTTGCCCGCGTTCGTCGTAGCTACGTGGTTATTCGTCGAGCTGGGCGAGCTGTGGCTCGGCGTCATGGGAATGGTCTTGCTCGGTGTACTGCTCGATAACAGATTCGACTTCAGATTGGCAGTGCTTCCCGTCGTTGGAATGCTCGCTTGCGAGTTCATTAGCGGCCTGACTGCTGTTGGTTTTACTGGCTGAAATTGGAAAGGGCTCTTGAAATCGCTCGGGGTCGAGTTTCATCTCTTTCTACGCGTCTTGAGCGAACCGCTCCGTGAAAATACCTCTTAACTGGCTAGGACAAACCTTGGTTTTCTTATCGGTATCGGTTGAACTATCGCTCGAATGGTTGTGCATCGTCGAACTCAACGGAGGCGATGGTATCGGCGAGGTCCCCGAGTTTGTCGACGTTGGCGTCCCTCCGGTTTCATTGCTATTGTTGCTATCCGTTGTCGCGGACGACGGAATGCCAACACCGGACAATTCTACCTCGTCAAGGCCAATGATATCGTCGTAAATGTACTCGTTCTCCTCAAAATCGGGCTCTTGCGATGACTCAATGTAATACTCGACGTCGTCCTTTATCCTTTTGATCTACAGACATCGACACGCATTAGAACATACAGTTGTCCGTAATAATAGTTTGGGCTTGTAGTGCAGTCATTGTTATAAAATAAGAACTTTCTTCTATACATAAAAAAATATATATATAATGTGGCAAAGCTATGATATATAAGGCAAAGTTAGCGTCGACAAAGAACTTTGATTCAGCAAGATGCAAGGCATCGAGACGAGCACGTTAAATTGTAAATTGAAAAGAAGTATTTCAAAATAATCACATTGCCTCGAACGAAAGGTATAGGGTTAGTTTATGCCAAGTCGTAACTGAAATAACTGTTTTACTGTTAACACTCGAGATAATGCCTGCACCAGATTATGGACAATTAACACATAACACTGAATATAATTATCGTAATTTAACTTAGAGGTCTCTAATCCTTAAATGTAATGAAGAGGATGATGTAAGTTAACGGACAGGATCAATTTGATCGAGGCCATTTTTGGCAATCAAATTGTGGGCACTCGCTGAACAAATAGTATATCCCCTACTAGATATCCATTCAAACAGTCATACGAGCGACGAGACACGACCAACACAAATACTAAGAGAAAGTAACGAAACTTAGTGTCACTAGGTATCTTTCGTTCCCGACCTTTATCACAGCAGAATGTCAACCGACTGGACTCATAACGATAACAATTTTTAATGAACTTTTCATTGTACGATGTTATTAAAAATTTAAGAAATCAACGCACTCACCGTATTAACCTCGACAGACATATTATCCAACATGCGCAATAATGTCTCCAGCTTGCGGATGTGGTATCGATGCTTTTCAAGCTTTGCTTTCAATTCATCCATTCTATCCTGCTTATCTTTATCTAGCCTTTTTTTCTTTGCGGCAAGTAACGATTCTATTTCCGACTCAAACGTATCCAGCTGCACCCAAAATGTCAATGATAGGGATGTTACGGCAGACCTTAATATGCATACTCGAAACTCTTTGACGAGGTCGTTTGGACAAGCACAACACATTGAAGTTCGATACGAGGAGGACGCGTTTTTCGTACCTGAATATTTAGAGCATCTATGGAGTTCGCAAGCCAGTTACTGACTTCTTCTCTCTCTTTTTGGGCTGGATCGAGCTTCTGCGCTGCCCCCAAACCTTCCTTAGAATAAGCCTTCGTTTTCGTTTCCCTCTCTACGACCTTAAATCTTTCCATTTGCTAAGAACAACAAGATGATATTTAATGATTATAATTGTCGGATCTTTGCAACTCACATCGACATGTGAATTATGCCTAATGTAGGGTAAAAAACGTGCTATCAATAGCTTTTTGATTTAGGGTGTTTCTTGCAAGGAATACTGACAGCGGCAACAGAGGTTGGTATGTCTGGACACAAGTACTCACAGTTTCGATTAGCTTCCGGTAATCGAGTAATGTGCTTTTATCCTTAATTTCGCCAGAAGCGATCCAGCTCTTAATTTGATCGCGTAACCTTTGAAGCTTCTTGATCTCTTTCTTAAGATCAGCCTCGTACTTCTCCTTTTGGTTGCTGTTGGTGGCATTGTGGACCTTTTGCCAGATATCTTCAAAAGTCTCCACACCCTCCGTTACTTTCTTAAGGCACCTGTCTATTTCACCTGCGGTTTTCAAACAAATATTTTTATGGCAACTGCTCTCCGAGCCTCTCTTTTTCATTATGCCTTTTTAATGGATAAGGCTTATGACGAAACTTTCTAAAAAGCTTCCCCTTTAGCTTTCGAGGATCAAAACACTCCAAAATTGTTTAAAGTATCAATTACTTTCTATCAGACCACGGAACCACAATGGAAATAAAAATGAAATACATCAAGAGAAGCATTCACTGAATTTATTGTATCGCACGCATTACTGCACATGTTTACACCAAATTTTCAGTCGTGGGTGTATTATATTATTATTTTTAGAACAGCCAGTTTACCCAAAAATAAAAGTTCCAAATTTAGACCCTAATCTATAGACTGCTATCCTTCGCAATACCGCAGCGCTATCTTCATAATATTCATTTTATAACAAAATGTATTAACATGAAATAAATTACCACTAGCATTGCGTACAATCATACTCTTAAGCAGTTGAGACGTAAAAAAAGTTCAAGCGTTCAAGTAGTCCAGGACTTAACACACCAAACCATTTACTTCCGAAGTACAATCTAACAGGATATACGCCATAAACACAAAATACTCCACATTAACAAGAACATATACTAACATACATTGGATACACATAAAGTTTTAAGTCAACCGTTGTAACTTTTATTCATTAACGATCTACCAAACATAAACTACTTACGATGAATTTCTTCAGCATGTGACCCAAATTCGTAGTACCAAACAAATTGAAATACGATTCTTAAAACCCAAAGTCTTTCGCTAAAGACCCATCGATTCAAGATCCTATGCAAGCCTTTCACAATGGGGAACGCAAATGAGTATGCAGAGAGCAAGACTCGTTTGAAGGTTATGCCGGAAAGCGAGTGACCAATTTCTCACCGAACGAACAGAATTTCAGTGATGGAACCTTTGCCAGATTGCAGAAGCATTTTGAAGGAATAAAGACGATGGAGTGGTCCGTCACCCTTGGACAACCCTTAGCAACTGTCACCCGGTAAAGAAGTCCTACTCCGAGCAAATGACACATCGAGGAACCGGGAGAAGAATGAAATGGCAAAAGCGGTCTCTATGAGTTAGAGGAGAGCAAAGGAAGGACCAGAAGAGCTAACCGTGGCCGTGCAGGGGCACAACAAGATCTCTAGATGTAAACAGTTAAGAAAGGAGATTCCTCTCACCTTGCAACTTTCTCGTCGCAGCCATGGCTATGTAAACGTATGGCAGAATGGTTCATACATAGTCCGGACGTAATGAAAAAGGTACGAGCGAATTTTCCGTAAGAAATCTCCGGTGGACTATTATTCCCTGTATAATATGGGAGGCTCGGGAACAAGATGGCTTCCGTTTTCAAATGACAACGACCGACCGTCCGTGAGAGCGCTGCGCCGAACCTTGCCTCGGTCTGTCGCCGATTTTTAACCTCTTCAACTTAGCTCGACCGATACATCATCTAGTCGTTAATCGGCGATACGTAAAATTACACAAAAGGTGCTAGCATCGGTAAATGATATATACGAAAGTCGGAATAACTCAACGGTATATTATGCATTGGCGCATCCACACACAAATGCACCTCTCACGCACACGGCTGATAGGTTAGCGTTCGCCACCCATCGAGATTTCATCGGATACCTTCAGACGGAATCTGTGAACAGAGAGTAGCAAAGAAAGCCCATGTCTCGAATTAAAACCGAACTCGCCCTACACGCGTCGAATGTTGCACAGAGCGCGTCGCGTCTCCGCGTCGAAGATGATCAACCAATCAGAATCCGCGCTTCACCACGTGTGTCACATCCATCGCAATTCTGATTGGTTGAGTATCTTCGACGCGTTGACGCGCCGCGCACTGTGTGGCCTTAGTTTCGACTATTGTAACCTAGCGCCTTCTACCAAAAGTATTACACATTTAGCATGGATACCCACCTTATTGCATTTCAGGTCCGAATATTACCCACTGATTTGAGAACTCCCTAGTTTTATTTAAAAAATCTACTAAGAACAAAGAATGATTTTCATTTAATTATCTAAATATCGGAAAGAGAAACTCAATCTGAATTTAATTCTACTTAGCAGATAATTTGCTAAACGCTGTCATCCTAGGGGATGAGATATTATGGCACACGTGATTCACGAAACTCGCTTCGTGAGCGATCCGCCATATTGCTTGTTCTTATATTCAGTGGTAGCGCACGTTCAAACGTGCGTGAGCACGCAGTGATGTGTATTGCATACGGGGAGATTATTAAGTACAGGTAAGCAAGGTGTGTATATATACATATTGTACTGCATCTCCGCGGCGGAAAATGGCACCTATCGTGTCCGAGATTAACGTGAATCTGACAGCTTGAATCGAGCGGCGCTTGCTTGATGACAAGCCGTCATAGTTGGTGAACTCACGGGGGACATTCTCGCGATTTCCTTGACGCATGGAGAGATCCGTCATGACAAGTCAATCGTCCTCCCACTCGCAAACGGAGACAGTCCTGGAAGAAGACACCACCGATTCAGGGACTCAGGTACGCGGTACTCTGCTCCCAGTAAATTGCGTCATTTTTCTAATCTCAACTCAAGGATCGTAAAACATCACCGGACATGCACCTAACCTGTACTATTGTAACCTTTATATCTAGAAACAGATCTCATTAGAAAGAATTACATATTTAATTCCAAAATTGTCCAATCAAGTTGGAATTAATTTCTTTAGATAATATTGGGCGCAGCGTTTATTTTAATCGAAAATCCGACTTCATCGAAGCAATTGTAAAATTATACATAATAGAGTTTCAGTATCTTGATATATATGACCTTTAGAGCACTCAATGTTGAATTGCAGAAAGCATTGTGTCGATGTTCTGTGTCTTTTGTGCCATTTAAGTACTTAAGATCATGAAAGAGGTGTGTGGACTATTTTATGTTTGCTAAGTACAGTGCTCGCTATACTTACATTTATGCATAACGGTAGAACAGACTTTGACTAGAAAAGAATCAATAACAATGGATAAGTTAATTATATCATGCATTACTACATATGCCAGAAGCTGCCTTTTGAAATGTAATTGCAAGGTGGGAAGTTTTAACCGAGAGCAGCGACTTTATGCAACATCGATAAGTGACCGATTTCCGTTGTCTGGAGTTCGAATATTAGATCTAACTCGTATTGTGGCAGGACCATATTGTACGATGATATTAGGTGATTTGGGAGCTGAAGTTTTAAAAATTGAACGTCCAGGGACCGGTGATGAATCGAGGAAATGGGGACCACCATTTTTTGAAGGCACTCAGGAGTCCACATATTTTTCCTGCGTGAATCGTAACAAAAAGAGTGTTTGTATTGATTTGAAAAAAGGTAGACAGGTTATATATGATCTGATTAAAGAGTGTGACGTCTTGGTAGAAAATTATGTTCCTGGTAAGCTGAAAGAGATGGGTTTGGGATATGAAGATATCAGAAAGATAGCTCCGAAATTGATATACTGTTCTCTCACTGGCTATGGCTCGACAGGGCCATATGCTTCGAAACCAGGCTATGATGTTATTGCTGCATCAGTCGGAGGCTTAATGCACATCACGGGTCCAAAAGATGGTCCACCCTGTAAAGTTGGTGTAGCAATGACGGACTTGGCCACTGGGCTTTACGCACACGGAGCAATTATGGCAGCTCTGCTGCAGCGAGCTAAAACGAACGAGGGTCAATGGATCCAATGTGACTTGTTGTCGACACAAGTAGCTAGTTTGATCAATGTTGCATCTAATTATCTGAATGCTGGGAAAGAAGCAACTCGATGGGGTTCAGAGCATGAAAGCATAGTACCTTACGAATCATTCCCAACAAAGGATGGTTACTTGACTGTTGGGACTGGAAGCGATGCACAATTTATAGCTTTATTAAGAATATTAGAATTACCACAACTGGCTGATAATAAAAAATTTAAAACTAATACTGAAAGGGTGAAGAATAGGGAAGAGTTGCTACACATTCTCAGATCAGAGTTTAAGAGAAAAACGAACAAAGAGTGGATGGAAGTATTAGCGGATGCTCCATTTCCTTGGGGACCGGTGAACAGTATAGGACAGGTAACAGTCAAGTAACTTAAAATTTTCTAGTTAATGAAGAATATTATTGGATTTTCATCGTGCAATTTATATTTTTATATATTCATCAATCTGTCAGGTTTTCGATGACCCTCATATCAAGAACATTGGATTAGTTAAGGAAATGGAACATGCTACTGTTGGGAAGGTAAAACTGGTTGGTCCTCCGGTAATTTATAGCTATGCACAAAATGAAGCGAGACTTCCTCCACCGACATTAGGACAGCATACATCAGAGGTTTTAAAGGAGTTGTTAAAATACTCTGAAGCCACGATAAAGAATTTGATACACGATAAAGTGATACAATAGATCTCTCATTTATACTTTAACTGTATCGGATTATTAGCATTTTATCTATTATATTTATATAATGGTTCAAAAATTAATTTAACACTTGTATTTTATCTTGCGTTTATTATTATCAATGTACTATAATGCTATGTATACAGACAATATACTGAAATTACTCTAAATTGGTAGAGGTAAAAAAATAAAGGCTGCGTTACCAGAGACACTTCTATTTTCTACTTGATTTTTTCATATCTTTCGACTAGCTGAAATGGCACGACAGTTGACATTGTAGGGCATTAAGGGAAAATCTAATAAGCGCTGTACACTTGAGTGGAGACGTCCCTTGTTAGTTGTCTATCTTATCTAATGAACTTAAACTGAATACCTTAATCTCCTCATCCGATAATAAGCTATGCTTTTTTTAGCACAGATGTCTATTACATAAAAGAAGTGATATATCGATATGTGATAAGAATATTGGAACATGTATGAGCCAAAGTTGTGAAAATAGGTGCCAGTTGAATTTTTAATTTTAAATCGTTTTTGTTGTTTTTTAGGAGGTGCCAACGGTTCATCTTCGCCTTAGGAAGCCAAGGTCAAGTAAGAAAGTCCAATGGACTCAAGGTACCGTCGACAATGAGCACATGAACAAGAAGAAATCCAAATGTAAGAATGTTTCTGTAAAAGCCAACAGGAAATGAGAATTACATTTCTTCCTTGTGAGAAGACATGATAAATACAATTGTGAATAATTATCTTAACCTGTTCATAAGGTTGCTGCATTTACGAAAAACCGAAGGACTTTGGGGAGAGCAGTTCCGAAGACAGTAGTGACGAGTGTGAACATTGCCACGGTTGCAAAGATGCTCATAAGAAGGCTCTGCCGAACAGTAACGCACCACCACAGGATGAGATACAGTCTCATGCAGGTAAGACCGAATGTCAGGAATTTGTGGTTACTTGCGAAACCTTGGGCAAGGTTCGTCTGACACTTTCCAGCCAACCCAGAGGATTCTTTTTCAGATATTCTGAAAAAGAAAGAATAATATTAAGCGACTTCCCCTACTTCTTTAATTTGAAAATATTTTTTCTCATTCCAGAGCCAATAGCAACCGGGTCATCGTAACTTCCGTCTCTACATGTGAACTTAACATCTTTAAGACCCGGTGGCAAGTTTCCTCGTTCCAGCGTTCTATAAAAATCTGCTAACCATAGGTACGTGTTTCAGAGCAAAGTTATTTAATAATTTATCTTGCAAGTGTTCAACGGATAGCAAACAAATTAAACGCAATTTGCTGTTTCGACACTCGATTGTCTGAAGAACCAGGTCAAACTGCATACATAATTAAACTAGTACATTGCATACAGTTACAACTGAGAGTGCTAATTTCCAGAAATCGCGTTGATATCTCTCTCGCTCTACAATTGTGCGATAACCTAAGCAATATACTAACCTCTCTCAATGTGTTCCCCGAAATTTCTTATTACAATGGGAATATAATTATTTTTCTACGTTCGCGACGGAATTAGATTGTTGAAATTTGTTGAATCTTCTCCATCGGCAACAGATGAAAGACAAGAGATTCTACATGAGAAAGTACAGAACTTGTGGGTCGTTGAAAGTCCCTTCTGTGGAGGAACACTGGTCATTTATGCATTGCAAAGAATGTACCTGCCTTTCTTACGGTTCCGATAACTTAATTGTTGAAATTTGCCAGTTGTTAATAGTGTTTTTAATTTTTAGGTCCTGTGGCGTGACCTGCCGAAGTCGGTGCAGCTTGCGCGCATGCGTATTTCCTAGGCGTCGGACTCTACCGTGTCTCCTAACCTGTTCGGCCAGGCAAAAGCTCTTTCTCGACGGTTACGGCAGGTCTCGCCAGAAGGATCGCCTAAGATTACGGTGGGTAAACGACTGACACGATCGCTGACATCTTGAGATGTTAATACCTACGACGAGCCAATCGGGTGATCGATATTGTAAGGGCAAGCAAATAAGGTGGAAATTCAAGAGTTGCGTGATTTTCTCTTGTATAGCTACGTCTCATCATATCTAACTTGTAACATAGATGTTTGACGTTTAAGATAATGTTCAGAGTTTATGGTGTATGGCATGTATGTGGTTCATGCGATACAGGAGGTTTGACCATGTGGTGTTTAAGCTCAACGTGTTTCTGGCGAAGGTTTTCTCACAATATTTGCTGGAGATGTCTGGAAGACTGCAAGGTTTTGCTTCAGTGCCATAGTCAATCGTGGGAATTTGACGTTAAATTTCAATTGTAACAATTGTTAAGTCCGTCCCGTACCTGCCACTGATTAATTTACATTTTAAGTAAATGAAAGAGCGGTACTGCTGAACTCTAAAAGTATACAATCAAAGAACAAGGAGAAAGTGGACTTTTCCACGTTGCATGGTAAACGGTGTTTAATTCTTAACAGAACTAATTATTCAATGCAGTTCAAACTTGTAAATTGTAAAAGTAATTTGAGATTTACTGAGTGTATAAATGTGTTGGAGACAGCAGCTAGTGTGTCGAATCACTTTATGATGCACTGGCTTGAGAACTTGTATTTTGAAAATTAGAGGGACGCCAAGAGCTCCGCTCGTTCTTCATTCCTAATGGATAATAACGTACATTTCCGAAAGTTCTGCTTCGTCGTGAGCACCAAGCAGTATTTAATACTACTGGGAAAAAAAAAAAAAAAGAAAAAAAAGAAAAAAAGATTCAGTATAGTTTTCAACAGAATTGTTGATAATGTTGAGAGAGATTCTAACCTAATCATGGAAACAAATAAGTAGAGAAATGTAAGATACGACACAGTCAAAGAACACTTCCAGATCAACATGTTATCGAACTTTTATCTCTTGTTTTATAATTATTCAAGTGCAACATTACGTAGAGACATCTATAAAAGTGTAACATCTTGTTCGTACATCAATTTGCATTCAGGAGGAAAGAGATTAGCAGGATATTATGTTCCATTAAGAAAAGCTGCAAGAATGAATGATGATAACTACGCTTGTACTCTTCACTTTCCTTCTTAACAATATGCATAAACAAATAGTTTTAAAAAATAGTGACTACAACGGAAGAACAGACCAGGTCGGGTTTATTTCCAAAGTTTTATTCCTAACATTAAGATACATCGAAGGAACCGAGACTCGCGAATTATTAAAGTAAAACCTAATGAACAATCTGAAAACGTGTCTACGAATGTTATACAAAATACGTGAAATGGTTTAAAAAAAAAAAAAAGAGAGAAGTATCACGTTTAAGTTGCATCATTCAGTGATGTCTGCGAACCGTAGAAACTCAAGTCAAATTGTTCATCCCTTGTGGTCCTCCGATACTTTTTCGATAAAAGTAAATTCCTCGTTCCTCATTAAACCACAGCCCCGTGGAATTCCAGTTAACTTATCTACGAGCCACTTTTATTAAATAAACGGAATAGTTTTTTTTTCTCCTAGGTCTTGATGTACATGCGCGAGCGATGAAAAAAAAAAGAAAAAAGAGTCATGAGTCAGCTCACTATCCTTTTCAGTATCACCACATTATAATATCTCCGCATATGCTACGTACATCTATTAACAGAGTGGTCCACTTATTGACGATGCTTTGCAATTACAAGAAGTGCTGTAATATTCATGTTCAGAGTGAGAAGTACACTTTACAGAACAATTATCCCACAGCAGCGTAGAGATCGTCTTAACTTCAATGGACCACTCTGTAGTAACGTTAACTACTAAGTAAAATAATAGTTACTACGTGAAAGACAGTTCGTAACAATTACTATGCCTATGAAGTGACCGGTCGACTCTATTCTCACTGTATCTTTTTTGTTTTCTTCTGTCTCCTAATAAAAATGTGTTCTTTTCCCGTGGAGATTGAATAATGCGATCGTTTCTGCTAACCGTGTAACAAGCCTTAAATATCTCTCCGTACCAGACATATCTGACATAACCTGTACACATCTTTCTTGAAATATCAACTACATCGAGAATCCAACTTCTCTGAACGTAATATCGATCGCTTGTAGATCTTCTCACCGGCGAGTTTTAAATGCTACAGGAAAGTGCCGTGATATACGTTTACTTGAAAAATATCTTTTTTAGTTGTAGTATTCGCGGGGTGCTCGTTTGGAATGCAAACAAGGCATCCATCGTTCCTCTTCGTAGATTCATTTTCGATTCGTTTTTGACTACGCACCTCCAAAAACTCTCGTGTTTAATTAAAATCTCTTCTAACTATATTTACAAGTATAAAGGAACCGTAGCGCTCAACGAGGTCTAACGATTTTCTTTTTTTTTTTCACGGAGTAGAATAGGATCATTTACACCTAAAATTACGTGTACAGTGGCGGACATGAATGTCTCCCCTGTATATGGTGTCGCCAATCCATGATGAGGAGGTATTCACGTCCGCCGATGTACACCAATGGAGTCCCCATGGCTACCTCGAGGAACGTTCTTTTGTGTATTAATGTGAACTGGCGTAAATGGTTGCATGAGAGGATGACGAGCTCGTTAAACTGCGTTTAAGAATTTTAACGAGCTTGGGTAGATACGATAAAACGACGCTAACACGATTAACGTTGACCTCGACCTCTAATAACTGTAACTTTTACCTCTGGCACTCCAGCTCGAGGAGAGACTCGTTTTGTCGCTTAGCCAGGCAGCGTTGTTGCGATCATCAAATTCCCGGCAGGCTATAATTACTTTTTTTATCTTTTACACCAAGCTTAGGAAGCACATCTACTAAGCGACATCCGTCTGCAACTATGGTGTGAGAGGTGTTCGACAACCAGTGGGACCTTGGAAATTCAACAGAGTTCCCAAGTCAAGGACAAGATCAAATCCTACGGCAATTCTTTTCTTTTCTTAATCCTTCCACTCGATGTGGACAAGGTCCACCGTGAGGACTGTGTGCGAGTTCAACTAAGCCGACTTAAATCGGGAATTTGATGGTCTTCAATCAGTCAACATTACAACTACACCGCTGGTACCTCCTCCTCTTGCAGACTTCCAGGCCTCTACGGAAGGAGTCCTCGTCGAGGTCGAGATTCTTCACCATAGCTCGACTGCGCCACACCTTCACGGTGTAGTCGTCGCTCGTCGTCACCAACATCTCCGGATCCCGCGGGTTAAACGCCACGGAATTCACCACGTCCGAATGCGGAAACTTTGCCAGACATATGCCATAATGCCGGTCCCAGAGGTAGCCGTGTTTGTCCTCTGCTCCGCTGGAAGGAAACCGTTAGAAGAACAGTCAAGAAGGGCTTTTAAGCGACTCCGAGGAACTCCACCGGGAATATGAAGGAGACGTGAGAGATTACCTCGCTACGAATTCATCACACACGTCCAGGAAGATGAAGAAGCAGTCGTTGTTCGGCGTGTACGCTTTGTGGGCTCTCAACATGGTGCCCACTTGTTTCAAGGTAACCAGGTCGATCACGTGGATGTCGATCTCCTGGGCTATGGGTGGAGGTTGCAAGGGGTTCGAGATCACGTACCCCCTGGGCCAGGGCCTCGTGTTGACGTAGAGGTACCTGAAGAGATACATAACTCGTTCATTCGAGTTCCTTAAATTCTGGAAATATTTTACTGGGGGCTTACCTGTGGTCCGGAGACAGTCCCATTCCTATGATGTGACCGTGGAGATCGATCAGGTGGTCGACCTTGTCGAATCTGTCAGCGACGGAGTCATAGTCCAGCCAATTTGGTTCAGGTCTCGGAGAGCCATTATTTTGCCTTTCGCGTTCTCGTTCGCGTTGAGCCAATCGCTCTCGTAAAGACGGACCTGGGTCTAACCTGCGAGGAAAATTGACCGGCTTGATTCTCTTGAAACCGACCTGGTGCGGCGTGTAGGTCTTCGAGCCTGTCGTAAAGATGAGCAGCTTTTCCGGATTATCCGCGAGGTCGTCGGAATCGCACTCCTCTACCGTCGACGAGTCTACAGAAGATAGGTTAGGGATTAATAGGTTATTGCGCACAAGGGGAACCTTCGAGATCAGGTCTTGTGTTATCCAGTCTCTTCTCGAGACGATTGTTTTCGTAAGAGAAGAGAAGTATTATTTAAATCTGTGTAATGTTTCTAACCACTGAAATCGCTTTCTTCCTCGCACTGGGGACTATCGTTCTCACCGTTGCTCTCCATATTTGTTTCTTTTTCCATTTCCACTTGCCGGTACTCTTCGTTGTAACGAATCGAAGTGGCGTATTCGAAGCCATCGCCCAGTCTTCTCCAATTGAGGAAGCCACCTTCCAATACGCTGTATCTGGTAGGAAAGGTGAAAATGTATCGGTCTACCTTCAGAGGATGCCTCGAAGAGACTTGTGCTGCTCTATTGTTTTGAAATTTACATACTGTAGCCTGGAAGAGGCATAATGCAATACTTCTGGCTCCTCTTGACGCTCGGCATCACCGGCTGATGACGCCGAGGATATATCTCGATGACTCGGTGGGTTTCCTCTTGCTTCCTTCAGGTTCGACGTAGAAGGTTGACTTTGCGTTGGTTCCGTTTCAGACGGAGCTCGGGATAGACAATTGGCAATCATCACAGCTCTGATCGAGGAAGCATTCCCGTTATAGAATCTTGAAGACAGGACGTACATATTAATCGTTATGCCAGAATGCATTATTTTTCCATGACATCTTACGTTGAATGTATTTTTGAATTCGGATTTTAAATGTAGTAGATGTATTCGTGGTCATTACCGATAAAGTTGATTCATGATAGGAACGTGTTCACTGGCTGACTCTTGGTTAGCCTTATTAAGCCAAAGAACACTTGTGCTGACTAAATGTGCCAACCAAAGGAGATCTCCGCTTAGCAGATGACGTTCGCTGTACCATGTGCCAAATATGTCATATGGCTTATTCACCACTCTGCATTGGAGATCGAAGCCTGCTGTACTCCACAACATTTGCAAGGAAATGAATATATACTGTCGTAATGCAATCGAGGAAATGGATTTACAATTCATTCCACGATAGCGACGATTTTCAACCCATAATGTACACTCGGATAAAATAATTTCCTTTGACGTACTAATAAAGTAAGAATTTTTAATACATTTACTTAAAGATATCCACTTACGAGCTACTCTGAATACAGCTATTTCTCCCGAAGTACTGTGAGGTGTTCCAAAGTGCACTCCTGATACTAGCAGCAACGTATCCGAGGAGTTAAACTGCGAGAACTGTGTGTACTTCCAACTAAAAGCCTTCATATCGTGCTGATATTTGATACCGACGGGATATCGACTGTCCCAAACCTAAACAAGTATTATCTTCCATCTATCCTGTCCTTTGAAACAAGAAATTTCAAGACAATCATCTCGAACCTCACCAGTATGTAACCATCCTTTGAACATGTTGCGAACATTTTTCCATTATGGGAAAAACTGACGTGCAGCACCTGATGCGAATGTTCCTTTCGTACTTCGGTTTCGAGCAATGGCATATGGTAAGTGAGACGCTTGAATTCCTCTAACCAAGATGTCTTTCCTGTAATCAAAACAATTCTTTAATGTCTTGTTGACAGACCACGCTTACACTCGATGCTGCCAACAAAAATAAGAGGAGGTACAGAACAATCAACAGCGTCTAATTACTTGATTTGAAGCCGAGAGTAAGCGGAAGATCTGCGCAGAATTTTTGGCACGAGCACCTGCGTGTTAAATCGACGCGCTTAAAAAATCGATAAAAAATCCGGGTATAATTTTAGAGGAGCCGCACAGCTCACCAGGCATGATGCCGACGTTGGGGTCGATTTTGTAGGTCCTGTAGAAGAGGTCCTTCCAGAGGAAGTCATCCTGCGACACGCGATTCCAGGACCTGCAAACCTCCCCCGCGGTAGTCAGCTCTTTCGGAGTTAGGTATTGAAATATGCTCAGGAGTATCGAATCCGGCATATAGAACCAATTTTCATGGACTTCGCCGTCAGAAACCTGGGACGCGTCTTCCTCGACATCGCTCACGGATTGATCCGAGCAAATTTCAATGCTGTTCCCGTCTTCAACGTCCATTTCGAAATATAACTTTCTGTTTACTGCAGTCAACTGCGGTCACCTGTGCTGCCAGTGCAGCCAGGCGATAATAGACCCCGCGCGTGCGCGGCGGTCAGCTGTAGAAGCTCCAGGACCGTATCAAACAGGCTCCAAGTTTTTCCATTATTCCTAGCCGTTCCAACTTTATTCCACACTTCCTTATCCTTTCTATTTTAAAGCCCGGAGACTCTTTACCAATTATATTAAGCTGCCACTGTGCTGCATATCAAAATACTCGTATAGATTAAGCTGTCACTGTGTTGCATAATTCAAATTTGGCGGTTCGTTAATAATGTGGTTACTTGGACGGGGTGTCGTGAGATGGAGCCACGATCGGCTAATCACAGGGTTGAAGGAAGACGCCATGTTAGGCTGGAGCTCCGTTGAGCGCGTCGAGTGTCACACAGCGCTGTGCGGCGACGGGTCGAGGATAGTAAACCAATCAAAATTGCGCTTAACCTCGTGCGTCATTTTTGTCGTTGTTCCGATTGGCTCTTATTATTGACGAGTCGACGCGCCGCGCTCTGTGTGATTCCACTTCATGATATCGACGATGTCGATGAATTTACGAACACGCAGCGGCAAGTAGAAACGGTGTCTAGTGCGCCGGCTGGCGCATAGCCGGGTCCGACTGACGTCACTGATAGGCCGCCAAGATGGTTGTCAATGTTGATAAGTGGATTGGTTACTTATAAGATAGGCGATAACGTTACGGTCCACGGTGCTCCGCGCGACCATCTCAGTTATGCTGGCCAGGGGCAGAACCAGGCGGATCCTAGCCTAACGGAGAAAGGAAACCCGAGCAACGAGCTGTCAACGCGCTCGAGGGATGGCGGAGACCGAGGAGGCGGAACAGGAGATCCGACGAGCCTTGGACGTCGTTCAGTCCATGATTGACATCTCGGCCGATCGACTGGAGGGCCTGAGAACTCAGTGCTCGACCAGCGCCGAACTCACTCAGCAAGAAATTCGGACACTCGAGGTAAAATCTTACTCGAAGGATTTTTTTTTTATACGGGGCTTGTAAGACTGCGTTTGGACTTCTAATCGTTTACGTGTTCAAGGTGAAGTACTTCGGAGAAACACTGGATTGTTTGGTCCTCGAGAGAATTGGAATTCTTTGTTCGTTCTTTGCATTTTATTTAAACCGTCGTAGAGGACCCAAGGACGTTTGCTCCGATACGTCCTTGCGGATGTTTTGGGAATATTTAAATGGAGTCGACATCGATATGTTGACCGTGTGCTGAGTCAGTGCAACTCCGTTAATCTTTCGTTTTTAAATCATAGGACTTCTTGAATAAATGTTCATGGTTTAATTTAATTCTTTTGTTTGATGCTCTTGTATTCTTTTTATCTTGCAGGGGAAATTGATCAAATTATATTCCAAACAACTCGTCACCAAAGCCAAGCTAGCCGTGGAATCGTTACCTGCTGAAATGCGGCAGTACCCATCGTTGCAACAATGGTTGCGCGTAGTGGGACTTACACAAAAATCTATACAGGTAATTAGGATATTGAAATTAGATAATCAAAATATTATTAGATAGATTAGACATTAGATAATCAAAATATGACATGGCTACCATTCTTATAAAAGTTCTAAAATTATAATTGTGTAACATAGTATCGAGTAACTAATTTATTTTCAAGATTATCCATGTTAAAATTATATGATTTCTAATTAAATAACTTGATTTATAGATGGTATGCTCAAAGGCAAATTCGCTTGAAGCATTAAAAGAGAAATCAGAACATGAGTTAGGCAGCATGTTAGGAGAAAACAATGTACGGCATGAAGAAGAATTGCGTCGGCTCAGCAGAGCACTGCATAACCTTCGTCGATACATGGGTAAATTCGTGTTTTTATCATGTTTGTGTGATGTTATAATTTGTTGAGATAATTCTACGAAGTGTTCTTTTCTATCGTAGATGTACTTCTTCGTGGTGATATGGATAATAGTGAAATGAATTTATATTGGGATTCCTGGGACAGACATCATGTGCGCAGTGGTCCATCGCCCCGGCCCATTCGGTCACGAACCACAAGAAGCTCGGTACCTTCCGAAGATAGCATTCCATACCATAATAACAATTTCAGTGTCAACAGTAATACCATGATGCAAGCTGCTTCCGTAATATCTTTGTCGTCAACTAGTCCTCCTACTACTCCTTTGCTATCAAGGCACGGACGAGGTAGGTTTTGAGAACTATATTGCTTTAATTTAGTAGGATTTTATTTGCCAAATCTATCAAATGAAAAAATTTATTAGAAAGATAGGTTAAGTAATTTTGTCAATAGCAGGTGTCAAGTTTCCTACAACTCCACCTCCAAACAAAAGGCATCAAACTGGTCTTCAGAGCACGGTGTCACAGCCAGAGGTATTCCCTTTGACTAAGTCTAAGTCACACGAGTCGCAGTTGGCAAACCGTCTTGAAAATGGCGATACAGCATCCAGGTAAAACTTTGTCGTCAAGAAAATACTTCCTTTCGTAGTAATTAAAATATTCTATAAGAGCATTTTCATTTACAGTTGTGGGAATGATCAGGTTGAATCCGGTGGCAGAAGGACTCGATTACCTACTGAATCAGGTTCCTGCAGTAGCAGTGCTGATATTACTGCTGAGAGCCTTTTACCGAATAGTACTAGCCCAATAAAGTCGCCACCATATTCCAGTGCAGAAAGTGACGATAATAGCTTTAAGGGGACAGGTGTGAACATATGCTGAATATATACGGAGTAACATAATCTATCTTAATCGGTCAAATTAATTCTATATTTATTTCTACAATGCTGCCTTCAGTTACGAGTCTTCAAGTGCCAAAGTCTCCACGAACACCTACGGTGACTCGTGGTATGGGGCACATAATTGCTCACCGGTTCACCAAAACCTTCAAGATGATGACTACATGTGACTACTGCGATAAACAGATGTTCATCGGCACTGGGTTGAAATGCAAGGAGTGCAAGTATAAGTGTCACAGAGATTGCGAATCCAAAGTACCGCCTTCGTGCGGTCTTCCTCAGGAACTTTTTGATGAGTTCAAAAGAACCTTGCAGGCTGATGGTAATAGTGATACCACTTTCGTACTCATGATAACACTGATTGCCCTATTCGAATTACAGAATACAATTGTTTTAGGCATGGTGAACGTCTCTCCGATACTGAGCAAACCAGGAATAACGTCACCGAATCATCATAACTCCAACTTACTGCCCTCTTTAAATCGAAGGGACCGTAAACGCTCGCATCCTCACTCTGCTATGAATATACCTTTCCAGGTAAACCGCTGCGATCAAAACACTGCAAATCACCAGGAGTTCGTTCGGTCGAAGCAGTCTCAATTTCTTTCGCAGGGTGCCGACTCTAGTTCAAATACCTCGAGCTGCAACAGCTCAACGCCTTCTAGTCCAGCGTTGTTACCTGCCAATACTAGCCAAACTCCTCAGGCACCTACGAAGCAACAGTTTCACTTTCCAGGTATATTGCTCGATGACGAACATGAATCGAACCCAATTTGCAAATGAACTTCTTTTCCTAGAAGAAGTATTACCACTTGCAGATGTTACGCTGAGTGATAAAGGTGTCACTTTGGAAACTCATCGACTCGAAGGTACAGCTGTTTCGAGTGACAGTGAGAGGACCGTAAGCGTTTCAGGATCTGGCAGTGTTAGCACAGACTCGGAACGAACACCAGTTCGCGTTGACTCTCAAGACTCACAAGTGTCTGATGGTGAACCTGGTGACAGTCGATGGCCTCGACAGAATAGCGTAAGTTTGTTCACTAGAATCAATCCGTAGTCTAGATCTGAAAGTATTAACAGTGATAGACTTTTTTTGTCCTCTGTATAATTTCAGCTGTCGATGCGTGAATGGGACATTCCGTATGATGAATTAAAGATCGGTGAGCCCATTGGCACTGGAAGATTTGGCACTGTTTATCGAGGTAATTGGCATGGCGATGTAGCTATCAAGGTGCTCAACATGGATTATTATCTCGACGATGACAAAACTCTTGAAGCTTTCAAACTGGAGGTGCGTAATTCGTCGGTTGTCTTCTTTCTGCTAAAGGCAAGGACTTTTTGTCGAAGAGTCATCAGGATTTCGCAGGCAACACATTGTAAACGCTCCTGGAAAGATAGACGCATTATTTTTTGAGATTGGTTGCACTTTGGCAGGGAAGATTCTAACGCTAAATCACTCACAAAGCACTAACACTAACGATTAATATGTGTTTAACTGTAAAGGAATTTTAGTCGAGTATTAATATTCTAATAACTTGGTGAAGCCAACATTTTTCATTTGGTGACGTGTGTGGTACAAATTTCATTTCAGTTCGCTTGTATGGTATTTAAGTTTAATTATTTATGTGTGTCATATAATATTAGCAATGGTTGAAAAGAGTGTTTAAAACCTTGTAGAACTAATATGGTATTGCCTTCCATCGAGGGGTGAATTATTTTGCTGGTCATAACCCAATTAAATGTTTAACAAAATAGCCACACTAATTCTATGCGTGATTGCCTACTAATTAATTCGCTAGTTTCCTGCCTTCAAGACATACCATGAGTACTACGATATGTATTTAACTTACTTGGAGATTGAGATGATTGATTTCCACTTTCTTACAGTTGTCTTTTAATCTTAAAATATCAACTTAATAACATATTTGGAGTATCTGGTATTTATCTATATATATATATATATATATAACGATTCGAACCATAGAATTGTTCTCATACACGATAGAATGGGTTCAGGATTTTTCTGCCAACATCTAAATCAAAATAGGAATAATTTACTTTTCAGTATGGTTCTAAAAAAGTATCTCAACACTTTTAGCCCTATGGTTGTCTAATGGTTTTTACCTTGTCAGTGACAGTATGTTCAAAGTATTAGATTCAATGAAAATCACGCTCTAAGGGTCTCGCTCGGAAATGCAATGTCTGAAAGAATTTAACTCTTTATAGGTGGCAACATTCCGCAAAACAAGACACGAGAATCTAGTTTTATTTATGGGAGCTTGCATGAAGCCTCCTCGCTTGGCGATAGTGACTAGTATGAGCAAAGGCATGACCCTCTACACTCACATTCATCTGCGTAAAGATAAATTTAATATGAATAAGACCACTATCATCGCCCAACAAATCTCTCAGGTATCTACCTACTACTAATTACTCGAAGGCATAGTACCGATTCGTGAGAAAATTATTGCCGAAGGCAGTTGCCACGAATTTACCTCTCGCTGTCCCTTCTGAGATACTTGCGTTGAGATTTTTTTCTGAGACGTTGAAACCGCTCCTTTAATCCAGGGAATGGGATATCTACATGCTCGTGGGATAGTGCACAAAGATCTCAAAAGTAAAAATATATTCCTCGAGAACGGCAAGGTAGTCATTACGGATTTTGGATTGTTCAGTGTTACGAAGTTGTGCTATGGCAACAGGTGAGCCTTTGATGTCAAATTATCACATGAAGCATATTAAAGTAAAATGTTTACCTTTCCATTAATTTATTAATTCTTTCAACAGGAAAAGTAACGGGTTGAGCATACCGCCTGGTTGGTTATGTTATCTGGCTCCTGAAATCGTGAGGAGGTTGAAACCACAACAGACCAGAGACCAAGAAGAGTTGCCATTCACAGATGCTTCCGATGTCTACGCTTTTGGGTTAGTGAAACTCAAACCTCAACCTCCAAATTTGAATATTTTATTTACTTCCAAGTATAGATTATAAAATGTTTATTAATTGAAATTAATATGCAGAACCGTTTGGTATGAACTTCTTTGCGGTGAGTGGCCATTTAAGGGACAGCCTCCAGAGGCCATTATCTGGCAGGTCGGTAAAGGCATGAAACAGAATTTGGCTAACCTCCAAGCTTCTCGAGATGTCAAGGTACGTCACTTTATGATCATTGCAGTACTTTGTTGTAAGTCCTATCGATTGAGTGATTGTTTCTCAGGATATATTGATGCTTTGTTGGTCGTATCACCCGGAGAATCGGCCAGATTTCGGGAAGTTGCTGATGACGTTGGAGAAACTTCCCAGAAAGAGGTTAGCCCGCAGCCCTTCGCATCCGATACATCTTTCTCGCTCCGCAGAGTCCGTCTTCTGAGCGGTATTTCGTTCCATTCGAATTCCATTCCCTCGATGTAAATACGACGCACCTCGTAGTAGCTGTCGGCTCGGCTTAGCTTCTCGCTAGGCGAGTACACCGGATACACCGTACGCGATTATCCGTGCTTTTTAACTTATTGCAAAGTTGAAGTTAGGGGACGCGCAGCGTCGTGTTAGGCAATGTAAGGTCGAACGTAATTACAGAAAGTGACTCCACGCGTTGTCTTAAAGCCCTGACTGAGCAGATCAAGTGTTAATTAATTTTCCCGTTATAGAGCCATACAACATGAATGGTGTTGTATCGTTAGCTTATACCTAAGAAGCTAGTTAACCTTAAAACTCCTTAGTTTGTGGGCTTTAAAATACCCCGTGGAATTGTTTCCTTTTTGTATTCGTTCATTGATTCTGTTTTGGACAATATTTCTAGTAAAGTGACGACTAATCATTGTTTATTGTTAATCCAATTGCTTTAGCAGCTCACAGATACGTCTTTATCATTCAAGATTATACAAAGATAACTTTTTTAAACAGTGGCCAGTTCATTCGGTAACTTTGGGATAAGAGTATTTCATAATTTATCGATGAACCCAAATGATTGATGACTGGTCGTCACTGGTTTAATGGACTTGTCCTACGAATAACGCTTCAAAAGAAAGATTAATCAAATTTAAGAACTATCTGCGATGCAGTGGAAAGTCGTTGTACTTTTGTATTCGCACGATCGTAGAGAGCGATGTCTTTTAAAGACATAGGCTGGAAATGGTATTCCATGGTGTTTAACAGTTAATTACGAGTTAAAGGTGTCTGTAAGCCCGATCACCCTTTGAGCGAGTAATGCGAGGCAATACGTTTACCGAACCGTTCGTTTAGAATTTACGAGTCGAGTTCGGACAATTTATCCTTCACGCGAGTGAATGCAATGCCTGACTATAATCGGAGAGAATCACAAAAGTGAAAAATTTAGACGTATCCGAAAGTACAGGTCCAATGGAGTTGGGTGGGAAGCAGCGAAGAGGTTGTAGCTTTCACAAGTATACATGTAAGAAAGACAAGGATGAGCAGTGCACTCCATAAAGCCTGTTCTTCTGTGTACTTCCGTACTCTTTGACGAGAGGTTGGACTCTTCAGTATTAATTTCATCTTCGCCTCTACAACCTTTCTACATCGAATTCTCGTGTACGCTCTACTCTAGGTCCATTTGACTCCCTCAGCAAAGCGTCAGTGAGATCGGATTAATTTCTTTGGTGGACACGTTTTATTTTGTCACTTGTTAGTTCACTCCCACGTCCCCTCCCAATAATAAAATCATTTGTCACTAGTCATCTTCAAATTGGACTCATGCAGGTACATTTTGAGGTTAATCGGTATCAATCGGTATTTTTCCCTTCGTGTCTTGTAATGCACGTACCACCGCGAGCGCAATTAGTTCTTACATTCGACGAGACTCCATTCTCGAGTTGTATCATAATGTTGACCGCAGTCCCCTGCGAACGATCTCATTCCGTATAATAAGGTTAATGGCAAACAGTGAAGAATGTTTTAAAAATCGCTAAAATTGTACACATTTGCTTAAAGAGAAAGAGAGAAAAAAGAGAAGAGGAGAATATATATATTACACTCTGTACATTGTGATTGTTTGGGTATATAGTTTTAATTAGAATAAAATAACACTTAATTCAATCTCTCATCGTTTAAGGGACAGACACTGTGCCGAGGAAAACAGTCACGAGATCACGATGTACTGACTGTTTGTGAAGAAAATAAACTGAATTATCATACGAGGCTGCAAAAATTATAATAATGTTCCGTGAGCTTCGTTAGGATGAACGAGTACTTTGGTTGAATAGTTAGTTGGAGCGAATTACTTTTCGCAGGGATGGCAGATACTATGTTGATAGAATATGGTGACAATGAATAAAGTAATTGTACTGACACTGTTAACTTAAAACTTTTTCTTTGAAGATGTATTATTTTACACAGTATTTGTCACATTTTTGGCATACATACATACAACTCTGTATTCGCATTTTTAGCATGCGTGCAATGATCCTTATTTACTGTACACTCATAATTCTTGTATCAGTCTTCGATGGTGTAACGTTTGACATATTTAATTTGTCCATTATTCCGTTAGTTTGTTAAACAAAATATGTGCAACAATTAACCTTATCCATTGTAAATTTGTTCCAATTCTTGTAACTGTCTTCGAAGACGTGCTGCTCGTACTTTATTCAATGCTATTCGCTCTTGAAAGGTGAGAACCGACGGTCTGGTGACTATGTCAGCTACATGGGCTAGGGCTCGAGTTCTCACTGCAACGTAATATAAATATGTTAATGCTTCTCAAGTATATTTAAACCAAATTGATTTTCTTTTAAATCTGAATTTTTGGGCACCTGCATTATTGTGGATGGAAGCAAGGTAATCGGGATGATCCTCGCAAGCTTCTGCCATATCTTCTTCCTCTTGTACCAAAATCTTTGGTAAATCTGTCATAATCTGTATAATAAATTAATGTTACATTTTATTGAATAATAAATACAGATTAAATTTTGTGTCATACCTTTAGACAACGCATCGAGATATCGGATGTAAACTTAATCTCCAGGGGAATTTCGGTGGCTTCTCCGTTATGTGATTGAAAACAGGTTATCAACACTTCTTGCTCCTAATTCATATAATAGTATGTATTTGACTTATTTGTTGCTTGAAGAAGTTATGAAATAAGAATATTGTGATTTAATTTACCTTAGAATCTTTGTCTTCTGAAAATACTGAACATATGAGGCCTACAAAGCTATGATCCATCGTTTGGTAAGTTGCTTGTGTTCGGACATCTAAAGAGATCAATTTATGTACCAAAGCTATATCATTTTATTAAACGACAATTATCGCTCATCCTTACCAACATGAGATGGCCAAACTGTAATATGTGGATGGGAATGATACCATCCGAGGACACGCATAGGACGTTTTAATTCAACCGTTAATCGCTCTGCCTCTGCAGCAGCTTCTAACAATTGTTCCGAAGAAATTTCCACACGATCTTTCTTTTTGTCCGACCGCCGTAAAATTATAACGGCTGAAATTTTAGCCACTCCGGATACAAACTGCAACAATTATTAAATTATTTAAAGACTTCAGAAACATGCAAATGCGTAATAATAATCCCTGCATTACATACATTTCCAATGAGTAATCCCATTACTTCAAAGTTTTCTGTAGACAAGGCATGATGCAAGCATACCATGTAAACATCCACTTGAAGTTCTACTTTTTCCAACGGTACATCCATTTTAAAGTGCAGTCTCTAGAAGTACTAAAACAATCGGTAATTTATTACCAGGAGAAATGACATTTCCAACTATCAAAACAAACAATTATTTTCTAACGCAGGTATAAACATTGTTTTCCAAGTCCGTACTTTGTACAGTATCGCAAAAAATAAAGTGACCGCAAAACGTCAAAATCTAAATTGTTGAAAATATTGTTTAAACACATGCATTACTCAACAATGTCATATTTTATTTTCCACGCAAAACAACAGCGGTAACAAGCGGTAATCAGAGACGAGTTGGGAGATTGCTCACGGGAACTCACGAGCAGGGTCGCGCGATCGCAGCGTGTGCTGCCCCCTGGTAGCGGTGCGAGCGGCTAACGTCAGAGATGAGTTCATCTCTGTAGGAAATGCTCATGGGCACAGAAATTAGTTAGATCACCCAACTCATCTCTGCTAATGTATGCCATGGACGTCTTATATGGTCTTGCGTCTATGCCCAGAAAGTGAACATTATTTTTTGAATAATCCTGTTTATGAACATGAAAAATGGCGGCGCCCAATTGTTCAACTTTTGGTGACTGAACATTTTATATCATTTATTTTCAGTGTAGGAAAACAATGGCAACTTACGTAGAAAGCGAAGACGATAAGGGGCAAGAAGGTATAATTCGCTGTATATTTCTTTCCGAGTTCCATCATATAGCCGGCCCAAAAATTACTTGTCAAGTTAGTATCTGACTGTATGGAACTGCTAAGTAATAATATCAGACTGTATTTGTTTAATTTATCTCGTCTTTGTTTTGATTTAGGTACCAGAAAATGTGGTATCGAAAGACATTTTTGATAATGTCAGTGTATATATTATCCCAAAGGCGCAGCTTCAGAGGAGCACGATCACGGTGTAAATCGCACATTTCAATTGCCATAATTTAGATTCAATTAATCTTTGTAACAGTTAATTTGTTTCTATAGTACAATGAAAGACTTCAAGATTTTAGGATTTCCTGTTAAGATAGACAACAAGAAGTATGCAAGGAATGCATTTTATTTCAACTTATGCTTTGTTTGCGATGCAGAAGCTCGCACTGTGCATTACGAACCAGTAGTTAAGAAGATATCTGATTTTCTGGTAGGTAGTTTCATTCGTTCCTTGAATTTTTCTTTTAATGTACTGTAAAGTTTTGCATCTATCTAGATGGCTCTGGAAATTGAAAATGGTTTTCTATCAGCCTCGGAAGATAAGTCCCGGCTTGCAGAGATGTTGACGCAAGTAATGCAGGATCTAAATATACGTAAAATGTGCACATTAATGGGTGAGAATAATGAGAGTATATGTTTCTTGTTTAAAAACTGGAATGATAAAGCTTTACGTAGACCATTTTCACAGAGGGAACCATGACGACTCATTTAAAAGTAGTAAGACTGGCACCGGAACCCAAGCCAGTGTTAGATCATCAAGTACCGATATTTTTAGAAGGCAGAGAAGTATTCCGGAGTGATCAGTGGGATTTGACGACGCAACAAGTACTACCTTACATTGATGGATTTAATCATGTTGCACGTATCGCTGCAGAAGCTGATGTTGAGAATAATTTAGTCAAGAGCTGCGTGCAGAATCTTGTGTAGGTAGCTAATAATGCAAAATGTGCAAAAAAGGGAATTGCTTTCCTTTGATATTCTTACAGGTATTACGGAGTGGTTACTCTTATACCAATATTTCAGTACAGCAACGTCTATGCCACGACACCCAAGTTAAAAAAATTAGCAGACGATAGTGAATTACAAAGAAAATGCATAGCGTATGCTTCCAAATCTCGTACGTATGTGAAGTCCAAAGCTAAGAATATTTGCTTTTATTTATTACATAAAACTAGTGTACATATTTCAGTAACTTTTCCTTTTTCCTGTAAAAGAAAGGCAACCAGCTTATCTGAGAGATATTTATCGAATGTACGCGAGTATGACACATGGGAATAGCATGAGAGATCTCTGTCAAAGACTCAATCCTCAAACATTGCGAATTAATGAGAGAAGACTGGTACAATTTGGTTTGATCAAAGGACTGATTCGTCGTGTTTACAAGGTAAGCTTTAATGCTTCTAATTTAAGAACCTGTAACTTCTTTAGAGATATTAAATTATTTTGTACTGTTAATACTGACTATATATTATTTTAGTATCCTATACATATATCAATTGGTGTCAATGATGACAGTCGAAGCAACCCAATTTATAAATATTTCACCGGGGCGTATAGTCTGGATGAGATTTGTTGTAGCACAGGCCAATCTACAGCACAAATTGAAGATATCGTTGAACGAGATCCGAATGTTGTAATGCTGTGGAAGTAAACTAAATCAAATTATTGGATTCTGCTTGAGTGAATAAATTCCAGTTCCGTCACTCGATTGCACATGGTTGGTAATCCGAGATATAACTGACCAAGTGGATAAAAAACTCGTGGACCTGTTAAGTGGTGAATATGAATAAAAATAGACGAATCGTTAGTATGCAAAAAGTATATGAAAACTAAAAGAAGTGTAGAAAAAGTGAGCAACTATTCTTCGATAAGTTTTAAAGGGATCATTGTATCCATATGTGCACTTGTTATTAAACGGTTTCAATCATGCGTTTCACTTCGTCAATGTACACACGAGGAACTCCGTTCTCTGTCATCTCTTTGCACTTGCGTTCCATTGCTTCCTTCAATTTCTTCCGCCGCATTTCTGCTTCTGTCCGAATAGCCACTCCCTCTTCGAAGGTCCTCTGCCTCGCTGCAATTCTCTCTCTCTCCTTTTCATTAACCTGTACAAAAGTAAAGAGAGCAGTTATTTTATTTACAATGAATGAATTTTATGCGCAGATTTGCACAGTATCTAATATATGACATGATAATTTTGTCGATGCATTTGAGAGTTGAATAAAATATCTCCATCGATACCTGTTTCAAAATTTCACTGCGATGAATCAATGACTGCTGTTGTTTTTTCTGTTTTTCTTGTGCCTCCCGACAGAAAGCCTCTTTCTGCACGGCAAGTACTTTTTCAAATTCTTGCCTGTCCCTTTCGATTTCTAAAGCCTGCATAATTCTTTTATTATTGATTTGCTCTTCTCTCGCTATCTTGAGCATTTTCTGAGCTTCCGCCTTTTTAAGGGCCTCTTCTTTTTCCTTCCGCCTCCATTCGCGCTCGACTTCTTCCTGGACTCTGGCAGCATTGATCTCATCGATCTGTGCCTAATTATTTAAGCGCGTAATTAACCAGTAAATTGAAAGGATTGCATTCTCAGAAAATACGTAGATATAATTTTTAGTACCTGTACTTCGTGAGCTTGAAGAGTCCGCGCGGCTATTCTTTCCTTCTCGCGTTCTTTCTTTGCTTGTTGAGCTCTTTGTTGTTCAGCTAACCTTGCCTCTCTTTCTACTTTCAGGCGTTGAAATTCTTGAATTCTGAAAATACACGCATCCAATCAATAGATGCACGAAATTAAATCAGGAAAAATGTATACCTTGCATCCATAACTCTATTTTCCTCTCGCTCCATGTCCTTAAAATGTTTAAGTTGTTCGTTGCTTTCAGCCAATTGTCTTCTGACTTTGGCATTTTCGAGTTCTTTCTTTTTTTGCTTCTCCAATTCCCGTTGCTGCCAAGCCCGAGTGTTTAAGTTAATCAATCGACTCTCCTCCTGTTTGCGTTCGAATTCCAGAATTCGCTGTTCCTCGTTTTCCTGGATTTGATCTTTCAAAGTTTTCGCGAATTTCAGTCTCCTAACTGCATCTTCTCGAATCTTTCTCTCCTCCTCTTCGATAGTCCATCTCCTCTCGTTCTCTAAAGCCTCATTGAGACGTTTCTCTTCTTTTGCCATTTCCTTCTCGATAAGATTTCTCTCCGCTATCTGCAAGCAGAATTGCCAATAAACGCGTGACAAATTTCGTTGAAAATTGAAGTGTTAATTCTGACCTCGTTTTTATTTCAGATACCTGAGCGTCCCTGATCGCCCGACACTTCGTCTCGAGGATGAGCTTGTTGCACTTTTTGATCTCCTCTTCTTGCTCCAGTTGCAAATTGAAAGCTCGCTCTAACAAGTGCATGGTCCTCTTCCGCGCTTCAGCTTCTGCCTCGTTCAGTCTTTCACCTTTGGAGCCTCTCTTCATGTCCATTCTACGGATCGCATCTTTGCGCTGCGCACTTTCCTTTATAAGGCGCTCCATTTCTCGTTCTTTCTCCTCTTCGGAAGCTGCACCGCGATAACTGGCCGCAACCTGGGCAAAATGCTCGAACTCCTTCTTCGTCATGATCTTCGGGTACACACAGGTCTCCTTGGATGGAATAAGGTACTTACGGATCCCGTCCTTTTCCTGAACCTTGCCAAACTGCAGAATTAAGAAGGAAAAACCATCTCTTAAGGTGATGTAAAAATGGCGTCAAAGAGATCTTGTTTATGAAACTTATCTCCGACCTGGGTGTACCGAATCGTTTTAAACCTTACAACGTGAATATAGAGGCTTCAAGGAAGGTCCCAACGCTCTTGAAATTTCAGTTTTAAGATAATCTTTTTACAGCTATTTTTAAAATTGTTTATAAGAAATGAAGTTTCGCGAGTTTCAGGACCTACCTTAGGGTCTCCTTATTCGTGTGGTAAAATTTGAAACAAATTGCTACACCCAATTAGGAGAATACTTTCACGAACGATTGACTGCTCTGATGCCACTTTCACAGCCCCTTAAAATATAAGACGATGTCGTTACTCTTTTAAGATCAGTCAAGGTACGCGAAGAAGCTGAAGAGATAATTAAATCCAAACGGCCAGTCTGGAAGACCGGCATGTGCATTTATAAAGTGTCCAATAAATTATGAAAACCGGTACCACACCTCTTTACCCTCGTAAGCAGTGAATCTCTTCAGGTGAATAGGTCTGCTCCTCAGGGTCTGGTCACACTTGTCCGGGGGATGGATCGTGTACACACCTTGCGGGAACTTAGAGTTAGGCGCGATTCTTGCCTTCTTTCGTTCTACCAGCGCCATCCTAGTGGGTTTCTTCGACATTTTAATGTCTCTTCAAGGGCTCCTCGAAGAGATCTACCGGTCTGCAAATGGTATCAGAAACCTGGAGTCCTGGCAACGACTACCTTGAGTCGGTTCCTCTTCGCCCAGATCTCGTAGAAGGCTCTTCGCTTCGTCATCCAAACCTGTGGAATGGCGCTTTTTAACACGCCTAACACGGGGAAGGCAACTTCGCCCGTGCGAATCTCGAGCTATGTTCTTTTCAGTGACTTTACCGAATCCGGGACCGATGAATGCTGGTCTTCAGGGCGAAGCGGAAGCCAATTTAATAAGTCTTGAACGGCAAGGCAACGACCTTGTTTGGACTCGTTTGTTCAATAGGAATCCGGCAACCAGTCGGCATGAATCGATCGCTTTTACCCAGGTGGTCGACCATGAAATTGATCGAAATAGTCTGGGCAATCTCATGACAGCGTGTTGATTGAGTTGCACCGAGTTGGCTGCTGAACTGAGGAAACAAATGAAAGGAAGACCAAAGAGTTACGTAAGATAGCCTGTAGGACAGTGGTCGATTGGTGGAACGTTGATTGATATTCTCGTATACGCATATTTTGTATATTTCAAGTAACATTTTAATGTATAAAAGTACATATTATTTACATAGAATTTATTTAAAGTGAACACTTATTATTGTACCTTGGTTTCCTTCATGTGTTACTCAACTTTACGCTTTTTGTGACGTCTAATAACCATAACTTGTCAGGAAGTTACGCAGATTAGTGATCGAACAAGGTCCTTTTACTACTTTGTAAACCCAATTTATAGCATGCTACGTGTTGCTGACGATTGTTCGGCGAACTTGCGCGCCAGGTCGTCAATGGGCTTATGAACTTCTTCATAGAATGGGTGGGTCTCATTTTTAACTCGTTCCAGCCAGGCCATAAGAAGAGGTCTACCTTCGGACGGATTGTAGCCAATAATCCCTGAAAATGATCAATTGATAAATTATTACGACACGGAATTATGAAAATTATCATTAGAATTAAGATTCCGATCATATTGGTTTACTCACTCATTTGCTCGACTTCGCATGCACCGATTAAGTCTGCGATGCTGATTTTGTCGCTTGTCAAAAATGGTTTATCTTTCAACCAAACTGTTTCCAATAAGTCAAGGCTGTTGACCATCCTTGCATGAAATGCTGCTAGTTTATCAGGCGAGGCTGGTTTTTTCAAAATTATTGGCCGTATGAACTGTTGAGTTGATAGACAATTGATGTTTTCTCCTCTGTTGCTATTGTAGTACAATAGAATAAATTTACATACCTTCAGTAAGAAGTATCCAGCACAATGCAGCCTCGTGTTCATATGTTGCCATTCAAGATATTCATCCACTCTGGCTCGTTCTTTTGAAGCAGACGGGTACCAATGATTGTTTATATTGAACTCTCGGCAAAGATAGCGTAAAATAGCCACACTGTGCATAATTTAATTATTGATATTAGGTACTAATTTCTATCGAACGAGTAGGGAGGCCTAATATTATTTTGATAATTTTCTATATCGTTAATACCTTTCAATGAGTTTGAAGCCATCGTGGTCAATAGCTGGTATTTTTTGAAAAGGATGAATTTCCTGATACTCTGTCGAAAACTGTTCCCCTTTTTTCAAATTTATAAAGTGTTGTTCAAAAGGTATCTGACATTTTTTAAGGAAAATGTAAAGGGCTCTGGATGGCTGCGAGAGAAAGTCATAATACAATTTTAAAACCATACTGCCGTCTTTCTGGGTTGGATAACTGCAACAAACTGGACAAACGCGTACAGATTACATTAAGTACCGGTTTCTATTACTCATGCAATTATTCTGATAATCAGAACTAGAAATGATTTGCAGAAAGAAGGAATTCTTTGACCTACAGGCAATGCAAATATCTTTTATATCTCGAATAAGAGAACGGGAATTTCTAAAAGTTTAGTAGCCGCAGGTTTTTCTAAACGATCGATAGATGGCATCCGCAACTCAAGTAAATAATAACCGCGTATCGATGCACATCGATCTCAAATTATTTCTTTCCGTTTCCAATTCTATGTTATAAATCGAAATATAGACAGTAAATATTGAGAAAATTCGGACCTTTTGAACTGAACTGTAGCCGATAATTCAAATAATAATTCAAGACCCTTATTTATCAAACGAGATGATTCTAAAGTCGGTTACTTTGTGAACGGCCAAGAGAGAAGACGGACGCACTTTATTGCATAAATTTTCAATTTATGGTTCATACAAACAAGTTATACATCGAGTAACGTGCCGTGCGCACTTTAATGCATATTGAGACACATGCTTATCGATAACTCGATGTGAGTGCGTAGGCAAAGTTGGTGAGAGCATGACAGCTGTCAGCATCGACGCGGCGCGGTGCGGGGAATTGTGGAAGATCGGCAGATGTTCCAAAAGATGGCGGACTGCGAGAAGGAGGAGGCTCACAATCTCGTAAGCAATTCGACACTAACCAATGTTTATCTAATCACGCCACTTCCTCTGGCACCTGGCTCAAAAGATTAAAGCCTTATCTTGCCTTGGATCAATTCGATGGATACGCACAAGCGAACCTAGGAGGCGTAGATGGGACGAGATTGAGGTTAGGTTGTTACTTGAGCTCCAAGTGAAAGATTTTCTGACGGGGATTAACCGCTTGCAGTCACCTCCGGTGCATTTCATTATTTTTTTACTGACTTCCCAGGTTTGTTTCAGTTACTTTGTTTGAGTTTGTACACGGAAAACGTGATAACTGAGAAGGTGGAGCATTTAGTTATCGGTATTTAGATAGTAGACACTTATATTGCGGTATCAGTACGTGGGATTTGTCAGGAAGAGAAAGAAATTTTAATTTATATGAAGTACTTGATTCAACATGCGGGCTGTGAGTCACCGATGTGGCTTATACCTTTGTAGTTTATTCTTTAAATGCGTCAGTAATTGAGGATTGATCATGACCTGGTATGTTGCAAGGAAATGCTTAATCTTCAGGTTTAATAGCTGGTGAAGAAAGAAAAAGAGGAAGCGACTGTTGAATTTAAAACCTTGTTAAACCAAACTTTGATTTGCATTGGATTTGCAGCAAATGGAGTTTGAATGGGTTCTCCACGAGGAAGTGCATTCCTCGCTGTCCCAGCTGCGCAACATTCTAATGGTACGCGGACAGCGAATAGCGATTCCATCGACGATATGACATTAGCTTCATAGTTCTCGAGTTAAAGCTTCGGGTGCATTTGTACTCTTCAGGAATGTGCGCAGAGGTTCCCGCTGGCCTTATTCGGGAACGATCAACAGAACAAGACGGACAGATTTGTGTTTACGGCTCCTCACGATCAAGTCAAATGTGTGGTTGTACTTACAGGTGACAGCATTACGAATGCGGTAAGACTGTTTGGCATTACAATATTACAGAATTTTCACCTAGCAACTAAACATAAGATTTTTTTTAGGAAGTCAACTTCAAAGTTCAGCGCCAGCAGAATGCCAGTATGCGAACAAGTATTCAAAACGATCATCCTTGGAAGTTGCAACAGATCCAAGATGCTGCGAATCATCTGCAACAAGCCATAGCTCACATAGACAACGTAGATCGTCACTATCTCTTCAAGACATCGGAGGAGGTAATGCACGTGTTGGGGAACATCCTCGGTTGTCTTCAACGGAGCCGGACAAGTCTAATTGTTCCCAGGAAGAAAACCATAGACGATCTCATGAAAAGTCGCAACATGGTGAGTGAAGACAATGTCAACATGCTTAGACTCGGTCCACTCGACTGATCCTACCAAATGTTGGCTTCAGAAATCGTTAAATCCGAACTTACCGGAGAACTTGGCCATCAGTTTTTACATCCAAAGTTACAAACTTGTGCTCGCCGTGTATCAACTGGAGAATGCACACGGTAATGTCAAGCATGAGACGCACCAGGCAGAATGTAGCGTGCCTTGGCTGAATGACGCCTTAGTCCTCCTCACCATCGCGTTGCAGCTATGTCAGAGGCTCAAGGACAAGGTATTAATATCTTAATTGCCGCTCCGGTAAGAAGTCTCTTGACGTTTTGATAAAACGTGACGTTTCTGATTCCAGATCTGCGTATTCTCGCAGTACAAAGACTTTACAGTGGGATCGCGCGTGCCCTCGGCATTAGATTTATAGACATAAGCTCCGATGTCTTCGATTCGCCCACCACTGAAGCGAACTTGAGGATTTGTCATCTTTGTGCATAATTGGGATTTTCATAGTCCGCTCGGCTCCGATTTGCCCTTCACTTTTGTTTTTACTTTGGCTGAGGATCACTCCGACGTTTCATACTTCTCTCGGATGAAATAGTTTTCATCCGAGATCATGGCAGGTGCTACTGTAATATATATATATACTTACTCTTCCAGTATTCCAGATTTCATAAGGTGGAGGCAAACTTCGAAGCCGAACATAACGAATCCCATTGTTGAGTGATTTATAACGATAGGAATGGTCTGAAGAGGGTGGAAATCAATTGGAAACTATGCCAATTGTTTGTCTAATTGGACTTAAAAATCAAATGGTCATCTTTTGAAGATACCTAGACATAAAGAAGCTTAAAAAGAAATTATTACATCTAACTGGCATGATTTCCAAATGAATCTCGGCTAGTAGAGTCCCATTCTCCGAGGTTAAAGTACGCCAATTATTTATGTGCCTAGTTGGACGCTTCATTCATCCGCAGTATTTGCAATGTTTACATAAGTAACGATTAAGTAACACATTTTAGATATCGAGGGCTTAGAGTCGGGTGGGCACTGTACATAATATAAAATACTGAAATATGTAATCGAAGTAGTTGCTTCGAATGCCGTGCTCTAAAATAATTTCTTACGTAGCCGAACGTTTCCTTAACGGTATTTATATGTCACGATATTTTAAATAGGGACACTGTAGAGCATAGCATTACAAGTAACAATTCCTAGGAAATATTCGTAAACTAACCCGAGTCCTGTTGCAAATAGTCTCCACTCCATGTTAAGGTGTAACTGGTTTGCATAAATCTTGATACGTGTGCCCTTCTGACTCTAGACTCTGCGAAAAGGTTGGAACGTTAAGTTATTGTTAATAGTCGAATTTACCATTGGTTAATATCGGTTATGGATAACATTCGTGGTGTTACGTCGACGAATCTGGCAATTCCTGGAGGAGAGCCTCGACGTAAAACGCGAGAACAACCGGAAAAATATGAGAATGTAATCGTAGTCTCCTAAGCCACGGTGATTCTGTAAATAGCGTTCATTGATTTGTTATCGTTGTCGTCGTCGTTGTCACTTTTATTGACTGCCACCTGACTTTCGCGTGTGTACAAACGGATTTCGACTTTACTCGGCCAAGTTGCGAAGGGAGGGCTGGTTGGCAACCCTGACGAGCGTTTCGACCAATCAGGAGCTTCGGGCCATGACGTCATAGGACTCTGATTGGTCGGCATGGAATTGAGTGCAAGGCTGACCAACTGATTTTTCCTCGTCAGCGATTAAAGTCTGTCCTATAACATGTACGTACACTCGCCTTGAGTCGTATTCGAGCTGTCAAGCTTACAGCGTTTATTTATTGAGTTGACAACTTTCAGATGTAGAAAGCAAAGGAAAGGAGAAATTAAGAACCGAAACCGCTTTCCTCGTGAATCGTTTTTAAGATCGAAGGTGGTTTTGCCAGTTAATTCAGTGCTGGAAGGAAAATGAAAAATTAGTGGGGAAATGAGGTTGTGTAACGAATTGTTTACATCAAAACTGTGTAATTGTGACAAACGATTTGTCGAAGAAGAAAAAAAAGAAGAACGGAAGACTAACATACGTATGGATCGGGGTTAAAACTCTTGATACGTTTTCATTGTATGCCCTTAAGGGAAGAATAAGGGTCTTCTCGCGAGCCGATACAAAGCTGTATTTGGATTAAGAGTTAATAAAAGCTCCCTTTGCAATAGAGGATGCAAACCATTGGTTCAGAGCCAAGGGAGGAAAATGACAATATTATCTTTGGGACTTCCTCGATTTTTCTCAAAGATTCTTCTCAAAGCTGGGTGCGGGTACTGTTTTATTCACTCGTTATTATAAATTCATGTTCTGTGAGCTGTGTTAATCGGAGTGAAGAATTTCTCTAAATTAGTGGATAAAACAGTGCTTTGATGTCGCTTTGAAAATTGAATACGGCTTTGCTTTCTGCGAGCCAGAACTTACCAATTTGCGTGCCTGTTTCAAAATACGCTGTTTCTCGTTATGAGAAGAAGAATATACTGGATTCGTACTTCTGCATGGATGTATACATTTATCTGTGTACACGTAGAATTGCGTCGCCCCTGTTTCGAAGCAATAACTCGTACACGTGTACGCGTATACGTATAACAAAAATAAATCTGTTCACAAGTTACGTAAGGCTCAGTCTTTTGTAATATCTCAACAACCTGGTGATCTCGCGATTCGTCAAAAGAGGAAAAAAAATGCTCCAGACTTATGAAAGCATTTAATTTAATTTGACAGCAGACTGAAGAAGCGTATCCTACATAGGGGAAAGAAATATCCAGAACTCGCTGCTTAATTTTGATCAGAGCGTTCTTATAATTGATAACTTATTTGTCAACAATCTGGAACCTGGTTACAGTAATATTCTGTCGCAATGGCTAGGGCTTTCTCTGGCGTGTAAATCGGCGAGTAATCCATACTTATCGAGGCCCGAGTTCTGTTGTAAATTATGAGAGATCCAAGGTATGCTATCATGCTCCTCGGTGACACCTAAGTAGTGGACATTTAATTAATTGTCAACCGATTGATGTAATAGTCATTTTTGTAGATTTTTTTTTAGATACTAGGCGCTTTTTCCGGGGATTATAAATACTTACAGGGAGTTTGGAAGGTCGGATGTACTTGACTAGTAATTCCACGAAATAGGCGACTAAATAAGATACACCAATAGGTATAGCCCGAGAGAGGATTACACGATACTTGGTGTCTCTTGTAATCCTTTCGCAGAATCTAGTTAAATCTTCCACCGGTGTGTCATCTGTCACGATGACAGAGAGTCCTGCGATCGCTTGCGGTTGCTTTTTCAGCGTGTTTTTTGCACATATCAACGCCCAAGCTATGTTACCTTTAGATTAAAATCAAATTATGGATTTATCCATTCCAAAAGTCTGGATTCATAATTGGCAATTGCGTTATTATATCGAAACTTGCCCACATAAGCGGTCTGTTGTTTTCCTCCCACGCCGGCCAGTTTTGGCAAATAATTCTTGCGATTTCTTGCGTAGTCCAACATTTTCGCGATGCATCCGTTGTCCCTTTCACCGTATAGTAGAGGTGGCCGTAATGATACTGTACGTAGAGTACCTTGACCTAAGTGTAACTAAGTGAAATGCAATTATACAGGGTACAGGAAGCACCGGAAAATATTCTGCAGAATCGAGAGGTGCAGAGGAAACCCACCACTCTTTAAATTCGTTCCGTTGAAACTCAGCACTAGTTCTTCAGCTTTAAGTTTCGAAGCAGCGTATTCTCCAAAAATTAATTGCCCTTCATCCGTCGTGTTTAGTCTTGACTCTTGGCCGTATATGACAAAAGCGACTATGCCACCTTTGAAGTACGGTTGCAAAGTGACTTCGGTCGTGCTGCAATAAATCAGCCTCTCTACGTCCTCTTCCAAGCACAATTTAATCAGGTTTTCGGTAGCTATAATCATTTCAAAAAGATGACGACCACCTTAAAACTCTCATACAAGGATTGTGGGATATTACCTGTCAAGTTATTCTTATACAGTTCCTCCGTTTTTGGCGGAAATTCGTAACATACTAAAGCAGCGCAATGAAAGACTGCATGTGCATTTTTTACAGCCTCTCGACAAGACTCAGGGTCGAGCAGATTTCTCTGGAAAATCTGGATTTTCTTCGACTCGATATAACCTACAGTTTGAAAATTATTACAGTGATTTAGATATATTGAATTAAAAAAAAAAAAATAGGGGGACATGAATCAATTCTTACCTAGATGATTGTGGAAAGGCACCTTATCCAGCATCCGAATCGTTGAGACTTTGTCATCTATCATTAAATGTTTCACCAAGTGCTGGCCTAGAAAACCACTGGCTCCTGTATAATAAAATTGTATTAATAATGGAAAGTAGTTTGAGTAGTAGAGCTGTGAATTTTGTGCATTATTTTTCAGGCTTACCCGTGACGAGGACCACCTCCTTATCCCCGTCCATCGTGGAACCCTTTTAAAAGTGAACGAATTCTCGCTGGAGACCTGAATAATTGGGCCGTTTCGGTTGTCAGCATTTTCCTGCATGCATTCGGTAGTGGGTAAAGAAAAAATTGCACCGTTCACAAGTCACTTGCGAAATTGAAAATCGAACGAGGATTTAGGCAGCGAAGCAGCGCCCCGAATTTTACTCTGTACTTCATTTTTGGAAAAGAACCAAAAAAAAGACAGTCAAGCGATTGCAGAAACAAAGGACGCTCATGATTTTATGACGAATTTCATATCAGTGAGTTCCGAGGTTTCATAATTTCATTTTCACATTGGTAATTAATTAGAGAATCTCGTCTTTCGGTGTACAGATAATTCACGCGTCCCAGTGGAAGTAACATTTTCTTTTTCCTTTCAGTTACGGAAAAGGAGCCCTGTTAAAGATGCAAGTTTGTAGACTTTGTTTCCTGGAGCTTCAGAATCCACACAGCATCTTCAAGACTCCGAATCTTCTTGAGAAGATCATCAGGTTGACTGATATTTCGGTACGTACTTATCTGTATTACAAGGAAATTATAATAATTTAAAGAAAGAGGACTGATAACAATGACTCGTTAGATTCGACAGGGCGACGGCTTACCGAGTCACATTTGTGACGTCTGTTACACAAAAATCCAAATCGCTGACAAATTTCGAAACGATGCCAGAATGGCTGATGTCCTTATTCGGCGAATCTGGCAGGAACAGAATATGGTGTGCGAACATTATTATAGAATAATTCCCAATATTTATACACAGTGAATGTAATTCTTAATACCTCGCCTATAACTAACTTTGACGATGCCTTGATTTTAAATAACAAGTTAACAGAGCTCCGTTATTTTTGCACAATTTCAGCCTTGTGGAACTCGTACTCCGTTCTTGAGCCACATCGTCCGTACAGATATTTACAAATGGTGTCATCAGAATTCCTTGATAGGGACCTCATCGGAAGGCATATCTTCATGGTTTGCCTCGAGGAACTTAACTTTATCTTCTAATCGTCGCTGGAGTACTGGCAGCAAGGTTACAAAAGATCTGCAACATGAGTCCGAAGGTAACATGGCTTTGAAGCCACTTATGTACTCCAGTGCCATCGGAAAGAGTTTGGTTGACAGCTACAAGTTCTTGACGAAGCAGTGTCTGACAGCAGACATGACCGAAGACTTTCTGTTACCCTCTGCTTACATGAACGGTGAGACAAAAAAATCCAAAGGGCGTAATTTCATCCTAAAATCAGATACCAGGGTGAGTAAGAGTAAGAATTGCACACATTGTTACGTTAAAAAAAGGGCTGGTGGATAATTTTGAAAGAATACTTTGTTGCAGGACGAAGTCGGAAGTAGGAGGTTGTCAGAGAGGCCGCAAAGATTTTACAGTAGACTGTTAAATCCTTCCAGACCTTTGAGACTTGTACGCTCGCTGGAGAATCGAGCTTCCGAGACTAACTCTCCTGTCAAAGTTAATAATAAATTAAGAGGAAAGCAGCCTTTAACCCCGCCTTTGCTTCCGTCAAAACGTAGCCGGAAATCGGCCCTGGAAACCGGAGAACCCAGCTTGACACCTTCGCCCACCTTGGCGTGTAATCGCAAGACTCGCTCCAGATTTGCTGATTGGAACAAACGAGGAACTCAAAAGACAATGTTCGATGTCAGCATGACTTCTCCTGTTTCTTCAGACGGGAAAGAGCCAAATACTTGTCCAATTTGCCTGAGAGTTTTCACAACTGGGCGAGGAATCCAGGTAAACATCCCTCCTCTTGCGATATTCATCGCCGTAAATAATACATTCATTATTCCACAATTCTTTCGAAGGTTCACATCAAGAGTCACCGAACCGACAATTGTCCCATCTGTAACGTTCCAACATTAACCAAGGAAGAGTTTGGCAGTCACATGAAATCACACATGAACGTAGTCAGTAGACAAGAGAAAGTACAAGAACGTCCTAACAACAATTTGATCTCAGCCGAAGCAGACAAAAAGCACCTTGAAGAAGCTTCCACCGTCTGTTGTCGTTCTCCTCGAAAAGTTACTTGATGTGTCGAGAAAGTTACTGTCAATGTCATTCTGTACTTTTCACCTGATATTGCCATATTACAAATTTTCCTTAAATGCTGGAAATTATTTAACTTATTCTCACGATTTCTTTCATCCATTTCACAGATAATAAACTTGTTTAAGAATTGTTAGAAAAATGATATACTTTAACATAAAGTTTCATGGTGATTACTTAGTGCGCAAGGAGGATGCAAATTAGAGGTTAAGAACTAGATTGAAACCACGATCTGGCCGGATATCAGTGCTTGTATTTATCGACAGTTACATTATAACAATGTATAACCACTAGTTAACGTTACCCTATTAATTATCAATCACACCGTGAACCTCATTATAAAGAAGAGCACCACGAGTGACAGGGGAACGTATTCGTTTGGCATTCCGTGAAGCCATTGCTACGAAAACGCAAACCTGACATCACGAACCAAATAACATTGGCAAGCTTTACGTAAATAAGTCGAGGTAACATTTCTTTTGGCAGTACTGGTATTCTCCTCTGCCTAAAAGTCCAGCTATACAATAGGGACCCGACTACGCAGGCGAATAAAGCAAACATTGTATAACAACAAATGAGATCGGGGTTTCGCATCAGGTAAAAAGATCATGACTCCGTTTCCGATGAAATCGATAGTCCACTCATTTAAATCTGGGGTTTATCGATAGTAAATTTAAAAAAATGTCTCAAGAGCGGAATCATGAGCTTTTCTTTGGACACGACGATTCGCACGACTGTATGTGATTATTAATGGTTTTGGCAATTCTGATTGTGTCTTTCGTCGAATCGGCGTTTCCTGAGGCGGGGAAAAATCATAAATGACTTTTAGCGCTGTCCAAGTTTAGCGAGGCGTGCTTCTTACGCACCTAACCTAGATCAGTCATGAATTGATTTTCTCGTAGAAGAGGAGATACGGGTTGGCGCAAATAACGTCCGTCAGAGAAACCCGTTCCACGGTTGAATCTGACGTGAATAGCCATTGTCCAGAACGGGTGCCGCGTCTAAAGGATACAAAATGTCCGGCATCGACTGGTCCCCGATGTTCGAGAACAGCTTGCAGTTGGTACATGTGCTTTCCGCGTGACAAGTCTGATGATTCTGATAAATAAGGTGATGCCACTGCCCCGACCTACATATTAAATTAATTATTGCTCTGTGAGAAACTTGTATGTTAAAATATATTGCAATGTGTACAAAGCAGACAGTCCTAACCTTTAAAGGTCGTTTCTGCGCCTCGGCAAAGGTGTACAGGTCCAAGACCAGAGTTTCAGGAAATTCAACTATATCATTCCTTTTGAAGAGCATTCCCGAAGAACTCCACGTGGTTCTGGATATGTAGAGGCATAAGCATTTGGGAAGTTTACCCAGCGTAAGTGTCTTGACAACAGGACAACGAGATGAGCATCCGTCACACTTGACATCGTGTATCACTTCGCTGCTAACTAATCGAGATAATAATTCTGAAAGCGTGTGACGTGGTTGCCATATCAGACTCAAGCCATTGGTGGCACTCGATGGCAGCGGCAACATTAAACTGTCGAACTTGTCGTAACGTACCGAGGACTGTGAATAAAAGAATGGTAAAAATGACAGGAATTATCTCTGCATATTTGTTGCTTTGTACACGAGTTCACAGAAATTTGGAGGCACTACCTTCCAGTTGCAGTTAGTGCATCGAAGTTGACTGGTCAACAATCCTGAGAATGGATGGACGTGATTGGACAGTACCGGTGTACTCGGAGAGGGTATAATGCAAAGAGAACTCCAGAGTTTGAATGTTCCATCAGCCTCGGTTTCTCCATTTTTCTTTGAAATAATTTCTGAAGATCTCGCCAGAATTATTCCGGGTTGTTTTGCTGCTATAGAGTCTTTCGATGCAGACAAGGATGACACAGTTGTAAAACCATTGCGATTTCTATCGATTGCTGCAGTTAGCGAACTTGGATCTTTTTCTGCCAATGCAATGTCATTACATGATACACTGCGCAAGGCAAATGCATCTCCTGACCCTTTAATATTCGTCACGATAACCTGACCAAGTGGTTCGGTAACAGGCAACGCATCTGATAAACAACCTTTCTGGAATTGTTATAATAGACAATTTGCATTACTGCACCTTGTTTATCAATTTCCAGTTATTTTAAATAATTTTATTCCAATTAATAAAAAATAATTCATTATTATTTCATACCCTACTAGGTTGGGCTTCGGCTTGTAGTACTCCAAGAACCATGTGGAACAATTCGTGCGCATCCTGCTCCCCGGGAGTAAAACTCCACACTGGTCCTAAGGCAGATATAATTTCCAAGGGACTAACGTCTCCATACAGGTCCTCCGAAAAGCCATTAACCTCTGACAAAATAAAAGTACAATAAATCCAAATATTTCATTCAACATAAGTCTCATTCCTGATAGACTAAAAAAAGAACAAATAATCATACTTTCCAACACGGACAACAAAGTGCTCGTAAAGCATGTATTCTTATTTCTATTATGTTGCGTTTGGAGCCAGATCAAGAATGTTGGACACGCTGCCAAACACTGCAGGAGAGCATTTAAGAAACATGTGAACCCCAGATTCGTAATGCCTGCGACTTGTCCTGGAAATAAACAAAGTTAAGTTAAAGACGATGGTAACGAAACATAAGTTTACAAGAGATACAGAAGTGACGACTGCACACCTTTCCGCCTTGGTCTAGGGGAAGGGCCCCATAGTACGAAGGCACCCACTACCAAGGCGAAACCTACGCCCGCGAAGACGGCGATTTTTTCCACATCCATCTCTTAGACTTGAGCACTGGATCTTCTGGTAAAACCTTAACCTATTCGTCCGTCTAACCTATGGCGATTTTATATGAAGCCACCATAAGTGATACTTCCGTTCCACGTGGGCCAGTGTCGCATGGAAACCGCTCCTACCTCGTCGGATTCTCAGTGGGAATTTATGGAGCTGGGAAATATCGCAGTTAATTTCCTACCATCGACACAAGTGGCTCAAAGTCCCCGCACATATAAACACCGCGTGCGTGCGCTCACAGGACGGTGACGCACGTGTGTGTACCTGACCTATCCCACTATCTAATTGCGCATGTGTACGCAACGAGCATGCGCTAAGAACAGATGACTGAGGAGAGGATTGCATCTGCAGCCAATCAGAAACAATACCCACAAGTTGGTACCCCTCAGTGGATCGCTACTTTAAATAATTAACAAAGTATCAAGCCGTTTCTTGTAAAATAAGCAGTTTTGTTACTACCTGCTCTACTCTTCCATTCAACGTGTGGCTATGAAGTATATGTACAGAATAATCAGTTGTAATTTGTATAATAGTATATTCCACGTTGCGTAAAGAATACCTTTCTTTTACCTTATTATAAATGTAAATATTTCACGTTAAGAAACACCGGAGTCTGTTATATTAACCGTGCATGACGAATGTAATTTTAACTGAGAACTCTTCCATACAGTGATCTGTCTGGTTTCAGTCTGTAACTTCTTTATCAATAATCTGGTATTAGGGACATGTAACCAATATTTGCCTAGTGTAGGTTTCATGGTTACGTTCTGGTTTTTCACCTCCAACAAGCCATCCACTTCACGCCATTTAGTTATTAAGTTTGTGGTGATTAAAGATATGTGGAACTCGTTTGCAAGATACTTGCATACATTAGCGAGGTGATTCAGTGCAAACGATGTGTTGTGATTTTCAGTAGAGTGCAGGAGTATGGCAGGCAAGGAATCGATGACTATAAGTTTCGTCGGAGATTCAGATTGTATTTTCAATTGAGAAGTCAAATGAAAAAGGAAATTTAATAATTGGTGAATATTTCTCACTCTAGTTATCTTCATTTGACTCATTACTTTGCCTATTTCCTGTAATGGCAAGAATATATGTTGTCCAATTTTATAATAGCAACAATAGTGTTTTTTACATCAGAAAAATATTGATTCTTACCTCGTCGTTACTTCCTTTTTCATCTAAAATCATATGTACTCTAGATGCACAGAAGTCTTTTTTTGTATCAATGTAATGTATGCAAGCTTTGGTTTGTATAACAATATTCGTTGCAATTGCGTGACTCAGCTGAGTTTTACCAGAAGAAGAATCTCCGCAGAGTTCGTACATGTGTCCCGGATACAGTCCTCCATTCAACAAATTATCTAGACTAAAGGAAAAAGAATGTCTCAATAAATAAAAATTAATTATTTATTTTGTTATATTACCTTACTATACCCGTTGGAACTACATTATTACGTTCAATATTTAGCAAATCTACCGCTTTCTTAATTTTTCCTCCAAACTGTTCTGTAATCGTTTGCTTTATTGACAGAATATCCTAAAAAAAATCGTAGAATGCAGTACATACAATATAACATATTGTACACCATAGAACAAGCACGTACTTTGTAAGAAAGTCCTGAAAACCTCATCAACTTCTCTGAATCTTCTGGGATGACATCGAAAACAGTATAAATCTTTTTCCCATTCAATTTCGAGATAACTTCGTCAGTCAATTTCGAATGTAGATTTGAATTCAGTCTTGCCATGTTTTCCCGACCAGGGTTTCTTTCTTTAAATACATTTAATTAAATTATTAAAAAACCTGACAATACTTCTTTACATTTCTCGTAGTTTCCCTGACTTTTTTTTAAATATCTGCACCAAGTGCAAAAAAGCGTTAATGTTACCCCCACTTCGTTAGAAATTATTGCGTCATCTAACATGGCTTCCATCTTACAAATAATTAAAGTCAATAAAAACTCCAAGATAACCTAAATTGTTCATTTTAGTAAAAGAGATTCGATAACAATTTCATTGATTTTAAATTTAATCCGGGTAAAGTGTTTTTTCGGGCACGTTTTTTATTCTCGGAACGGTGAACCGTTCGAAGATTTAAATTCTTATCAGAACGACTACGTGGATCAGTTGTGTCGCGGGTCTCTTTCCCCCAAAAGATGATGCGCCGAGTACCGAAGTGACCCCGGCGTCATTAGTACGCTCGTTGTCCTAGAACATTGTACGTTAGTCCGAGAGCAGGAGAGGAACAAGACTGACGGTCCTGGCCGAGCGATCTGGAAAGATCAGGTTTCTTTCTAATCATCTCGCGAGGACATCGCGGACCACTCGGCGGACAATGGCAACGACCTCTTCGACGGAACGTCCTGACTTATTCGCCGCAGCGGCGAAGAGTGTCTTCGACGCGCGCTCCCTCGTAAGGATTCTCCGCGCGTGTGTCCGCTAGACTCACCGGAACTCTCAGGTTTTCTCAACGGAATGTACAGGACCGAAAATCCATAAAGCTCAGCACAGCGGAGAAGGGGCGGCTGTTGGTGAGTTTCGTTCTCAATTTCCGCCTTTTCTGAATCCGTACAGTGTTCGACCAGTCACGTGGCGATCGAAAATCAGCGGCCATTTTGGCGCGATTGCCATTGAGCCTGAGCATCGAGATAAATTTTTTAGGTTATCACGAGGAGGTGATTATCAGAGATCCGAGAAAAATATGGCGATTAATGGATGCTTTATTACTCCAAGGTGACGTGCGAAGAGAGGGTGGGAAATTTAGGGTTAGGATGCCTGGTTTAAACATGGATTACGTTTGACGCGGTGGTACCTTGATAACTTTCGGTTTCGTGAAGCGAAGCTAGGTTGTACTAAAATCACGTGGTCTTTGGGAAACCGGCGGCCATCTTCTATCGGACAGGTATCGCGGGCGCTCTTAGGTTTGATTTTGAGATTATCGCAACTTATGTATTTATGAGATATAGAGGTAATGCGATGATCGATGGAATATTTGGACGTGGGAGGAATTGTGAGGAGTGATTTTGGTAAACACTGGAATTAGGATGGTTCTGAGAAGTATGGATTATGCGAGGCAAGGCGGGAACCCTCTAGATTTCAGATAACGTGGAATGGCGGTCTTGATCTTGTCCGTTAAATAATTAAACGAGAATAATAATGAGGTTATTATTTAACGTCTGTATGCAAAATGTTCAGAAAATTGTATTGTATTTATTCCCTACAACTGCAGAGAAAATTCCTTGGAAGCGAACGTATAAAATTTGAATTTAAACACATTTTTTGAAATGTGTAGTACCCGAGCATGCCAAGTTTTCGATTTTAAATTTCGGTACATTTTGCAATTTTGCACAATCGTCGTGGAATTAAATGAAGGTAAAGTATATTTCCGATTAAAATTGAGATTTTTTCAACGATTCAATTTCCATTCCGATAAGTCTCGCAGGAAATGTAAAGCATTAATTCAAATTCCGTTTTTAAATATTCCGTAGATTGTCGGGAAATTATTCAAAATTCTGCAAAACGGACGCGTAGTTTAAATCGATAGGTAATGCATTTTAAATCCTATAACTGTGTACTAATTTAATAAAATAACACAATATACCGTGTGCAAATTGTTTACAAAAATTACGATAATTCAGATAATACTGCCAGTGCGGATTACCGAAAAAATTGATTTTCACATCGGTATAAATAAATGCGACGTAGTGACTCGGTTCCTCGGGAACCTCCAGTAGATAGCAAACAATTCGTTCACCGTGTATGCAGCATTCACTATATCCTCTTCTATCAACAATTGCCCTAAGCGGTCTTCGAAGGTCGCCATGATGATTCGCCGTTTCGCGGCGCAAGTCAAGTGTGCGATTTAACGAGGACGGAATATCCTGTAAAAAATCGGCGGACGAATTTTCAGATTTTTCCTTATCGGTCCGAAATTGGGGAAAATCGAAAGTGCGGGCGATCGGTGGCTTGTACGGTTGCTGATTTGATTGGAAGGTCGGAAGTGCGCCATTACGGCGCCGGGCGGGTCAGCCAATAGGAGCGCTCAGCCCAGGCTACATTACCGCGTTCCCGGGCGCGTCGACCAATCGGAGCGCGGGAGGGGCGCGCGCGGCGCCATCTGTCGACAGCTTCGTAAACTGGGCGCCGAGCGAGCAGAGCTGGCCGTCCGGCCGAGAGGAAATTTCTCGGGAGCCGTCGCCATGTTTAGAAGTGTGTGCGTCCTTGAGCGAGTCGGAGCAAAATGTTCGGTCGAATATTAGATATATCTCATGTGCTGATTATTACGTGGGGTACCTAATTAAGGATCCGCGCTCGCCGATTGCGGCCGCGGGCTTGATTTCCGCGGATGGCTCGCCTACGCCGCGGAATTTTGTGATTACATTATGGTAAGTCCGCCCTCGTCTCGGGCCAACGCCAAGATGGCCGACCGAGGGTTTCCTTTGTATCTCGCGACTCGACACTGACGCAACCGGGGAAAAATTACTGCGAGGGTAACGACTCGCCGCGGGGCCTTGGGCGCGTCCCGAGTGGTGATCGGGAGGGTATGAGGACATTTCGTCGCGGTTTTCGCACGGTTTTTTTCTATAACACGACTCGAGAGTCCGAGCAGGGAAGACACGGACGCCCGGGCGCCCGTTCCTCGGCTTCCCGGGAGAAATGCGGTGCGTTCTCATCTTCGCTCGCATGACACCGCTGATATTTATGCGCATTCGTTCCGCGGAACGGGACGCTTTTGCTGGCCGCCCTTTTTCCGGCACCCCGCCCTCCCGAGACGAGAACGACGTTTCGAAAATATCACGTTACGCAGACGACAGACACTGGAGGGATTTTCGATTTCGCCGCTTTTTTTTTTTTATCGCTTCTGTTACTAACAAGGTCTTTTATTTTTCTCTTAGTTCGAGCGCTAGAGAACATCGAGCCGCGTGGACGGTTCGTTTTAGTGCAGAGTGACCCCTGGGATTAATTATTCCGTTTGTTCCGCCCGGATAGGGATTAGAGATGAAAGATTGCCTTATAGGTAGCATGTCATTCGGGTTCGACCTGAAGTTCCTAGCTTGTTGTTCCGTTGATGTTACTTTTATTTTTACTCATGGGGCAAATGAAGCTGCCTTTTGTTGTAATTGAAATTACCAGGGGATGATAGTTGGCAACCTGTTACCAAGCCAGGACACAATTCACCTGTTACCGTGTTGTTCTGTAATTAGAAATATAAACATTAATGTAGGACAGGTTGTTTTGAATGAGATTTAATGATACTGTAGAGAGTCTGTTACCGAATAATATGGAGAATCAACATCTTATATTATGTATTTTATTTATAAAATATTATGTCTGGGAATTTTAGTAAAAAGATATTTCTGCATCCAGAAGTGGAATTATCCTTATAAGTGGATTTTTAAACTCAGGTGTGTAATAGTGCTTTTTAATGGCCTGCTGGAATAAAAAATGTGTATATGTCTGGTGTTTCAGTGTAGCGTGTAATGAGTGATAAGCAGATCACACCTACGCTGCCGCCCCTTACCGGGGGTGGAGGAAACAATGTGGGAAGCAACGGAGGTGCGTCCCAACAGTCTGTTAGCTTGCAACAAGTGCTTGCTAGTGCCCAAGGACTCAATGTACTCTCAACGAGCTCCGGACAACAGTTCGTCATTACATCCCAGGTTCCGGGACTCACGCAGGTTTGTAAATTTAATTACTAGTTTGATAGTAAGAATTGCATTTTTTTTATATTAATCTTGTTATTGTTATACACTTTCATATTTCTAACTGGAGGATTTCCTTTATTTATAGAAAAAAATTTCTTTCTATGATAAAGTATTATTTTTTTCTTGTACCAGGTCATATCGAACAGCGCGACGACAAATGCAGGCGTTCAACAGATCGGTGTTACGAGGATCGTCAACATCGGGGGCACATCGCCACGTGTCAGCGTGGTCGGTGTTGCCAGTGCGAGTGGTTCTCCTCTCGTATCTCCGACAAGACAGACTCCGACAAAAGTCGTCCTGGCCACCTCTCCAAAACTGGTCCGGACGACTATGGGAAATATGTTTGTCACACCGCCGTCTCAATCCTCCGTGCAATCACCTCCTGCGAGAAAAAGACTTAAACTGGCAGAGACGACCGAGAAGGTGACAGCCATAGACGACACTGTGGGCTACCGACGGCGCATCATGGAGCACAAGATGAAGAGAATGCGTGCAATCAGAGAGAAATACGCGGAAAACGCGTCGGAATTATTCTTCCTCCATGCCGGAGGGAACATGATGGACTTCCAAAGCTGGAGGAAAAGGCCACCCACGCCCCAATATCTGCACTTTTTACGACAACATCGTCTCGATCCGGAGGATGACGAAGAAGACCTCACCGCACCTCCACCTCCCATGCCTGATGTCTCATCACCTACGGTTGTCACAACTACGACGGTCTCTTCGGTCGTACCTTCGAGTTCGAGTGCTGAAGTCAAGATCTCTGGTATCGGCATAACTCCTGTTGCTGTGTCAACTACCTTGCCTGCTGCCGTAGCCCAGCTTAGCCAACAAGGTACTTCTAATGGCCTGTCACTGTACAACGAGAGTGTTGCAGCGATGCATTATTTAGCTATAATGAGGATCTAGTCTAGAGAGGAAAGTTGCTTTACGAAGATCGATCGGTGAACTTGGGCGCATCTGGACAAGGAAAATTATTAGAGTTAATTGGTTGCGCTTTGTTAGATTTACTGGTTTCTAGATCAATGTGTTTGTGGCATTATTTTATGGACATTGGAATAATGCAGGATCCTGGGTAAATGTCGATGATATTACTGAATCACTCGTTTGCGCAATAGGACAAGTACCGGGTAGGCCACAAGGGGGTCGTCATGGCATGGTCTTTGCCATCAGAGCAGCTATTCAATCATCACCAGTCACCGCTCACCCTTCACCTACTTCTTCTGTAGCACCCACGCTCATTATAGGTGACTACTGTAGGCTTGCCATACGATGTTTAAATCTGTTCGTTTTTTTTTTTTACTTGGTGTTTTCATTAAATCCAGAATGATTTATTCCTGGCACAATCAAGGTTTTATACGACTGGACTCTGAAGTGTTCTATGAACCATTTTTTTAAACTATCTTCAGTCAGTCCTGATATGCGTTTAGTTAATTTCAAAAAGCTTTTAAGTATCATTTGAATAAGATTTTTTATTGATTTCAATTATTATCGAGAATCGAGCAGGTTTGTAATGTGGCCAGTTGAGCACGTTTGGATGGAAAACATGATTAATAATTTTGTAAAGTCGTAATGTATTTTTTTTTTTCAACTTTACATGGTCGGTTGGAACAATCTGCTACGTGTTATTTGCAATGCGCAGTTAACAATGAAAGTTCAGTTATTCCTCAAAGTGGCAAAAAATCCATTTAGTATCGCACGTGTTACTCATTTATTATTTTCACATTTCCAGGATCAAAGGGTTCCTTAATCGTAGGTTGAGACTTGCTTTTACGTGTGTAGAAATTTTGGTTTGCGCAGAGAAAGATATCTTACGTTAATATTTATTTTTTTTTATTTTTAATACATTGCTAATGAGTGTATGAAGACTCATGTTTCATGATAAAAAAAATCAGGTTCTCTCGAGACTCTGCTAATTTTTCATGTCTTTATATTTTAGGATGTTCACACCGCTGATGTTGCATGTTATATTCAGCTATATCCTTAAACATTGTAAATACGAGCATATATTGCTGCTATTCGATAATGTATATCTTTACATACTTTTACACATTCATTTATATTTTGGATACAATCGTCAGGAAAACCCACATTATTTGTTTGGCCAATTCGATATATTCCTGTTGAAATGGTACATCGTTTGTGGGTATATAAAGTTCCGAGTGTGTGTACGACTGTTTAGTGATTGCAGTCTATTCAGTCGAAGGAATCTCTCGGATACAAAACTGCACTTCTTGGCAAGTCCCGGAAGTGCCTCGATAAATAATACTTTTCTCTGTTTTAAACAATAGGAACCTTGCAAAAAAAAAAACTCTTTTACTGGTGAACATGCACGATTAGTGTATTTTTTGCTTTGTCCAATTTTGATAATTGAACGTTTTATACTTTACTTTCGCGTCTAGACAGGCTAGGAGATCTTTCGATTGTTTAATTACACTTGGGACAGGTGCGTTACACTGTACTGTTGGTTTTCAGGGGGTACTCCGATAGTTCCAGAACCACCGAAACCCATTTCTGCTGTACCCGTAAGCCCCGTAGCAGACAAAAGTCCATCAGCTAGTACATCTGCGAAACCACCAGCACCTGCAATCGCTACATCTCAGCCTGTAGTTAAACTCGTGAAGCTGTCGGCCAATTCAGCTGCATCTTCCTGTGATATCCCGAACAATCAAGAGCAGATAGTTGAAAAAGCGAAGCAGGTACGTCCAGTAAACACACAGTCGTGCTTTTTTTTTTCCCCTTATAATTATTACGAATCTTCCAGAATGTGGAATTAACTCGTTTTCATATATATATTTTTTTCTTTCACCAGGAGGCATACGTAATGCAGAGGATTTCCGAACTGCAGAGGGAAGGTCTATGGTCCGAAAGGAGGTTACCAAAAGTACAGGAGCCATCTAGGACGAAAGCTCACTGGGACTACTTACTCGAGGAGATGGTGTGGCTGGCCGCAGATTTTGCCCAGGAGCGCAAGTGGAAAAAGGCTGCTGCTAAGAAATGCGCTAGGATGGTTCAGAAACATTTCCAGGAGAAGGCGATCCAGGCTCAAAAAGCTGAGAAGTCGCAGGAGTTGAGGTTAAAGAAGATCGCCGGCTTCGTCGCCAAGGAAATTAAAACCTTTTGGACGAATGTCGAGAAGGTTCGTATATATTTCTTCTACCTTTTATTTTCCAAAAGGTCTTCCCCCACATTATTAAGCCGGCCGTTTCAGTGTCATAGAATTGGAAGGGTGTGCTAAATGTGGGTACATCATATCTAAAATTGTGTATGGCGGTCTTCACTCCGGGAATTCTGCCAAAGAATTTTTAGGAACACTTAAGCCGTTAATTATCGAGTGGAATCAATTTCGCTGAAAAATGCTTCTTTGTTTTAAACAATTTTTGAAGTACGACTTGTTGCGGGGTTTCAGTTGGTGGAGTACAAACAGCAGACGAGGCTAGAGGAGAAGAGGAAGAAAGCGCTGGATCAGCATTTAAACTTCATCGTCGGTCAAACCGAGAAGTACTCGACGTGGTTGACGGAAGGTCTTAACAAAACGGATGGCACTCAAAGTGTCTCCGCCTCTATGAACAGTTCTCGCATTTCGTCTCCAATAACGGCAGGAAAGCAACACTCCGATGGTAGATATAAATGGCCCCGTATCTTCTAAAGGTTCTTGTTGCGTTGGATATTTATCTTTTTTTTTCGTTTTTCGTATCTCGAAACAGACGAATTCGAGCCGAATCAAAGCTCGGATGATGACGAGGAGACAATAGCCAAAGCGGAAGAGGAGATGAAGTCCACGACGAATCACAAGGAAGAGGTGGAACTCCTGAAGAAGGAATCCGAAATTCCTTTGGAGGATCTTCTGAAGGACCTACCGCCGAATTATTTGGAGGAACGGGATAAAAGTTTGTCACCCGCTCCAAAGGAAACGGTAGAGGTGGTAGGTACAGTTTTATAGATACTGTTTTACATATCATTTTATACGAGGTAACGACAATTGACATCGATTGTTAATAGGAAAATGAAAAGTCAGTCGATGGAGATTCAGAATTCATGGTGGCCTCCGAAGAGTCCTCGGACGATGAGGATACTATCATGGAACAGGAAAAACTAGAGGGCAATGACGATCACAAGCAAGAACTCGACGATCTTAAGGTACTTTTACCTTTATCTCGACTGTTAATAGTTAAAACCATAGTGTTGATAATATTTTATAAACAAAATCAATCTGTAGGCTGAAAATGAAATGTCCATCGATGAGTTAATGGCCAAGTATGGCAGTATACCCGATGACTCCATGGAAGTCGATGGAGACACCGACAGAGGTTAGTATTTTTTTCCTTGCTAAAGATTTATAAATACAGTCTTTCCATTCCTATGATGATACTTTACCGATAATGAAGGTGAGAGATCCATTCAACTCGATCCTACTCGCTGATTTAAACGGAGGCATTTGTCTGAGGGTTTTAGACATTAATACCTAGTACCATAAAGGAAGACGAATTCTATTATTAATCCAGTTAATTGTCATTTTAGAGTCCGTGAAGGAGTCTGATAAAGAGGAAGAGAATGAGAACGAGGAACAGAGTGAGAGTGAGAGCGAAAGCGAGGACGAGACTAAAGGCGAGGACTCGCAAACGCAGAGTGACAGCGAAGCTGGGGTTGGTCTCAAGTCGCTTCTCGAAGACTTGTCCACGGAGAAGGCTAAAGAAAACAAGGTAATTTGAATTTCTGATTGTCCACGATCCTACTTTATAAATAAAAAGGAAAACTAGGCTTCACATGTATGGTATCAGTTTTTAACGACCTTCGTTTTTTTTTTTCCAATTTCAGGTTGCAGATACTAGTCAGACCGAAACACGCAATGAAATGGACGACGTTGCTGCTCTCGCCGAAAGTATACAGCCCAAAGGGAACACGTTATTGACCACCAGTGTAAGATGGTTCTTTCCTTTTTCCGTGCAGTACTTTCTAGTCTCTAATCAGTTAAGGGGCCCTCTTATCCAAAGGAACGTGCCGTTCTCTTGGCACATTGCCTATTTCAGGAGTGGCAGAATAAAAGAGTCATACGTGCCTGAAAACGAATATTTGCACGCAGTCGTTTGGGTCACGGAGTCACGACATTTACCGTTAATTGAGTAAAACTGTATCACGGGGTTTAGGGAAAATTTTTAATTAATTACATACTAATTGCTTCACACAGGTTGTGACGAAGATTCCGTTCCTTCTGAAGCACCAGCTACGTGAATATCAGCACATCGGCTTGGACTGGCTCGTCACCATGTACGATAGGAAATTAAATGGCATTCTAGCCGATGAGATGGGTCTGGGTAAAACCATCCAAACTATCGCTCTCCTGGCACATCTAGCCTGTGAAAAAGGAAACTGGGGCCCTCATCTCATCATTGTCCCTACGTCGGTCATGCTCAATTGGGAGATGGAGTGCAAAAAGTGGTGCCCTGGCTTCAAGATCCTGACATACTACGGCACTCAGAAAGAGAGAAAACAGAAGAGAACAGGTAACGATTCTTTCACCCTCCGTAATTCCTGGTTATCTAGTCGAGGTTTGTCCATTTACTGACGTGACTCCAATATTTTTTCTAGGGTGGACGAAGCCGAACGCTTTTCATATATGCATCACATCGTACAAGCTTGTTATTCAAGACCATCAGAGCTTCAGACGAAAAAAGTGGAAGTACTTGATCCTGGACGAAGCCCAGAATATTAAGAACTTCAAGTCACAGCGCTGGCAACTGTTGTTAAATTTTCAAACGCAACGGTAGGTAGTTTAGTAGCGGAAATGGGACTGAATGGTTGCCTGAAAGTGGGTGATTAATTTTGTTTCTTTTTAGACGGCTGCTATTGACCGGCACGCCCTTGCAGAACAATCTCATGGAGCTCTGGTCGTTAATGCACTTTCTCATGCCAAATGTGTTCCAGTCGCACCGTGAGTTCAAGGAGTGGTTCAGCAATCCCGTCACTGGGATGATCGAGGGGAACAGTGAATACAACGAGAACATTATTCGACGTCTGCACAAGGTCTGTACGTACTTACTTGCTGTATATCCGGTATCCCGAGAACCCGCTGCCGACAATAGACACGCGCGAATTCACCTTCCCTAGTGTGTCTATCTTTCTATTTACAGCGGGATAGCAAAGAAATATTCTCTATTAAAACTCATGTGTCTTTTGTGGATATCTTACGACATGTGAATCCTGTCTAGAGATACACTCATTGTATGTTTATAACTATTTCATCGAGTATCTTGTAATGCATGCAACCGAACTTCGTGGAATTTGCATATTAATGCCTGAACTTGTAGGTATTGCGGCCGTTTCTGCTGAGAAGATTAAAAACTGAAGTGGAGAAACAGTTGCCGAAGAAGTACGAACACGTTTTGATGTGCCGACTGTCGAAGAGACAGCGATACCTCTACGATGACTTTATGTCACGGGCCAAGTAAGCATGTTCGTCGATATTTCGATTGATCTTGCCATTGTTTGTCAATATTTGTATTAATATAATCTGTACGATTCTCTCAGAACGAAGGAGACGCTGGCAAGCGGCAATTTGTTGAGTGTCATCAACGTCTTGATGCAGCTTAGAAAAGTGTGCAACCATCCGAACCTCTTCGAGGTACGGCCGACGGTGTCGCCATTTCAGATGGAAGCTATTGAATTCGTTACTGCATCATTGGCGTGGAGTGCTCTAGACTACGACCCTTTCAAGGTACGTCTCATTTCCATATGTCCTAAAATGGATAAAATGCGGGGAATATGAATATATACGGAAATTCAGGATCTTGCAAAAGCCGATGAACTAGAAAATTATGACGAGCCTCTTCGCTAACTTCATTCTTTTTTCAGCATGTCGACTTGGATGCTTTGAACCTTCGGGTAGTTAATCTGGAGAGGACTCACACTGCCTTTGTAGCGCACAGGGTGAGGCGTATTCAAACTCCTCGAAGGCTGATAGAAGAATTGGACTCGCAGCCAGACCCACCGCCAAGATGTCCAGCAGGAAAGATCAAGATCAACGTGAGGCTGTCGAATCAGGCAAAGTCAACGACCACTCCACCGCAGAATCAGTCGAAGCTGAAGAGCCTGGCCGGGATTTTGCCAACACCTCGAGTGGGAACCTCTCCATTGATCAAGACTTTGAACAATCAAAGTACCCCTGGTCAGGGTTAGTCGAAACATTGTATTTATATGATTTTGCGATTAACGGTAAATACAATTAATTATTTTCCCCTCGTCCAGGCGTAACGTTGAGGGTCGCGGGAGGTCAGCAATTGCAAGGTTACTCGGTGCAGCTGGTACAGCACCAAGGCAGTGTGAAAGGTAATTTTTCTCCGCTTAATTAGACCTAATTTTCTCACTTTTTTTTTCACCCCATTAACTGTGTGCTGTTCTTTCCCGTGAGTAACCACCCCGCGTTTGAGACTCGTCCATCGCGCATCAACGATCAGCGATTGCAACGTCCATTAACATTGTGCAATCGCTTTTGCAGTGGTGCAAGACTAACCGGGCTCGGCTGGTGTGTTCATATTTCGTACAGGTCTTGTGAACCACGATACCGAGTGGACAAATTTCCCTCCATTAATAAACGCAAACTCGCCGCTCGTTAATTCTGACAGATCTCACCAGTGATTGCGACGAGGACCTTAACGCGCAAAAGTTGTCGAGAATGTTACGTTGCTCTCTAAGAAGTTTACTTGCTATTCGAGATGCGTCTAAAGAGGAGATAGTAGCGGTAGAAGCAATCCTTCAGGTTTCCCGAGACAGCCAGAAATTCGTAGACGTTCTACTCTGACTATTTTTCTCTCTCCGGGGAAAATGCTCTCTTGTCCTTTTCGTCGATCCTCGACGCCGCTCTCTGATGATGTTATTCCGCAACAGCAATTCCCGTGGGGACATTGGCGCATAATCCTCAGAGCACCGCCACCGTGACACCTACCACGGCCGCAGGTGCGAACGCACAGAGGATTACGGTCGGCAATGCCAATATCAGGGACGGTCTGCAAAGGCTGGCGACGCAAACCGTGACGGTCAAGCAAGGCGATTCCGTCCAAAGAATAGCCGTGCCCAGCTTTGCCCAGCTGGTGCAGACCTCCACCGGCAGGCATATCATTTTGACGTCTAATCAGCAAAGCACTAACACAGGTGCGTTGCGCGCTTCGAGGCCTCGGATCGCGAGGATCGCGAGGATCGCGAGGATCTCCTCGGTGCCGTCACATTTGTATACTAAAAGCATGCCCCGGATTATTGTCACGCTCGATCACCCTCTGAGTCGGTTCTGAACGTTGAATGGTCCCTCGTTGTTTGTTCTGCCCCTTTCATTTTTGGAGTTTCAGCCTGGCTTGAGTCATTCGCACACTTTTGATTGTATTCTTAGTCGGGTTTGTATAGTTTTACACAGTTCTGGAAAAGGTAGTCTTACGTTTATGCTTTCCTTGAGCTTCTGTGTGGATTGGTTAGTTAATTTTTATTTGATTACTCTTTTAGTCTCCTTTCCTGTGATGACATCCAGTGGCCAACGGCTGACTGTCTTGTCGAAGTCCCTGATGGGACTGTCAACCTCTGGGGCTGCAGTGAACAAAGTCGTTGGGGGAGTTGTTACTACTGCGGCCAGTTCTGTTAGTGGTAGACCTGTAATGAGAGTTCCTCCGTTGAATGTCACCACCACTCAGGCACATTCCGCTGGTAGCACTCCGTTGGCTCAGCAACAGCTACGCTGTGGAATTGTTACCAGGAACTCGCAGAGGGAGACCGAGAAGATTCAGATAAAGGAACAGCCTAAGCCAGAATTTTATGTTGTAAGTTGCTCTTTTTTAATTTTGGATTCAGTGGGAAAAGTGCGGTTTAGTGGGTTGATTGATATTGAGTTTGGAATTTTTCTTTCTTTTTTTGGTAGCCCCAGCTTGAGGAGGAACGGAGACAACGGAGGCAGTCCAAACTGCAAACTCTAGCTAACATCAATGAAAGAAGGTGCGCTGCCTGTCCCCTTTATGGTGAGGACCTCTTCACTGCTTTGAGAATCGGAAAGCCTGCCGAAGGCTGCCAGTGGCACAGTGGCTGGATGCATTGTGCATCAGCCAAGCAATCGATGCGAAGTAGAAGACAGTTCTTCTCTAGCACCGAAGCCCTGGCCGAGGCAATCAGGTCTACAGAGATGATCGTTGAACAGCTGAAAGAAGCTTTCGAAAGGTTCATATCTGAGCTATTAAATAGACTGTTACCTAAATGAAGTGATAGAAAGTGCTATGTCAGTCACGTTATCTTTTTTTTTTCTTTTTTAATGAGTTCTTGATTTTTCATCACAGGTTCGTAGTGTATGTTCCTGCAGTTCGAGCACCGAGTCCTCGGTTCCATGTCTCACACCCGCCGCCACATAAATTGTGGACCCATCAGCGATTGCAGACGGAACTGCAGCATCAGTTATCACCAAAGATGGCTTTGTTCCATCCAGTGGCTAGTGCGATGGCAACCCAGTTTCCTGATCCAAGACTGATACAATACGATTGTGGGAAGTTGCAATCCCTGGATCGACTCCTTCGAAAGCTGAAGGCTGACAGCCATCGGGTTCTTATATTCACCCAAATGACTAGAATGCTGGATGTTCTCGAAGCATTCCTCAATTTCCATGGTCACATATACCTACGACTTGATGGCACTACTCGGGTAGATCAACGACAGGTGTGTATCAAAATTTTATCTCCCTTGACTCTTTCTCTTTTCTGACAATTTTGTTATTTTTCTTTATTAACATATGATTTTATATTCAGGTGCTGATGGAAAGATTCAACGGTGACAAGAGGATATTCTGCTTTATCTTGTCGACCAGGTCTGGTGGTGTCGGTGTCAACTTGACAGGAGCAGATACCGTTATCTTCTATGACAGTGATTGGAATCCAACGATGGATGCCCAAGCTCAAGACAGATGTCACAGGATAGGACAGACAAGAGACGTTCATATTTATAGGTTAGTTCCATGGAATCTAGAAAAAATTTAATATCAGTCAACAAGTGTTTTAAATAAATGATTTTGTTTATAGATTGGTCAGTGAGAAAACTGTTGAAGAGAACATTTTGAAGAAAGCCAATCAAAAAAGACTGCTCGGAGACCTTGCTATCGAAGGAGGGAACTTCACGACTGCTTACTTTAAGAGTGTATGTACATTTCACTGTAATAACTAATCTATTACAGGTATATTAGAATTACATCCTAGGATTAATATTTTTACTCGCTTCTTTCTCGACAGTCTACCATTCAGGATCTTTTCAATATCGACCAATCTGAGAACGATGCTTCGACCCGAATGGCTGAGGTTTTGGAGCAGAATAGAGATCGAGAGAAACACCTACAGAAAGATTCATCCGTTCTGTTAACTCCGTTATCTCAGCCTGTAGAAGAGAAGGCTGCAATGGGTGCGTTAGAAAATGCTCTCGCAGCTGCCGAAGAAGACCTTGACGTACAGGCTGCAAAGACTGCGAAGGCTGAGGCAGTCGCAGATCTTGCAGAGTTCGATGAAAACATTCCATTGGACGAGGCTGACAAGGAGGACGCGCAGGTCAGCAAAGCAGAACAGGAAGTTCAGAATTTAGTATCACAGGTAAGAGCGAATCAACAAAACTACATAGACCTCTTATCTTAAGCATATTAAAAAGGAATTATTTTATCAAAGATTCTTTGTTGTTTCCCTTTAATAGTTGACACCGATAGAACGCTACGCAATGAAGTTTGTCGAAGAGTCGGAGGGTACTTTCTCAGCTGCTCAGCTGGCTGCGGCTGAGAGGGAGCTGGAGCAGCAGAAGAAGGAATGGGAGCTGGATCGTCTAAGAGCCCTACGCGAGGAAGAGGAGAGACGCATGAGGATGGCAGACGACGACGAGAAGCCGCTGACGTTCGGGCGCGAGGATGCGCAGAATCAGGTTAATAGCAGTAATAGTAGCCCTAGGAAGTTAGTTAATAAGAAAGCGCCACCGAGTAGGAGGAGCATGCGTAGGTGCAGTAGTAAGAGCGTTCAAGAGTCGTCGGAGAGCGAGACCGAGACTACTACGGAGTCTGACTCCGAGTCTCAGGAGGACCTTGTCGGTGATAGTCCTGACGAAGAGTCGAGTCATACGGAGAGTCAGAGTCAAGGTGACGAGGAAGAAGAAGAAGAGGAAGAAGAGGAGGGCGATAGTCAGAACGAGTCGGAGAGTGGAGGATACTCTAGGAACAAGAATCGCTCCAAGAGGTCTACCGATAACAGCTGCTTCGATTTGAACAGTCCACGCACCAGGTCCAGGGGCAACGTCAAGATCAACCTCTGGACTCTGGACGTCAGCCCTATTCTTCCTGGAGTTAAACCGAAGTATTCTGTGGGCACGGGTCGACGTGGCAGGAGAGGACGAGGCAGAAGGGGAACTTTTGCTCAACCTCTTCCACCGAGTAGTCTGACGAGGAAATTTGGCAACATTCATGCTCATGAGTCGGATAGTGGAAGTGAGAGTCTTCCTAATTGTGTGAAGAAATTGAGTGTGGATGTTAACGATCGACAGGATGATCTTGATGAGACTACGTTAATGAAAGTTAGTTCGGGTAAGAAGAAAACCACCTTGGATGCCATGAACAAACAGAGTGCTATTGGAGAGAGTGGCAGGAAACAAGTCAACGATAAGACTGTTTTGTGTAAAAGTGTAAAGTCAATGGAAGGAGTCAATGAAAACTTGAATGAAGTGGGAAGCGTAGTATTGTTTAAGGATGTATCCTCAGAAAGTGGTGACAAAAATGATTGTTCTTTGAATGATTCTCAAGTGGCTGCTTCTGATGTGAACTCTGAGTTGGACACTGTCGGTGAATCCTTTAAAAATGTGAACGTATCAGTTTCAAAGCAGAGTCAGGATAGTACAAATGTACAGAGTGTACATACACCTAAAGTCAAATGTAAAGAAATATTGAATGCAATCGAAAATTCACAAAGTATAAGCGAGGAACTGTCGGATACATCTATTGAAAGTTCCGACTCACAGCTCAGAGAGAAAGACACATCTAAGAAGAGTCTGAAAATCGATAAGGTATTGCAAGCGGATGGTTTAGATAGTGAAAAGACTGCTGATAAACAAGAGAACAAATCTATGCAAATTGAAGTTAAAAATAAATTGGATAATCATAATGATTATACGATATCGAGCAACAGGGATAGGAAACCATTGGTGAAACTCAATGTTACATCAAAATCCTGGACCGAGTTTGAGGAGAGCATATCGATATGTCATCTAGTTCCGGAACACATGGATGACGATGAAATGTCTTTCGATTTCGTGAGGGCAATAGAAATTTCCAGAGAAGGTTCTGTTTCGCCAGTCTTGAAAAAGACTCCGTACATTGATTTTAAAATCAACAAAGACTCTGCAAGTACAAATTCTAAAACTCAAAGTTTAATTTCTAAGGTCGAGTTAGAAGCCACGTCAAATCGCGCGAACGAAAAGAACGAAACGTTTATAGAATCAGATGCCTTGAAGGAATCTTCAAAGAAGACAGAAATTTCGTCAGGAAACTCAAGAGAAGTGTCCGAATCTTCTGCAGAGTCAAATCTTTCGAAGGAAGATTCTAAAGCAATATCCAAGTCTTCTTCCGAAGCGAGCGCACTGAAACATAATTCAAAAATAGTATCTAAGTTTTCTGAGGAACCAGATACTTTGAAAGAAAATTCTAAAGTAATGTCTAAGCCTTCCTCAGAGCCAGTTCCCTCGAAAGAAATTGTAAATGTATCTAAACCTTTAGAATCGAACACTGCAAAAGAGAACCTGAAAGTATCGTCAAAGTATTCGACGGAGTCAAGTAATTCAAAAGAAAATTCTAAAACGTTGACGAAGTCATCCGCTATAGTTCTACAGAGAACGAAGACTGCTGTTCGAAGGCCTGCAACGGAACTGTGCACAAATTTAAAGTTACGCAACGAAGAGGAAATAGAGATCACGTCATTAAGGCCAGTGTCACCATTGTACATCACAGGATCTGTTCAAAAACTGCAAAGTTTAAAGCTCAGTTGTACCCCAAACACAAAGTCAGACTCAACCGATACTGATTCTCTTTCTGAGGATGAAGTACAATCTGTCGGTACAGAATCATCAAAGATGTCTGAGAATACAAGTCCTCTGTCGCCATCTTCTGCTCCGCAATCTCCGACGGATTATTCCTCTCATATACTTTCTCCAGTGAATTTGAAGGCTTTAAAATTTCAAGAAGTAATAGACAAAAGCATAGTAATTCCAGATCAGCCTGAAGCCAGCTCTCTGGTAAAGAATACAAAGATCGAAGATGCACCTGAGAAACCAGTGGTATCAATAGATTCTGGTCAAAAATCTGTTTTCGCTGTGCCTAGTAATCTAGTTCCAGTGTCGACGAAGTCCAACATTTGTCCAGAGTTCAAGTCTAGATTCCGAAGGCCAGACACTCCGATGCCTGGAGTAACTACCCGCAGAGGGAAACTGCAGCTTAATTACGATTTAAAAGTTAGTTTAGAAGCCATACCTGACAATAATGACGTTGCAAAGAATTTGCAATCACAGAAATCGAATCCTTCGGGTTCTGCACAAGACTCTCGGAGAATCACCAGACTTAGTGGGCCCCAAGTGGATTCTCCAGCAGTGGAAGATTCGAATCTAAAAAATAGTAAAACTGCTCTAAAGGCTTCACAAGGGCGAAAAGACACTATGTCCCCTGCAGTGGAAAGGATAACCAGGTCCAGTGCGAATCGCCCAGCCACACCTCCGCAGCCAATTGTTCAAAATCAGATGAAACCACCTTTCAGGAGGAGACCTGACACTCCGATGCCGGATGCTTCACATATGCTCAGACCGATGACAAGATCTGTTCGACAACTGGATATATCTTCCCTGGTAGCTCTTCGGCCTGTGACCCGCAGCTCTAAAGTGACATCTGATAATGGTTTTGTAGTTCCTCAACAGTACAGTAAAAGAAATAAATCAGCATCCAAGGAGATATCGGAGGTCGACAGTGAAGCCACTTCCGAGTTGCTTAACAAATCGGTTAAAAAGTCATTAACAAATACCATCTCTCCAGAGGTGAACCCCAACAGTAGTTCCAACACTCCAACAAGGTCTTCGCTGTTCAGACGCAGACCTGACACACCGTTACCAAGTTCTGAACTCCTTTCCAGAGTGACCAGATCTCGAGTGGAGCTGACTCAATTATCTTACAGATCTCTTTCTCCAACTCTGAGGAACAAGCTCCTGAGGAAACAGAATACAAACCCAGAAAGTGCAATAACGTCGGAAACGAAGAACGCAAAATCAGTGTCCATAACTTCATCGTCACTGAAAAATGCTACGGTGGACACAGACTCGAATGGGAATTCTGTTGGCTCGGAGAACTTCTCCAAGCATAACGAAAGGGATCCTTTGGAGAACAACGATAAACCCCAGCGTACTGCCAAAGTGGTAGCAATCCTGACCCTGGACAATCTGTCGAACAAGACTCACAGTTCCAAATCGGTTTCGTCATCGATGCACGGTAAAAAGACTCCAGAATCAGCAAAGAAGTCGCAAAGTGAGAATACAAAGTCAAAGCTCGAAGAGTCTGGGAAGAGTGCGGGCCAGATGTGTAGTGCAAATTCAAGTATGACCCATGAAGCTCGGTCTGCTTCGGCCTCTATTGGAACCAACTCTGTATCGAACAAAGTGGACCCAAGTTCGATCCATGGTAGCAAGCTCGTAGTGTCTTTGACTTCGATAAGTCCCAAACTGACAGCGGAGCTGGAAAGAGAAATGAAGGACAAAAGGGCTTCGTCCCCTGCAAACTCATCTGTGATTACAGTGATCGATCTCAATACAGAGTCTGACTTAGCTACGTCTCAGCTGACTACGAGGCTGAGGAAGAAGCAGAAGAGAACTCGTTATTCTTCTCTGACAAAGTCCATCGAGTCTGGACAACTGTCCTTAGACGAGGACGAAGGAAAAGCCCCTCCGATGAAGAGGCCAGTTCGACTGGACCGAAGCCAGCCTCCGGAGAAGCTGAGGGGCAGCTCGTCATCTTGAGTGTCGATGAAGCTCAGCTGCTGCAACTTAGCCGAAGCCTGTGCGTAGACTGAAAAATGGTTCTCCAAGGTTTGTGTTAAAGGAGTGCGAAGAGGAACTCCAGGATTCTTTAGATTTTTAAATCTAGGATTCAGGATACGAATTTCTTACCGTTCTGAGTGTCAAGCACTTTGAAGCGTTGACGACGATACGTGGTAAACAAGGAAATGAACAACTTTACGAGGATGGACGTGAGGACACGAATCGAGTGGTTCACAAGGCCCGTTCGCCTTCAAGGACCTCGACAGGAGATGAAAGAAAGACGACACGAAACCTGACTCTCCGGAAACCCGACTCTTTCGAGAAGTATTCGCACGAGCGAGCAATTCTAAATCTATTTTTCGAGTTCTTCTCCGTAAGGAGCGCGCGGAAGAAACGGAATCCTTGATAAAGGCCCGTTCGCCATCAAGGTCCTCCAATTACCAGGGTCTCGCAGGAGTCCTTAGCTCCCGAAGAAGCTTCTCCGCAACGAGACTCGGCCACGCCTCGTGGACGCGAAAAAGAAACAAAAAAAGAAACACTATACCCGAAAGGTGTACAAGAAACCTCGGAACAAAACTGGAACTCGACGAGCGCAGAAGGTCCTCGTAGTCCTTAATTGGTCCGAGTCCTGTAAATATCTCGACGTATTAATTCTCTCCTCTCGCGCGGCGGCGACTTGGAGAGACGATTTCGTTGTACCGGGTACAATAATGTAATATTTCGATTAGCGCTGTAAACAGGCTAACGAGCACCCACGCGCATACACACGTCCCCCTGTAAATGTCCTTAGTTAACATAGATAAGGCCGTATATAATTTATATTTCGTATTAAGCGAGGAGACGCGACTGTATTATACTAGGACCCTAGATATATAAGTAACGAAGGATATAACGAGAACGACTTCGCGTCCGGGCTTGAGAATGAGCGATACCAGTTAAACAGTTTAATCGTACTCGAGTTTAGGGGATTTAAGTAGGACTTTTAGATTTTAACGAGGGAAGGAGAACGCTCCGCGTGCGAGGAGGAAAGCGAGGTTAGGAACGACGAGGAGGCGAAGTACATCTCGGGCACGCACGGGGTTCGTCTCGTCCCCGATCATATTTGTCGTACTTGCCGTTCAAAGTCAGAGCCATTACAAACGACGGAGATATACGATACCGTACACGTTTTCACACACACACACACACACACACACACACACACACACACACACACACACACACACACACACACACACACACACACACACACACACACACACGTACATGCCCACGGATAAAAAAAAGAAGAAGAAGAATTGTATCATTAAGTTTGTGTGCCTGTATTTTGTATGACCGAGCGAGTCCGAGGGAAGGAAATAAATATGAGAATTATTCCTCTTGCTACGAGGCGACGGTGTTTCCTTATTTCTTGGTGCGTTTCCAAGTGAGCTCGATAATATCAAAGGTTCAGTTCCGTTTTGGTGTCAAAACTTAGCTCTCGAGTGTGCTTGTTTATGTTTTGGAGGGAGAACCCCGGGAGAGTCAGTTTTCCCGGATTTTCGCGAGCTCGGTTTGGTGTGGCAAGGCTGTCATTACCGCACGATCACCGCGTAGAGACGATCCTGCTCGTTCCTCTTAACCAGTTAGCTGTTTTTCACGAGGATACTCGTCGCGAGGACTCGCTTTTCATTCAGAGGTCGCAACAGCTGACTGGTTCATGGTCAGGGGGAATCTGGACGATCGGCGACACGTTTCAGGCTTTGGGGGATAATTATTGGGACTTAAGTATCAGAACGATGGAGATGCACTTAAATGGCACCAAAACACTGCCTTTGCCATTCCAAACTTGGAGACAGCCAAGGTATAAGCAGGCACATGAGTGAGCCCTTCGAGTTCGGATAAGATCTAGTTAATGGTCGGAATATCTTGACCGCTTCTCGGGAGAGGACCAAAATCTTAGGAATGAGCCTTTGAGCCTGAGACTTTCCTATCCTGGATTCATTTCCGACTTCTTGATAGGTCTTTCCTGCGAATTCGACTTTGCGATCGTTGCAGAATGTATCTCTAAATTTTTTATTATTTATTGTCTCGAAATAATTGTACCTCGAGCACGATCTACATGGCATATGTAAAGATGCCCGAGCAAAAAATTCTAGTCGCTAGTGGATGTGTTTAAAATATTTTTGGTAAATATTTATCATTTCTGCCACGATCGATCTCTCTTGCGAATCCGACTTTGCGATCGTTGCAGAATGTATCTCTAAATGCTTATTATTCATTATCTCGAAATAATTGTATCTCGAGCACGATTTACATGGTATATGTAAAGATGCTTGATCAAGAAATTCTAGACGCTAGTGGACGTATTTAAAAGATTTTTGGTGAAGATTTATCATTTCTGCAACGACCGATCTTTCTAGCGACTCCGATTTTGCGATCGTTGCAGAATGTATCTCTAAATTTTAATTATTTATTGTCTCGAAATAATTGTACTTCGAGCACGATTTACATGGTATATGTAAAGATGCTTGATCAAGAAATTCTAGTTGCTAGTGGACGTATTTAAAAGATTTTTGGTGAAGATTTATCATTTCTGCAACGACCGATCTTTCTTGCGACTTCGATTTTGCGATCGTTGCAGAACGTATCTCTAAATTGAAATGATTTATTCACTCGAAAATAATTGTACCTAGAAATGTAAATCGTGCTCGATTTACGTGCCACATCCAAAGATGTCCTATAAAAAAATTCGAATCGCTAGTGGACAGATTTACGATATTTTTGGTAAAAATGTATTATTTCTGCAGCGATCGGTTCGATTAGATTCGCCATTGAACTAATGACGAGGCGAAGAGCTGGCTGCACCAGCTTTGTAGATCTTCCAATTTTTTTCTGATCAAAAAATGAGCAATGGATGGCTTGAATCTGGTGCAGCGTGCCCTGAAAAAGACTCAATTTTGAGATTTTGATATCCCGAGGAAAAGAGACTGACAGTACTTCTAAAGCTAAACTAAAGTTTTCCTTCTCGATGTCGCGTTGACTTTTATCTATCTCGCGTAGGTAAGTTGAAGCTGAGCTCTCTTTACGTCTGAAATTCCTCTTCGGCTTTATGTAAGAGGTCTGCAATTTTCTCAGGGCGAGGCCCGCCAATAATTAATATATATATACACCCGTAGATAACAATAAGAGTAGAAAATTGTGTACTTAACGTGTCTCTTTGCTGTCTTGCAGATTTGGTTGTCAGAGAATACTATGGAGCAGATGCCGGTTAGTAATGCAAAAAGGAAACAGAAATATCTTAAGCTGCGTTAAATAATGTGGAAAAATGTCACGGCGTCGGATTGAGCGATACCTTTTCATTTCTAGATGTGGTGCCCACCCACTCCACCCACTTCGGACAACGACGTGTACATCGACTATTCTTTGAGTTTTCTTTACGAGAACACTCCGATGTCCGAAGCTCAGCTACCTCCGATCTACGTGAAGAAGGAGCAGAAAAGAAGCAGAGTGGACGTGGTTTCCGGGGATCGGGATGGTAATTCAAGATAATCAGCACAAGCGCATTAATCATCGCATTCGTTAATTATTCCGTACATCAACGTTCGTTTCTTCAGGTCGACGTCCGGTTAAAATGCGCCACAAGGAAGAATCCGTCTACGCCCCGCGATCCCTGTTCGACCGTCCATCTCCAGCTTTGATAAAAATGCGACGAGACATGAAGTTGCACAAATATCGTGGCATAGTGCGTCCACCGATCCCAATGCCAGGTGTTAAGCAATCTCCGATTTTGAAGCCGACCCCAGAGCCCGATCACGTCCTGGACTGGATGATCCACGAGGACTGGGCTCTCCTGCAGGCCATTCAGGTCTACCAGGGTCTACCTCTTAATCTGATGATCCTCTCTCCTGGCCACACTCCTAACTGGGACCTGGTGGCTGATATTGTCAACAATACGTCTAGGATTTACAGATCCCCGAAACAGTGTCGCAGCAGGTACGAGTCCGTCATCGTCCCCAGGGAAGAGGGGAAGTTGCTGTACGACACGACGCCCAAGAAGCAGAAGAAGCAGAAAGGCGTTTACAAGATGCCCCAAGTCTCCGAGGTAAATTAAGAAATTCGCCATATATCTTATATATCATGTATATATGGCGAATTTTATATTGGGTTGATGCATAAGTCATTGCGCATTTTTTCAAATATAAAAATGCGCGCAGACATTAAATGTTTTAACGTAATGTTACATGTTATTTTAAAGAGAAATTTTTGCTTTACAAGACGGTGTTTTAATATTTTTGTTAAATAGGTTAGATAGATAGACAACACAAGTAAGAGGCGCGAAATACTGACCTAGTCATTATCTGCGATGCTGATCATAATTGCAGGTTTATATTGAATTGAAACGTTCATCAGGGTTGATGAAAAGTACGATTTCTTAAAAAAAAAAAAATAATTAAATATCGCTGATTTCTATTAAAATCACGAGATTTTACTTTGTAATATCTTCATTATTTAAATGATTAGGTATAATCGATATTGCTTAAAAATTCTCATAATTTCCTTCGATTCGGGAATATCCGAGCCACGATCCGATAATTTCCATTTTGTGCATTGTAACGGATATGCCGAAGTGTTGAAAAAGAAATGCTTACACGGGTTTGTACGTTCAATTATTAGGAACATAGACTGGGGAATGAAAAAGCATATAAATTAGTACTCCCGTTTAAACGTTACAACAATTAAGCTGCACGGCAGAACAAAGCTGAGCCGAACGTGTAAAGGCATTTCGTGATAGGGTATGAGTAATTGATAATTCTTGTTAACCACGCATCGATTTTTATTTATATACGACGGATTAAGATCGTAACATTTTGTCAAAGGTCCCGTATTAAAGGTGCTGAGATAATTGTGTAATCGTCGAACGCGATAGCTCATCGAGAAATAACAGAATTTGTGCAATCTTCGACGCTAATTAATCGATCCGCAAGACGGGCGAATAATATGCACAGGCACTAATAAGACTCGATGCATCGTTAATCAACCGGTGTATCAATAATTGCAGCAGCAGAGCAAGACTAATCGGCCGATGAGGACATCGCAGTTGTACAATCAGGACAAGAATCACTCGTTCACGTTGATGTGCTGTCAAAGATTCGATACGATTAAATCGGTCTCGAATAAGCGGACCCCTACGGTGAAGCCCCTCCTGGTAAATCCCCTGATGAAGAATCCGAAGCACGCGGCCGTGTTGGCGGAGTGCGGCATCCAATACGACAATCCCCTGGCTCCCATCGAGGTAGCAACGAGAAGGGCGGAAAGGATCGCTAAGGAGAAGCTGAAGAACGCAGTGAGCACTGTAAATGAAGCCTCTTATGGAAATGTTTTAATCCCACAGGATAATTTCTCAAATTTAACCCCCTCTCCTCCTTGCCCCAGGTGCTGTCAGCAGAGCAGCAGCAGCAAGCCGCTGCAAGATTGGTACAGCAGCAACAGCAGCAGCAGGCTCAGCAGCAACAACAGGTGCAGCAGCAACAGTCGACACAGCAGCAGCAGATCCAGCTGCAGCAGACTCAACCCACGGTGACGACCTCTCAGTCGCACCAAGTGACCCAGGTAGTGCCAACCGTGACGACGACGACTTTGACCACTATGAAGTCGGCCACGTCGACGAACACGGTGGTCACCAGTGGAGCGACAGTGGTGACGGCGGCCGTTAAGGCTCGTCCTGGTGGAGGTACCTTGACCATGCAGGACGTGAGACCTACGCCGACAGTGGTCAGCGTGGCGAACTTGCAAGCTGCACAGCGAATAGCGACCGCCAGTCTGGTCTCTGCAAATCAGAGTCCAACAGTGGTCGCTCAGAAGGGCATTGTTGGCGTAACAGTGGCCACAGCTTCAGGGAACAAGACCCTGACGCCCGCCCAGCTGCAGTACTACCGGCAGCAGCAGGTGCTGCTGCGGCAGCAACACCTGAAGGTGCTGCAGGCGCAGGCTGCCAACGTGCAGAAGGTCTCGGTGGCGGTCTCCGCGGCTGCCGCTCAGCAGAGGGCGACCCTGATGAAGCAGGGAGTCGCGGGGACCGTCGCTCAGGCCGGAGTTGGGAAGCAAACCGTCGCTCGTACGGTTTCCGAGACGGAAATGGCGGCGCTGATCAAGAGGCAGGCCGCGTTGCAGCAGCAGGCGAAGGCCGTGGCGCAGGTGCAAGTGCCCGCCCAGGCTGGCTTGACCCCTGCCCAGATTTTCGCCCAAGCGGGGCTGCAGGTGCAGCAGGCTGGGACCTCGGCCGGTGGCACTCCTGTTGCTACCCTCGTTAAAGCGGCCAATGTTGCTGGCGTCAGGGCTGCCACTCCGCAGCAGATCAGGCAGCTGGCCCTGCACCCGCAGATCATCGCCCAGAGGAAGCTG